AAAGCATCGATTTTGTAGATTTCTAGGAGGGAGAAAAGATCAAAAGTGTGAATCGGATTTTACGACCTTTCTTTAGCTCTTTCTTAATTGTTGAACAAGGACATTTTTTGTTGAAGGAGTTGGATGCCATTTTCGTTTCCCTATTTTCCTTTCCATTCAAGGCTCAACTATTTGTGTATGCTAATGTTGAATGATCGAGAATGACTCTCACCTTTCTTTCATATTCCTATTCTCTTTTCTAGCCATTTTGATTTTTTTTGATTCAAAGCCTAGATCCTGTAAATATCCCAACCTGTAAATAAACGATAAACGAAAATTTTTCGATCAATCACAATTTCTCTAATTTTGCTCAAATCTAAATCTCAGGCCTTTTCTTTACAAGTCTTAAATCTTTGTGAATGCAAAAGAAAAGATCAAAAGTTAGGATCGGATTTTACGACCTTTCTTTAGCTCTTTCTTTAGCTCTTTCTTTAGCTCTTTCTTTAGCTCCTTCTTTAGCTCTTTCTTTAGCTCTTTCTTTAGCTCTTTCTTTAGCTCTTTCTTTAGCTCTTTCTTTACTTTCTCTTTCTTTATCTCTATTCTTTAGCTTTTCTTTGCTCTTTCTTTCTCTTTCTCTTTTGCTTCTTTCTTTAGCTCTTTCTTTAGCTCTTTCTTTAGCTCTTTCTTATTATCAACATTTCTAAAACACTTATCAACATTTCTAAAAATCTTTATCTATTTTTTTGTTTTGTCAATGAGAATGCTAAAGATTCTATTACTGTTTACCCAATCAAATTGTTAAAATCAATTCTTATAGCCTTTTTGATTATTTTTGATACAAAACCTGAATCTAAGATCCTGTAAATATCCCAACCTATAAATAAACGATAAGTTTTTCAATCAATCACAGCTTCTCCAATTTTCCTCAAATCTAAATCTCAGGCCTTTTCTTTACAAGTCTTAAATCTTTGTGAATGCAAAAGAAAAGATCAAAAGTTAGGATCGGATTTTACGACCTTTCTTTAGCTCTTTCTTTATTGTTGAACAAGGACAAGGAAATACGAAGGAGTTTACCAACTTTAAAGTTGCCAATTTAATATTTGCAAAAGCCAAAAATCCCTTCAGAAATCAAACGATTAAAGCACCATCAAAAAAACTTTTGTTCTTGAACAAGGACATTTTTAGTTGAATGGGTTGGATGCTATTTTCTTTTCTCTATTTTCCTTTCCATTCAAAGCTCAACTATTTGTGTATGCTAATGTTGAATGATCGAGAATGACTCTCTCTTTTCCTTCATATTCCTATTCTCTTTTCTTTTCTAAAGAACCAAGGTCATCATCAACATTCTCTCACAGAAAATACCTAGTGACTTATTTTTAAAGTAAATAGTTTATTATTTAAGGTTTTGTCCTTTTTGTGGTCTTCAATTGATCAATTTAAATTGATTCACAAATCTTTCAATGATAAATCTTTTGTTTTGTTGTTTTAAGCTCTGTTTTTAATTTAAACAATCAAATTTAAGATCATTATAAAGGCAAAATGGAACCTCTCAATAGAAAAGAGAAATCGGAGCAAATCAAAAGCCTCAAATCACTTTATTTCCCTCTCTTGTTTCACTTTGATCCAATTGTTGTCGATTGAAAGAAAAATAGCAAAAAGCTTTCCATTTTCTCAGTGTTTTTAGCTAAAAAGTTACCTCGTCTTTTTGCTGGTTTAGAAAATTAATTGTCGAGTTGAGCTTAGACGAAAAAAAGAATGGTTAAAGTTAAAAAATAAACTTAGCTTTAGGCTTTGATCTAGAGTTTGCTTTCATAAGGAAAAGTCTATCAATTCTCTGGTTACTTTTTGGAATACGATAATGAAAAGTTAGTATTTTGCTAATTGTTTAGTTTAAAGCAACAGACTTAAGATCTGGCTAAGGTTATTTCTTCTGAGGAGGGATCTCTTCCATAATAAATTCTTTACATAACAATGTCTAATCATTGAAATTATCATGATATTTTTGATGAATATTTATTCTTTAGGTATTACGTGATCAAACTCTTACGATCAAACTCTTACAATCAAACTCTTACAATCAAGCTCTTACAATCAAGCTCTTACAATCAAGCTCTTACAATCAAACTCTTACAATCAAGCTCTTACAATCAAGCTCTTACGATCAAACTCTTACGATCAAACTCTCAATCAAAATCTTACAATCAAACTCACACGATCAAACTCTTACGATCAAAATCTCACGATCAAACTCTCAATCAAAATCTTACAATCAAACTCTTACAATCAAAATCTCACGATCAAACTCTTACAATCAAACTCTTACGATCTCTCGAAACTTTCCCATCCCAACGTTGTTTCCTATATTTGTGTTGGTTAGTGGACAAAGACTATGAAAACCAAAAAAACAACTGAAAGCTTATATAAAAGAGTGTTCTGTTCTCTAGAAACTTTCCCATCCAAACGTTGTTTCGAAGTGGAGAAGTGTTGGTTAGTAAGCAAAGACAAAAATTAATGTTAAATCTGTTGAAATTTCAACATTCTTGTCAATCGAAACGTTTCATCGAAAACTAAAATACTTGCAAATAAACTATAGCTATTGTGTTATGATTCTCGTTTTATCTTTTCATCAAAATTTCGTTAAAGAATTTTTTATGGATCTCCCATTTACTCGCCTTGTTTTTCAACTTCAAAAAAACTTTCGCGATCTTTTACCCAATCGCTTTTTTTCAGATATTTACGTGTGTCATTGCATTCACGTGTTGGTAAAGAGAAATGAAAAGAACAGAAAATGGCATCTCTTTACCTTTTTTTTTCTCTTTTCCCAACTGACTGATATCGACTTTTTCGCTTCGCTTTTTCCTATTTGTGGGGCTGATTCGGTTAATCAATCTGTGCCTTTGGTGCAAAGATTTTGATGGTTTTTGAGAAATCTAAAATAAGATTTATATAATATGTTTCCTGGATCTGTTTCCCTTCATTTACATTACTGAACAATGAAATATCATATTTGAAAAAATCACTTTCGCGTCACTTTCGCGCGTCTGTAACTCCCTTGTCTTTACCGTATTTCTAAATATGAATATTACCATTGTGTAGCCCTTGAAAAGAGCTTTCAGAAAATGTATAATACTAATAGTTTAAACTCAAAGATAAGGGAGTTACAGACACGCGAAAGTGACGATCTTTTTTCAAATATCATATTTCATTGTCCTGTAGTATTTAATCGAAAGGTTAAAGTTGTTGTGTCAGAGAAGGTCCGTTTTCAAGATCAAAAGACAAGCCATCATTTGTCCTTTCTCATTGCATTAATTATTCCCTGTACTTTAGACTTTAAAGACAGTTGCTGACATGAAATTTCTCACGTAGATACACTACTGAACAATGAAATATCATATTTGAAAAAACGATCGTCACTTTCGCGCGTCTGTAACTCCCTTGTCTTTACCATATTTCTAAATATTAATATAACCATTGTGTAGCCGTTGAAAAGAGCTTTCAGAAATGGTATAACACTAATAGTTTAAACTCAAAGATAAGGGAGTTACAGACGCGCGAAAGTGACGATCGTTTTTCAAATATCATATTTCATTGTCCAGTACTGGAGTTCGCTTTTTCCTATTTATGGAGCTGATTCGGTTAATCAATCTGTGCTTTTGGTGCAAAGATTTTGATGGTTTTTGAGAAATCTAAAATAAGATTTATATAATATGTTTCCTGGATCTGTTTCCCTTCATTTAGTTCGCTTTTACCCGTCTGATTTGACAAATTTCAAGCAGAATTGAGCAGCTTTTATTTATTTTATCTTTATGACTGAAATTTTAATATTTGCATCATTTTTACACTTGCAAAATTACTTTAATCATCAATAATTTTGTTTTTAGAGTTTCCACTAATTTATCCATTGTTCGAATCGGTTTCAAATCGATTTCTAATCTGATCTTTCTAGATTCAGATTCAAGTAATACTAATATCTACCGTAAATACTTTAATAGTGCCCCACCCGCATAATGACGGTGCGAAGTGTTGCGTAGTCTAGCTTTGAACGAGTGTTTCTCGACACTGGTTTATGCTACAAAGTGCGCCTAGGTATCAAAAAATAGCCCTGAATTTCAGCTTTCATTTAATACTTAGACGAACACTGTAGCATAAACGGGTGGCGAGAAAATGCATTTAGAGTTAGACTACGCGATGCTCCGACCGTCATTATCGGGCGGAGGGGCTACTATTAAAGGTATTACGATATGCTTTTCTTAGAACTATAATTTAAACATACCGTAAATACTGTAATAGTACCCCACCCCCATAATGACGGTGCGGAGTGTTGGGAAGTCTAGCTTTGTACGAGTTTTTCTCGACACTGGTTTATGCTATAATGTGCGCTTAGGTATCAAAAAATAGCTGAAATTCAGGGCTATTTTTTGATACCAAAGACGCATTTGTTGAAAGTACGGGCGCTTTGAAAAAAATGAAATACTAACACTTCTCCACTTCGAAACTAGTTTATCCATTGTTCAAATCGATTTCTAATCTGATCTTTCTAGATTCAGATTCAAGTAATACTAATATCTAAGTAAGTATCTAAGTAACTACCAAAGTAATATCAAATTTGCATATTTTTCCGTCTTATCTTCAATCAATTCTTACCTATAAAGGTTTAAAATAAAAAAAATAAACGAAAAGTTTGTTCTGATACGATTTTGCTTTGAGCTCTTTCTAAGAAAAGATTTCTTTTTTCATTCAAATGATCAAAATATTGCTTTTCTTTCGATTTCAGATGGTTTGTTTGAATTGAAAAAGGTTCAATTCCTTCTTTCCTTTCATATTCATTCCCATGTTTTGTATGTGCTTTGTGAATCACTCAAAAACAACCAAATACCTTCAATATTTTCAGAGTTTAAAACAAAATCTTGCTTTTGAAACCGTTTTTTTGCAAGCTATTGATTCATTTTTGATCTTTACTTTTAAATTTCAGGCGTTCATCTTAAATCCCGACTTGTTAACATCAAGATTTGTTAAAAGTAATGTCCCGTCGTCGAGATGAGCCGCATCGGGCGCTTGAGCATTTCGAGGAATTTCATTCGACTCTCATCGCTCCATCAGATGACGATTTGAGGGAACCGATTGAGAGATTGATTAAATTATTTAAATCGAGTTTATTCAGTGCTCTAGTTGGTGAGTGAAGTTAAGAAAATTGGATATTAAAGATTTCCAGAGATCCAAGATCTCACCGAAGATGTTTTGCTGAGTGATCGAGTGGCTCGACCGCAAAAGGTTATCAAAATCTTGAAGTTTGAAGAAATTTTAAGGAATATTGTTGTTTTGTCATTCTCTATATGAATCAGTTTTTAGATTTCTTCATTCTAGACTTCTAGGAGTTAAACTAAGTTAGCTTTCTTCATTTTAGACTTCTAGGAGTTAAATTAAATTAGCTTTCTTCATTCTAGACTTCTAGGAGTTAAACTAAGTTAGATTTCTTCATTCTAAACTTCTAGAAGTTAGTCTAAGTTAGATTTCTATATTCTAAACTTCTAGAAGTTAAACTAAGTTAGATTTCTTTTAGACTTCTAGAAGTTAAACTAAGTTAGTTTTCTTCATTTTAGACTTCTAGAAGCTAAACTAAGTTAGATTTCTAGACTTCTATAGATTCTTTTTAACCTTATCCACCTGTTCAGGTAATCGAAGTCCGAAGAATCGCGGAACTCTGGGAGAAATCGGCTCCATTCCCTTCTTCAAAATTGCGCCCAACCACTCCCACTCCAGCCAGATACTCAGTCTCACTAACGAATAGTGAATCGGTAAGCTGAATAGCTCTGTCATATGAATATTTAATACTATTAAACTCATTTAAATTCAATGATTTCAGTACCCCGAAGCCACTATCACCAAAAACTCCCATGACTCCGGCTTGCACTCGAAATCAGCCAGTCAACAAGAGGTTGGGAAAAAAAAATTTCCGCAAATCTCTATTTACCAAATGTTACCCGTTCATCAATTTATTGTTTCTATCAATTTCTTTTTTTTCTTTTCGTTTTCAAATCGATCCTTTGACGGTTTTTTGCGAATCTGCGTTTTTAAGCTCTTTTTCATGAGCTGGCAATCCACCTAATTAACTAAATAGGGGAGCTGGGTTTGAATTCTATTTTTGATTTTATTGATTTCTATTGATTTCTATAGTTAGCACAGTATACTTTAATCAAATTATTTCTAGAAATTTTCTTTTTTCTTTAACTTGATTAGTCAGGCTGAGATACATGGATTTTGATGATCTCCTGATCTTGCTTTTGGAAAAATTAAGCGATTCTCAATCCAAATGTCTAGTCTAGCTCTTGATTTAAAGCTTTAAAGCTGAGTAATGGATTCATTTATGAATCGAATCCAAATCTCTAGTTTAGCTCTTGATTTAAAAGCTCTGAGCTGAGCAATGGATTCATTTATGAATCGATCTTTTGATCGTGTCTGCAAGCTTTTGCGTTGTCTTAGTGATCGACCCTGGGGAGGAGATGGGTGCATGAAGCTACCAAAGACCCAACGAAAGTCCAGGGAAAGCTGAAAGAAAGAGAATAGTGATGCAAACAAATATTTGCAACAAGTGGGGAAGGGAATGGGAGATTGTTGAAGGAGAGAGAAAGGGATGGTCCATGTGGACTGTCCATTCCCCTCCTTGTGTTCTCAAAGTTCCGGTCATGGAACAAGGCTTTCTCTCCTTTGTCTATTTTCTCTATCCAAACACCCACATGGTTAGCCGAAGCTAGCGGATTAGCAAGTTTTCCACTTTTTGCTTCAAATGAAATTTGAAGTTTTGTTTTTCATTTATTGTAAAACTCGAGCAATTGATTCTAATCTTTGTCAGCTATACTTTTAGAATATACAGTCTATTAACATCCTTCTAGAGTATACTGTCCATTAACATACTTTTAGAATATACAGTCCATTAACATCCTTCTAGAATATACAGTCCATTAACATCCTTCTAGAATATACAGTCCATTAACATCCTTCTAGAATGTACTGTCCATCAACATCCTTCTAAAATATACTGCCCATTAACATCCTTCTAAAACATACTGTCCATTAACATCCTTCTAGAATATACTGTCCAACGTTACTTCCAAAACTGAGCCAGGATCCAGATCAATTTCTTTCCTTTCACTTTTCTCAAGCATTCCTGACTAAATCCGTTCCCCAAACAATACAAAACTCTTGTTCCATTTCCCCACAAAAAAAATGTGTTGCAATGTCTCCCGCACGAAGCAGTTAGATCATGAGATCTTGCGGGGAGGACATCAATCCATCCATCTATTCCCTTTTCTAGGGTATCTTCTCCTTTCTCTATTCTTTTATATCGAAACGCAGCGATTAATGTCTTCTCCAACGGCGGATCTCAAGGTGATCTCTACTATGGGAATTGGTGGAGATGAGGGAAGGGTACAAAGGGGTAGTTGAGTCGGTTGAGACGGAAAGGTCTTTGATTTGTTCATCCATGAGTAGAAAAATCGTTTAATACTGAGTTTGCCTTAAATCAATTATAAATTCAACTCTAAAATGATTTTATAAACCTACAAATCTATAGCTATCTTGATTATTTAACTGTAGAATTTCAAGTTTTCACCTTGAGCTCGATTCTGGAGTACCAAGAGGAATGGGTTCTTTGCGTTTCTGAAGACCTCAGCCGCTTCTTGATGACTTGCATGCTCGACATCGATTCCATTCACTTTCAACAGCACATCTCCAATAGATTAAGTCAAAAGCTTCATGAAGGCTTGAATTCCAAGGCATAAAATGAATCGATTTCCTAAAAAAACTTAAAGAAAACTAGGCTATCTAGAACTCGGAGAGATCAGAGATAGGAAAAGAGCTGCTCTTTTCCATCTCATTGAATGGATAGTCAAAAGAAGAATCTTGAAAAAAAGGAAAGAAGACCATGTTGATGAGAGAGGAAAATGGGGAAGATGGAGAAGATGGGGAGAGATGCCGCGCGTGATTAGCACCTTCTTGGCCTGCTCCCAGCCTCGATCCTCCTTTTTCCCATACATTCCAGTCCTCTTTTCTCTTCAACATTTAATCTTTTCCCTCTTTTTCCCCTTCCCTTTACAGGTTTATTGTTTTGTTGACTGTTTTCTCAAGGTTTTTGAGATTTCAATTCTTTTCCCAACATTTTTTCGACAAACATTTATCGATATTCCTTTTTTTATGATTGTTTATGTGTTTAATATTTGCTCTAAAAGAAAGATCTTTGAAGAAAACAATATACAGAAAAATATAAAAAAAATAAAAAAAAATAAACACAAAAAAAAAAAAAAAAAAAAAAAAAAAAAAAAAAAAAAAAAAAAAAAAAAAAAAAAAAAAAAAAAAAGAAAAAAAAAATTAATTTAAAATTTTTTTTTTTTTTAAAAAAAAAAAAAAAATTTTTTTTTTTTTTTCCCCCGGCCCGAATTTAAAATTTTTTTTTTTTTTTTTTTTCAAATTTAAAAAAAAAAAAAAAAAAAAAAAAAAAAAAAAAAAAAAAAAAAAAAAAAAAAAAAAAAAAAAAAAAAAAAAAAAAAAATTAAAATTTTTTTGGTTATTTTTTATTTTATTAAATTTTAGAAAAAGGGTGAAAAAAAAAAATTTTAAAAAAATTTTTTTTTTTTTGTGGGGGGAGGAGGAAGGAAAAAAAAAAAAAAAAAAGAAGAAAAAAAAAAAAAAGGGGGGGGGGGGGGGGGGGGTGTTTAAGGTGTTTTTTTTTATTTTTTTTTTATTTTTTTAGAAAAGATTTAAATGAGTGAAATTGAATGATATTCTGTTGAACTTTATGTTAAAATTGAATGCTATTCAGTTGAACTTCCATATTGATGAAACGGGTCGAGCATGGGAATTCGAAGAGATTACATTGGATCAAAGTCGTGTTGGACTCGGTTTTTCGTTTTCTGGAGGTGATGATGTGGCTTCAGCGAGATCAATTTATGTCACTCAAGTGCTCCGAGGAGGAGCCGCCTATGAGGATGGACGTTTGAAGTAAGTTTTTGGAGAAAACAGCAATTAGACTCTTGCTTTACATTGAACTTATGACCCAAAACAGCTAGAAATCTAACTTAAATCTGCATTTTCAGACAAAATGATTTGATCGTTCAAGTGAACAACGTCGACTTCAGCAAAGCCAGTCATCACGAGGCGAAAGAGGCGCTGAAAGGAGCTGGAACTATTGTTAAACTGGTGATTTACTTGAAAACTTGTTTCATTTGATTATTGATTCAATCTTAAGCCAAAAATCCAATCTAGAATCTTCAATTTGATAGTCTTCGGAAACTAGAGACAATTCCAACCCGTTTTCTCTGTTATTTCTTGATCGATTGCTCTGAAATTTTGTCTACAAAATGTTTAAAATGTTTATTTCGATCTGTAGACAAAATTTCAAAGTAATTGATGAAGAATCGATGAAGAAAACGACAGTGGAATTAGGAATTCAGGTTGAAATTCTCCCATATCTACCGGAAATCGGCAAAAATCGATTTCCCAATACGTTTTGGCTGAATTCCAATCGTGAAATTAGCATAAAATCATCTTCGATATATTCGAGAAAAAAAAAATGAATCATATTATATATAAAAGAAGTGTTGAAAAGAGAAAAGAGAGAAAAAGTGATTCACTTTTGCGCATCGATTCTCTCTACACAAACATCTAAAAAGATCGAAAGAATTCAATGCTTCCATAAGAGGACATCGTACAGTTTTGCAAAAGAAAAGAGGGAAAACGAACGAGAAATAGCAATCATGAAAAGATTGGCACACAAAAACGGGGGAAATCACTTCTTTGAGGGGAAATTTGCGGCCTCCTTTTACTAAAATAAAAATCTTTGTGTTTCTCAAGTCTTAGATCTTCTCAGAAACTTCTACTATAAGAGAAAGGAGACTTTCAACCTGAATTCCTAATTCCACTATCGTTTTCTTCATCGATTCTTCATCAATTACTCTGAAATTTTGTCTACAGATAGAAATAAACATTTTGTAGACAAAATTTCAGAGCAATCTCTCAATTTCTCAAGATTTTCTCTTAGATCTTCTCAGACTCTTCCACTAATCAATATAAGACTTCGAAAAATCATTCAACAATCAATTTCAGATCGTGAAACGCCGTCGATTCGACCGTGATGAGCCGATGCCCGAATTTCGAGACACCAGATCCCAATCTTTCACAACACTACCCGATCCGGTTCCTCTTGCAAAAAACAAGTAAGAATATCACTAATGAATCTATCGAAATATCTACTCTAATTCTCTTTAGTCAAACAATCTCCACCCCATCACTTCCCCCACCACCTCCACCAGCTCGTTCACAACAATATCCAATCAACGAACCTCCTATCATCAAGCCATACTATGGAGGAGTACGTGTAGAGATTTATAAGGTAATAAAAAATCAATTTACTATATTTATCTGAAATCAGGGATCCGGTGGGCTTGGCTTTAGTATTTCTGGCGGAGTTGGAAATGAACAGACACCAACTGATGCAGGAATTTTCATCACTCGAGTCATTCCAGGCGGTGTAGCAGATTTAGATGGAAGGATTAAAGTTGGAGACAAGATTGCGGCGGTTTGTTTTTAAAAGAGATTGGAAATGGCTTTAGAAAGTTGTCTTTAGAAAGCTGGCTTTAGAAAGCTGGCTTTAGAAACTTTGAACTTAAAAATGAATGCTTTAGAAACTTTGAAAGAAAAAAAAGCCAATCTATGACTACAGATTTTAGTCAATTTTTCACCAATCTTACCAAGATATCCAAAAAAAAAGAAACAAGATCTCCTTGTTAGTAAACGGAAACGAAGAAATAATGCATTGTAGGGGGTGGTAATATCTTGTCCGCTTTTTCTCTTTCATCCAATTTTTCCTTTCAAGAGTATCACATGACATCAACAAACAGACTCTAGACTCTAGAGACTCAATTTCTTTAAGTAATTTTTGCGTAAACGTAAATGTTTCATATCCGCATTGCAATTATTGACTTCTGTTTTTCAGGTGGATAATATTTCGCTAGAGAATGTGACTCACAATTTCGCTCTCGATGTCTTGCGATCTACCGGAATCAAGGTAGTAATAGATTTAAGATGAAAACATTATAAAGACGATTGCTATAAGATTGCTATAAGATTACTATAAGATTACTATAAGATTACTATAAGATTGCTACAAGATTGCTATAAGATTATTACAAGATATAGCAATCTTATAGTAAAGATTACTATAAGATTACAGATTACTCTAAGTTTAAAATATTATTATCTTCTCCAGGTTGTACTTTGGATTGTCAACAATCCGATTCCCGAGGTGACTGCGGCGCTGATCGGTGGAGAGACTCCAGCTACTCCACAAGTCCCGCCAAGAAGTGAGTTCACTTAAATTTATGACATTTCTGAAAATCTTTAACTTTAGAGACAACTTTATAAAGTAAAAACCTGATCTTATAACAAGTTCTTTAGCCTTTGGCGGCTCACAAACTGCTCTCAATCAAACGACTCCGACAAGTCAAAATGGATCCTTTGGCGCTCCGCCAATCCCACTTTACCCAAGAAACGTTCAACTCGTTCGTGGAGCTCATGGACTTGGATTTAATATTATTGGAGGAGAAGATGGAGAACCGATTTATATATCAAATGTTCATGGTGGAGGAGTGGCTGATCAAAGTGGAAATGTTTTCAAGGTAAGCATTGAAAAGCTTGCAACTTAAGCTAAAATATTGGTACTTGACATCAAAAATTTTAGGGAGATGTGCTGTTGAAAGTGAATGGAATCGATGTCGAGCATGCAAGTCATCAAGAAGCGGCTGAGGTCCTCAGAAACGCAAAGAACCCAATCCTCTTGGTACTCCAGAATCGAACTCAAGGTGAAAACTTGAAATTCTACAGTTAAATATAGTCTTTAGAATGTACCCAGCTTGAGAAAAAGCTCAGTGATTTAACGGTAAAAGAATGGTATGTGAGGACGATGTTTGAGTTTGATCCGGAACGAGAAGTTGGCATTCCACAGAGATGTATGCCGTTTAAATATGGAGACATTTTGCATATCATTAACAGTGCTGACGATAATTGGTGGACGGCAAAGAAGGTGAGAATTGATTTTCAGTTGGTAAAAGCTTTAACAGTTGTACCTATCGGCCATCTATTCAATTCAAATTCATTCTAAGCATATTCTCTCAACTGTTGATTCAAAGAACTGGCATAATAGTGATCCATAAGATTTTTCCTGACACTTTGAAAGTAAAGTGATCTGGATCTGGATCTGGATCTGGAGCTGGAGCTGGATCTGGAGCTGGATCTGGAGCTGGATCTGGAGCTGGAGCTGGATCTGGAGTTGGATCTGGATCTGGAGCTGGATCTACACGTAACAACTTAACTTCTCAAAACCATTATACCCTTTCAGGTGGCTGATAATGGAGACGAAGGACCAGAAGGAGTCATTCCATCAGTGCATCGAATTGAGAAAAAGGAAAAGCAACGAAGAAGATCCGTCAATTTCAACCAATCACCTGCTCCATTTCAAAGGGGAATGGATGGAAGAAGAGGATCGAAGACACAACTCTCGTTCTCTCGCAAATTCCCCTTTGTCAAGAGTACTGACAAGATTCACGAGTTGGCTGAACAAGAAGGTTGGTGAATCAACACAAATCAATAATGAGAGAATTTAGCAAGTACCTCTGATGATCCAATTCCTACATATCAAACGGTCGAAAAGGAATCGCTTGCCTATGTCCGTCCAGTGATTGTTATGGGAGCCTTGAGTCAAAAATTGAACGATGAACTCGTGAACAGATATCCGACAAGATTCAGCAGCTGTGTGCCTCGTAAGCTTTTGAAAACTAAAACTAAAACTTATAAAGCATCTTTCAGACACTTCTCGTGGTCAACAAGAGGGAGAAATCAATGGAAAGGATTATTATTTCGTTTCAAAAACTCAAATGGAGCAAGATGTGAAGAATAATCTCTTCATTGAGGCTGGTACTTACAAGGAGAATTTGTATGGAACGAGTATTCAAGCGATTCGAGACGTTATGTCAACGGTAAGAGTTTGGGAAACTCTAGCTTTAATAAATATCTCATTGTAAATCTAAACTATCTATTCAGCTTGTTTAAAAATTGAAATCCTTTCTTCCAGAATCGTCATTGCCTTCTCGATGTCGGCCATGTGGCAATCGATCGTCTTCAGCGAATCGCCAACATTCAACCGATCACAATTTTCATCAAACCATCCAGCTATCAAACCATTTACGAGTGGGATTACGGAAATATTAGTGAAGATGAAGCTATGGATATTTTTGAGAGATGTCAACGATTGGAACAACATGCGGCCACCAAATTTAATTGTAAGTAACAATTGGATTATTGTGTGGGATTGGATTGAGAATTCAGAAAGCTCTGAAGAGGAAATCTTGGAGGATTTTAAGCAATCTTGGTTTAAATCTTGTTCCTTTTGTCTATAACTGAGTTTTTAGAGTTTTTACAATTACAGCTTCTATAGCTTTTAAAGTCTATTCATTTAAAAACTTGCAAAAAAACAATGCAAACAATGCAAACTTGCAATTAAAAGCTTGGAGAAAGTTCTGAAGAGGATAAACGTTAAAATCTTGAAGGGTTTTAAGCAATCTTGGTTTAAATCTTGTTCCCTTTTGTCTATAACTGAGTTTTTACAATTTCTATAGCTTTTAAAAGCTATTCATTTAACAATTATGGGCTTGAAGAAAGTTCTAAAGAGAATAAACGCTAAAATCTTGAAGGGTTTTAAGCAATCTTGGTTTAAATCTTGTTCCCTTTTGTTTATAACCGAGTTTTTACAGTTTTACAGTTACAGCTTCTATATCTTTTAAAGTTTATTCATTTAAAAACTTACAATCATGAGCTTGAAGAGAGTTCTGAAGAGGATAAACATTAAAATCTTGGAGGATTTTAAGTAATCTTGGTTTAAATCTTGTTCCCTTTTGTTTATAATTGAGTTTTTACAATTTCTATAGCTTTTAAAAGCTATTCATTTAACAATTATAGGCTTAAAGAAAGTTCTAAAGAGAATAAACGTTAAAATTTTGGAAATTTTTAAGCCAAAGATCGCAATTTTTTTAATGAAAAAGCTTTAAAAGGTATAGAAATGGCAAAAACTCAGTAATAAACTAAAAAGAAAAAGATTTGAACTAGGTTGCTTATATTTAAAACCATTTTATCATTTAACACAATTTCAGATATCATTCCCAACGCGGAAACAACTGATCAAATTTTGGAACAAATCATATATTTCGTGCAACGAGAGTCCCTCCCAACTGCTTGGATTTCAAAAGCACAATAATTCATTTATTCTCAATTTTCCCCATTGATGCTTTATATTCAACGGTTCTTTATCAGTTTAGTATTTTGTTTTTTGATGATATCTTTTGATTTTCAATCGAAATCACCAAAATTCGCTACCCAGATGTGTCACATTTTGCTCTTTTTCACTGGTTTCTTTACTCTTTCACTTCAATGGTAGCTTCAAATCCCAGATTTGTGTCATTTCCTTTGTGTCATTGCCTTTTCCCTTCACCATTTCACTTACCCTACACAAATTTTTGGTTGGTTGTGGTTTTTGCTTTGAGTTTTTTTTTTTTCACTTCTGGTCATAAATTGTATAAAAAAAATTTCGAAAACTTGTTAGAAACAGTGGTTTTTACCACTGCATATCTATTTTTTTTGTTATTAGATTTAAATTTTCTTATTTAAACTTTAGATCAGTCGATTGCCAACCTATTTTAAAGCCAGGACCGTCAACAAAACGTGCAATGCCTGCCCGACCCGGCGGTGAGTTGAAAATTTGATTAAACAAGTAAGAAGTTAAGGTTTTTTTATAGAATTAGACGCAATTTTAGTACTAGCTGATGAAGTAAAATCGAATTTTAACCAAAAAAGAATAGGCAATTCGGTGGTGGGACAAATGCGACCTTTTTTTTTTGCGCACCTTTTTTTCCGCACTTAGCCCATTAGCGCACCTTTTTTCGCGTTTTAAAAAAGCTCTAAAAAGCTAATATTAACCAATTTCTATTCCAAATGTTGTTTTTCTAGGTAATTTGAGGGTTTCGAATTCAAATTTTGACATAACAGCTTGTGGAACCAATTTGAAAGACAAAACGGCTAGATCAAATTACAGAAAATTGTCGATTTTTCTCTTTGTATAACTCCGTCCGTTTGTTTCCACAAGCTCTGATATGCCAAAATTTCGATTCTACGCCCTCAAATTACCTAGAAAAACAACTTTTGGAATAGAAATTGGTTAATATTAGCTTTTAGAGCTTTTTTAAAACGCGAAAAAAGGTGCGCTAATGGGCAAGGTGCGGAAAAAAAAGGTGCGCAAATGTCCGGGTGCGCAAAAAAAGGTCGCATTTGTCCCACTCCCGTCAATTCAAGTCAAAATTCTACTAACTTGTTCAAAAACTAAAGAAATATCTCTAAAATTGGAATTTACTTTAGTTTCTAACCTAAAAACCCATAAATATTTAAGCTTTGAGTTAAAACTGACAATGTTGCTTATTAGATTTTTTGCTTTCCTTCTAAACTTTCTCAATTCTTACCGTTAAACTATTACCGTAAATACTGTAATAGTAAAAACGTAGTAATAATAGTACCCCACCGCCCTCGTACAGTCGCGTAGTCGCAAAAGTCTTTTAGTATTTCATTTTTTTCAAAGCGCCCGTACTTTCAAAAAATTCGTTTTTGGTATCAAAAAATAGCTGAAATTCAGGGCTATTTTTTGATACCTAAGCGCGCATTGTAGCATAAACCAGTGTCGAGAAAAACTCGTTCAAAGCTAGACTACGCAACACTCCGCACCGTCATTATGGGGATGGGGTACTATTACAGTATTTACGGTAATTACATTTGTTTCCATAAGGTTTTTTAAAAATGTAGCTTTTCCTGAGCAAAAACCAGGCCCCAATCCCGATTGTGATTCATATTTTATCCACACACAACAAACAAATCGTCTTACCAATCCCAACAATTCATTCGCGAAAAGCATTTGGCCAATAATTTCAGAGTGGCCGTTCTTTTTCCCTTTTCCCGTGAAAGATTTCCTCTCATTTAGTTTCAAAGAGAAAAGCTTGATCTTAGGAAAGAGCTCGGTTGAAGAGGAAAGCAGTTGTCTCTTGTAGCGATTGATCAGCTTTTCGGGGCCGACTTGGGCATTCCAACCAACAACTTTGCCCTTTCCTTTTCCCCGATTCCGATTCAATTGACTCTATCCAATTTTTTTGTGAGCGGATTTCGTCGATCAATCACTCTTGCCCGAGGGCCAATCAAGTAAAAACTTGATATTCAATGAACGGCTAAGAGATTCGAAAAAAGAGATTTTTTGTTCTTCAGCTGGATTCATTCTACGAGTTGTACTAGTGGCTAGAAATTCTATTTTGAAAGGTTGTACTCCTGGATTTTCAGCCAAACTGAGATCAAATCTACTTTGAATCCAGTTATTTTAATCTAACACTAGATTGGCTTTGGCATTTTCATTTACACACTCAAATTACAGCGAATTGAACCATACTGTGTCCTGTAAAGCCACAGTAAAAGCCTCATTATTCAGTAGTATTTACCTGTATTCAAAAATCCATTCAGAACTGAGACAATCCCAACTTCGATCTCGTGATTTGATCAATCACCCGCATTTCTTGCCTACAAGAAAGCTGCCAGTCGATCATTTTCCCCAAATTGCTCTTTCCTTCGCTGTTTCTTTCCCAAATGCCACTTCCCTTCACCGCATTTTTGATTTGTGTGTAATATCCAGCACACTATTGGCCAGCTGATCACCTAGATTCTACTATTAGCTAATGTTTTCTTGTCTTTTAGCTTGGCAATGAACTGCCAAGCCTTATGAAATGAGCTATTGTGAATTTGGCGAGAATTCATTCATTCTGAGAACGCAAGTTCGAGACGAAAGGAAACCAGTCAGTCCGAATAGTGTAAGGAAGATGAATTCAAAGAAATCGAGAAGTGAGAGTCCGACAAAAGCCATCAATCATCGACCATCAATAGATAATATAAAGAATGAAAAGATGAGAAGTGAAAGTCCGACAAAACCGTCAACAAGTTACGATGATTCGACGATGAGCTCAACTAGCACAATAGTTCCATCAAAATTTGGAAGATTTTTGAGAAAACATCGACCAAAGCATCAAATGAATGTCCACCAAACAAGTCCCGCCAAAAATTTATATATTGAGTCCGAGCAAATCGCGAGTTTCGTTCAAAGGAAAGAGCGAGAAGTGGTGGAAAAACTGCCCGAAGTGCCACTAATATTGAAAGAACCAATGGAAACAGTGAGAGAAGTGACTCTATTTTTGCCGAGTACATCCAGAGATCAATCACCACCGAAATCTTCAAGAAATTCCCCGAGAAGGGTTCACAAAAGTCGCTCTGAACATACACAAACCGATGCGCCGAATCTTTTTCATTACCATCATGATTCCCATATCAATGTTCAGCATTTCTGTAATCTTTTTCGCTCGTTGCATTATAGATTTGAAGGTGAGCTCTTTGAAGAGGTGTAGAAAAAAAAATGGCTTAAAGAATGGGTTATTTTTTTTTTAAACTTAAGAAATTTTGTTTAGATTTAAATTTTATTAACAAACTTTATTAACAAACTTTTAAAATTCCTTAATTTCCTTAATTTTTAGAGGCGCACCGCGCTCTCGAGCACCTTGAAGACTATCATTCTCGGTTGACTCGAGGAGAAGATGATATCCGAGTACCGATCGAGAGAATCATTACCGCATTCAAGACAAGTCTCTTCGAGGCTTTACTTGGTCAGTTTTCATTTTCTTTTTAGATTCATAACAGTAAAGCTTGTGAGTTTTTGAATCGCATCAAATCGTATTCACAGCTTTTCTATCAACGAATCTTAATGAATGAATCTTTTCTATCTATAAGTTCTATCAATTTTTTCAGATGTGCAAGAATTCTACGAGGACACCCTCTTGAACAACTCGAAATCTCACTCGCAGAAAGTGATCGAAGCGCTTAAGATGGCCGAACAATGGGAGAGAAATCCACCGTTGCCGTCGCGGAGAACCCATCTACATTCAGGGACGGCTGCACCCGTCACTTCTGCGGTGAGTTTAATCTTGATCTTGTAAAGTAAAGTATTTAAACAATTCCACATAAACAAACCACCCATTTTTAGTTCCAAGACCGCGGCGGGTTCAGCTTTGTGAATTCGACGAGCGCTCCCCATGGAAACGGGCACACCAGTCACTCGTCGTACACTCTTCAGGAGAAATCGAGAACTTTGGTGAGGAGTTTGTTAAAATTTACAGCTAAAACAAAATCTGGTTCTTGCGTAGTTTCCGAGTATTTTGAAAGAATCCGGGTATTTGGGTTGTGTCATTAGAACGGGTCGTCACGCTTTGAGGGCCTATAACTTTGTCCAGAAATAACATTTTTGTTGACTTTTTATATCATTGTACAGAAAATATTTCAGGCTTTCAAATGATACCAAATAGAGCTTGACTGGATTTTTCATTCCCATGCAAACAAGGCGACACAACACCCGAGTTGGATAGACCTCTTTTGCTCAGAGTTGGCTCGGATTTTCTTGGACTCTGGATTACCCAGTCAAGCTCTATTTGGTAGCATTTGAAAGCCTGAAATGTCCTCTGTACAGTGATATAAAAAGTTAACAAAAATATTATCTCTGGACAAAGTTATAAGCCTTCAAAGCGTGACGACCCGTTCAAAATACCCGGATTCTTTCAAAATACTCGGAAACTACGCCCAAAAGAGCCCAAAATCTTTTGCACTTAAGAAACCGAATTTATTCTATGAAAAAATAGTTTGATCTTTAGACGAACGACGGCTGGCACACGACCGAGACAACGACACGAACCCTTGATGGGCCACAAGGACGATACTCACAGACAACTACTGTAAGTGGCTCAAGTTTAATCTATTTTAAATCTTTTCAGAAAAGTATCACACACGACGAGCTGGGACGTGCCTGGGAAATTGAAGAGATCGTTTTGGAGAAAGTTTGTATTAGAATATAGCTCTCAAAGAAGATTTGATTCCAGGGAGGCACAGGCTTAGGCTTCTCAATCACTGGAGGAATGGATCAACCAGCGGACAATGGAGATACATCAATTCTTGTCACTGATATTATCCCGGGAGGAGCTGCGGCAGCTGATGGACGTATGAGGTAAAGTATTCTTCAACTTTCTGAAGTTTTTGAAAGAAAACTTTTTGTTTAGATTTAGCTTTTGAATCACAAAGTAGTCTGTTAGTTTTAACACTTGAAAAATCTCAATTTTGTGTTAACAAAGAAATTTCAGACGTCAAGACGCGATCATTAAAGTGAACAACGTTGATTGTGTGAATGTGTTCCACGAAATTGCTGTGAATGCGCTCAAAAATGCGGGCAACGTGGTACGATTGACGTTGAAGCGACGCAGAGAGGATAGGGATGGAATGGGATCCAGATCAGCATCACTTCACAATTTGGGACTTAACGGAATGGGGTAAGCAAGTGAAGTGAATGCTGATAATCAAGTTTCTTTTAGAGTCAGCACTCCCTCATATCCGCCTCCACCACCGCCGGCTCATGCTTCCTATACACAGATCCCCGTATCAAGGATTATTTCCGAAGTCGAGCGTCTTGAGCGTAACCCAGGAGTGCAAAAGATTGATCTTTACAAGGTGAGTGTTTTGTAGATGTTCAAGAATAGAAGTTTTCTTTTGCAAGTATCAGGTTTCACTCGAAAATCCTGTCCGCTTTTTTAAATGTTACTTTTTAAAATAAATAATGAACCAATCAATCTATGGTTTATTTTATCAGAAAGGCATATTATTTATTTACAAATTCCTCTTTAAGAAATTCTGAAAAGCTTGCGTTAGTTGATTTTTTTGAAGGTGTAAAGTCGAGGAGTCAAAAACGATGAAACTCAAAGTTTTGATTTGAAGAAATCTATTTTGATGTCAAAAGATAAAAGATAGAAAATAAAAAGCTAGGCAAATAGACAAATTTTCATAATATTTCACCAAGCCTTTTTAATTCTATGTCCATTGCAAGGATTTTAGGGAAAACAAGAATTCTCGTTCGGTTTTGCTTCAAAGCTAGCTCAAATTAGCCTAAAAATATGCTAATGAGCTAAATGAAATAGTTAATTTTTATTTAAAGCAAATCATACGTTTATCGGCTAATTTCTTCATTTATAAACGAAAATTTCAAAAAGGCGGACAAGACTTTAAACCAATAGAAAGTAGAGTTAAACAGTTGAGTTTTGTGAGTGGAGTTAAACGGCTATTTTTCTTTAAAAGCAATCATTCTAAATTTTCAGGGTGCTCGTGGTCTCGGCTTCAGCATAGCCGGTGGAATTGGAAACGAGCATGTGCAGGGAGATCCCGCAATTTATGTCACAAAAATCATCGATGGAGGAGCCGCGTATCACGATGGAAGGCTGAAAGTCGGAGATAAATTGGTGGCCGTTGATGATGTGCCGTTAGAGGGTATCACTCATGAATATGCGGTGAATGTGTTGAAGAATACTGGCACAAAGGTGAGTTGTCGAATACTTAAGTGAATACTTAAATAAAATAATATTTGATAATCAAGTAAATCTAATTCAAACTTTCAGGTCACTCTGCTTTACGTAAAAAATCCGCATCCTGAGTTGACTGGCTACCTCGAGGCTCCCAGTCTACCACCAAGAGGTAAAATTTTGAGAATTTCAAACAAATCTTTGTCTTTACTTTTTACTTACACTCAAAACTATCATTTCTTCACATTTTCTGTGTGCTGGAGTGTCTGTTGTTCTTTTTAGCCGGCTCTGTGCCAAATCTCGTCTCTCACGTGCCTCTGGATCGCTCAATCGGATCTCAGTCTCATCTCAACTACACTCCATCCATTCACGACAGTTTTCATCCCTCACCTGGTGTGTTCCTTTTACTTTTGAGTGTTCTGAGTTGTTGTTTTTTTTTTTCTAAAAATGTCCGTCGAATATAAAAGAGTTGACCTTACTCATTCAAAATTTTAGGAGTGATTGCCAATGACCCAATCCCACTTCATCCCCGGCCAGTTCCACTTCAAAAAGGAAATCAAGGATTGGGGTTTAATATTGTTGGCGGAGAGGATGGAGAACCGATATATATCAGTTATGTTCTCCCTGGTGGAGTTGCCGATCTTTCAGGAAATGTCAAAAAGGTGGACTTATGAAAAGTTTTATGAGTAGTGTAAGATAATAAAGTTTATTTAATAGTGATTCTAATAAATTTTAAACAAATTTTTATTCAGGGAGATATTCTCGTCGCCGTTAATGGAATCGGTCTTCAAAACGCTACTCATCAACAAGCTGCCGAGACTCTGAAAAACGCGACAAATCCTGTCACTTTGACTCTACAATACAGGCCACATGGTTTGTTTTTAAAATAGATTTCAATTTCAATTAAAGTTTTTTAAAAATAACGGTAATATTCTCTTTAGATTATGAAGTGTTCGAGCGAAAAATCGAGCAATTGCGCACTGATATGATGAAGGGAAACGTTGTGGCACCGGCTAGAGCGCTTTATGTGAAGTGAGTAAAGAAAATAAACGGTTTGAGAGTCAGATTTCTGTTTTATTTAAAGCTAGATTTGAGTTAAAAATATGATTTTAACATTCAAATTTCAGAGCGTTGTTCGACAACGATCCAACTCGCGAAGGTGGACAACCAGCTCGATCGATGACTTTCCGTTATGGAGACGTGCTTCATATCACAAATATGGCTGACGATGATTGGTGGACAGCGAGAAGAGTTGAAGAAAATGGAAATGAAGGGCCGGAAGGGGTGATTCCATCAAAGAGACGAGTTGAGAAAAGGGAAAGAGCAAGGAGGAAGCAAGTCAACTTTAATCAGGTAAAACTTTGGGAGAAGAATTTAAGACTTTTGATTGATTTTGGTTTAATCATTGTTTGAAATTCAAAAGTTATTATTCATTTACTAAACTTTATAATATAATCCATTCATTCAGGGCTCTCAATCGCTTGGCCGAGCCGGTCTGGAGGGTCGTCGTGGTTCCCGTTCGCAGCTCTCATTCTCTCGCAAATTCCCATTCGTCAAAAGCACAGAGCGTCTAAACGATTTAACGGATCAAGAGCGTAAGTCTTTAAAAATTATTTTAAAAAATGACTTTTCCTTCTTATAAGCATTTAAAAACAATGACAACTTTCAAGGAGCTGGTCGTTACACCTCACCGGCGAATTATTCCACATACACTAGTGATACAGATTATAGTGAGTAGAGAATGAGTTTGAGAGTTGAGAGTTGAGAATTGAGTTTGCGGAAATGATTTCATGTGTAACAAGTGGTGTTTTTTTTTACGCTAAAAATGTCCGTCTGAAAGAAATGGGTTAAAATTTGTATTTAAACCTTTTACTTTTCAGTGAACAGCAGCGATGAGCCGATTCTCTCGTATCAAGTGATCGAGCAACAGCAATGTGAGTTAATTAATTAATTGATTCTATAAGTAATAATTAAATCTATAAGTTTTCTGATTGTTAGAATTGAAATCGCTAATATTAAAGCTAATAAATCTAATAAATCTAATCTAAATCCCTTTAAATCGAATATTTTAGTGAACTACATTCGCCCGGTGATCATTCTGGGTGGTTTGAAGGATCGAATCAACGACGAATTGGTGAATCGATACCCGGATCGTTTCAGCAGCTGTGTACCTCGTGAGTTCTTTCCTGAAACATCAGCCTGACTATCGTTTTGAGTTTATTTTTGAAACATTCATATTCTGTTAAGTAAGAAAATTGTACTAGGTCTATATTGTAACAAAAACACCTGTCGGTCCTTTTTCGCCGAGGTTTTTCTCAGCACCGGCCCTTCGATTTTGACTATTTTGACTATCATTCGATGTAAAATAAAATTGCGCGTCGAATGATATCAAAATCAGCGCAAAATCTAATATTCACGCAAAGTTGTTGGCTAAAAACCTAAACCCCGCTTATTATGAGCGGGACTTAACTTTTTGTGTCATAAATTTCCATAGATATTACATTTTGAGTCAATTTTGATATCATTCGACCCGCAATTTGATTCTGCATCGAATGATAGTCCAAATAGTCAAAATCAAAGGGTTGATGCTGAAAAAAAGCTTGGCAAAAAAGACCAATAGATATTTTCGTTACTAGTCTAGTGGATACGATATTTTAAACAATAAAAATCAAAATTTAAAACCATTTTTGCTTTTAGACACCTCTCGTCCCGCTCGACCAAACGAGATCGACGGTCGAGATTATCATTTTGTCTCTAAACAACAAATGGAAGAAGATGTCAGAAATAATCTCTTCATCGAAGCTGGACAATTCCAAGTTTGAAAGAAATCCTAGATTTCCATTTACCAATTTTAGGGAAATCTCTACGGAACGTCGATCCAATCCGTGCGTCAAGTTGCTAACAGTGTAAGTTAATGAAAAAATTTACTACTATAGTTTTTTCAATTATTGCACCAAAAAACCTATTCCAGGGTCGTCACTGTATCCTCGATGTCTCCGGCAATGCTATTCGTCGGCTCCAATCCATCGCAAACATTCAACCAGTTGCTATCTTTGTAAAACCACAAAGCCCGTATCAGGTAGCTTTATCTTTGGACTTATTTTTAGGCTTCTTGCAACTTGTAAGATTTTGATCTAAACATCTTTTAGCTTCGCGACTGGGATCATCAAATGGGCGATGAGGAGGCTCAACAACAGTATCAGAGATGTCAACGTATTGAGAATACCTTTGGAGATGTGTTCACACGTGAGTTTTTGAGAGATTTGAAATGTTTGAAGTATTAATAATAAAATAAAACTGAAATCTGGTAGAATTTCTGAAGCTTAGCTCAAAGGAACGGTTGCCATGTCAAAAATCGAAATGTATCCAGTAGAGGTGTTCATTTTCGGTCTGATTTTCAAGGTGTACAACAGAAAAACGATATTTAACCACTTTAACAGTAACTTTTTCAAGATTTCTTTCAAATAAAGGTAGAATTTTTGAAGCTCTATATCTTTTGGTCTGAAAAACCCGCTTTTGAAGTGGTCAAATCTCGCTTTTCCGTTGTACACCTATTGAAAATTAGACTGAAAATTAACAGCTCTAGTACCAAAGTATCAATCTTGATATGAATGTACGCAAAATCTTCATTTTCAGATGTCATCTCAAACGCTGGTTCTTTGGAAGAAGTGTTGGCTCGAGTGCATGGAACGATCGCAAACGAATCTCGTCCAACCACATGGGTTGTCAACACTGCTCGACCACTGTAAAGAAATATCTGTAGAATGATTTCAGTTTGTTCTTTGTACTCAAAATAGAAATAGAAACACACACACACTGTCTGACATACTCATTTTTCTTCGAGCAACAATTGGTGGCTTGAGAAAAAGTGCAGAAATCAGTAATGGTGCGTTCAGGAATTCAGAAAATAAGAAAATAATGTGCGTTTCAATTTCCGATCACAAAGTACACTCACTTGAAAATCATTTCCCTATAGATTAGTGACAAAAAAAACGTCGCTCAATAGCTAAATTCGAATAGATTTTATCATTTTTCCTTACTCAAAAAACTTTTTTTTTTTTTCCATAAACGATCAGGTTTTCTATTGGCACCCATGTTCAAGCTTGATTATTCAAATTTCTTTTTTTTTATTCCATTCCTACAAAATTTCAGACATTTTCCCCAACACTGCCGTTTACATTTTAGTAACTTTTTTTTTTTTTTTCAAAACTGACGCATTTTTCACTTAAAATTTTTGAGGATACCCCCGTTTTTATCAAATTTTTTTTGAGGGAAATCGAGTGATTTGAGGTTTTTGTGAAACTGAATTACTCGATTTTTTTTTCAAAAATTCATCTCATCCATTCAAACACATCATCAAAAAAAATTACTTACAATTTTCATCTCTTTTCTTCCATTTTTTTCTTTTTTTTTGTGATCGCTTGTGATATTTCCTTTTCAACTACTACGCTAACTCAAATGAAAACAAAAAAAGATTTTTTTTTTCAGCAGATCACAGATATTTGTGTTGTGACTCTTTGTTTTATAAGAAAATTCTCTTTTTTTTTTTTTGGGAAATTGATCTTTTTTTTTTTTCATTAAAATCCATTGTCCCCGAGCGATTTCTCCGAAAAATTTCTGTCGTTTTTTAGTTAAACTGAGTTTTTACGCGATTTCTCTCTCTCCCGAATACCCTTTTTTTTGCATGAAAATGAGAAATATCTATGATTTTCTTTTCTTTTCTTTTCGCTTTATTGTATGAGTTAATAAAGTTTATTACTGAAAGGAAAGAGCAAATAACTCTTGATTTCAAAGAGTTTAATAAGAATTCAGTTGTTTTACTTGTTAGATTGTGTACAGTAAAACAAATCAAAATGTACATAATAACGTTTTTTAAACCTACGAACATTTCTCTTGAGATTGTTACAGATCAGCTAGATTTATAAAGAAAGTTTGGGGTAGGCTAATTTTCGCAATTTTTTCTGCAGGGTCATTTGCGCAACTCGCCATAACTTTCTTCTAAGTCGGCCAATCTTTATGATGTTGGTTTCATTTTGTTGCACTTATTGAGATCTACAAACTTGCCTACAAACTACAAACAAATCTTAAACTTGCCAGAAAAGTAATATTTCTATTCTTGGCTACTTTAAGTCAAATTTCGTTGCGCAATAACTTTCTTCTAAGTGATTATATCTTTATAATTTTGATATCATTTTGTAGATCTCAATAAGTGCAACAAAATGACACCAAAATCATAAAGATTGACCGATCTAGAAGAAAGTTATGGCGAGTTGCGTAAATGACCCTGTTGCGCAAAAAAAAAATGCGGAAATTAGCCTACCCCAAAGTTTGTACTCATTCAAAATATTCAAGATTTTCGACCAAGACTTATAAATATTCTATTGTTAAATAAGACCAGCAAGTGTTAAAATAGTTTTATGATTTGTTTTGCTGTACGTTTACGTGTTGACACAATGCGCCAAGTACAGCAATTGATATGACAGTAAAACTATGATCTTTAAACGGCAACTTGGCATTGATTGTCTCAATTTTGATATCATACAATAAGACTTGCGATTTTTCATCGAGTTTAGATTTTAGAATATTAACTAAACTTCAGTTTAATAAGTTCAGAATTAAGAAAACTATATTATAGGGAAATCAAGGATTTTCCTAAGTCACTAAACAAAACTAAACAACACTAAAAAACACTAAACAATAACGGAATCCCTCATTTACCCCATCGACCTCATAAAAACGAGCAAATGAAATCAACGAGAAGGGCAATAAAAAAAAAGAAAAAAAAGACAAAAAGACAAAAAGAAGTCAGATCATTTTACGAGAATGAGAGGTGGTTTCACTCATTTTCTTTTTTTTCTCATTTACAGTGAGAGGCAGTAAAGAAAGACAATGGTTGTAAATGAAGAGATCTTTTTGAAGGGAAGACTTATTTGCACGCATTTGCAAGAAGGGAAAATCGAATTTCGTCGAGTTCAACGAGAGTTTTTGTGTGAGACAACATCTGCCGCTTTGGGAAGCGGAAATCTATTTGATTTCAACGGTTTTTGGTAGGTTTTTGTAGGTTTTTGTTGGTAAGAAGATCATGGATGGAGAGAACAAAAAAAGAAAACAAAGACAATCATTGTACATACATGATTTTGACTAGTTTAACTAACTACTTGATTTTTTTCAATAAAATTAATCTCTAATTTAAGATACTTTTGTTGAGAATTGAGAGTGAACAAAAAGTAAGCTATAAAAAGTAATTAAGCTTACTAGACTTTTCCTTAAATGCCAGGGAAAGACTAGAGTAGGTTAATTTGAAGAAATTACAAATTATATACTAAATTGTAAGTCTTTCTTGATGATTCAATGAAAATGATTAAGCAGACTACTTTTGTGGGATTAAAATAAAACCTGATACTAGGAAAATCTCATAAACTACCTAAAATCCTTTAAAAACTAATCCATTCTAAAGTAGGCTATGGTTGATTTTTCTGACTATGAGCCAGGCCAGGGTCAGGCTAAAAGTCAATCCTAACCAGGCCAGGACCGAATAGTTGTTTCCCAATGCCGCACCAGCTGGTTCAGACCCAAAGACGAGTCAAAACAAGGGTAGCTTCTGGATCTCATCCGATTTTTCATTGAAGGAGAAGTAATGGAGAAGTAAAAGATGATAAACTTGCAGGTTAAAGTTTGAAAAGAAAAGAAAACCAAAGATAGGTTTGTCCTAACCAATTTGGTTTAATAAAACAGCTTGATTCTAGGCCAAGATGGTAGCTGAAATAGCTGAAACGAGTGATAATTGGAGGAGGATAAGCTAGTGAAATGCTTGCTCACTCAAACCAATCAAGTAAAGCTTTTACCTCAGCAGGCGGCTCGTTGGCTGTTGCTTGCTGTGAGTTCTGTCAATCCGATTCCAATTCTCGAATTTAATTCAGGAGGACGACTAACGATAAGCTTTGATATTGAACTACGATAACGCTAGTGACGAAAGAAAAGAAGAAAACCACTCTCATCGTAACAGTTTGAACTCACACTTGATTAATACATGATACGGGAGAAAACCCCAAAAAAGTAAAACAGTTTTGTGATAATCGTTCCCCTCAAGACTTTTCCACCCACGCTCTTAAAAAAACTTTTTCCTTTCAACTCCGCACGAAGAGCTGTTCATGAAAAATGACGGTTTAGAGGTTTAGAGGCGGAGAAAGAAATCTTTTTCAAGCTTTACGTTTTGAGAGAAGAAACTAAACTTAAACACAGCTATCGCTTTTTCTTTCTTCTCTTCTCTTCTCTCAATCTCGATCCAAAAAGAGAAATTGAAGACTATCGTCTCTTTAACAGTTAATTTGAAAGAGAAAAAGAGGTCGACCTTGTCTTTTTTTTTCCTCATTTGAGAGAAAATGAGTAACAATGAAAACTGCCTATCTTTGCCGTTAGGCTTTTCCCTGCTTTTTTTTGACCGAGGCGGGACTTGACCTCCACTCAGTGAGTATAAATTCGAGAATTGGGATCGGATTGACAGAACTCACAGCAAGCAACAGCCAACGAGCCGCCTGCTGAGGTAAAAGCTTTATTTGATTGGTTTGAGCGAGCAAGCATTTCACTAGCTTATCCTCCTCCAATTATCAATCTAATTCTATACCAATTCAATCTTTTCAGATGTCCTCTGAGAAAGTTAACCAGCATGAGGCTGAGAGCTTCAGAAAGCTCGCCGTTTTCGGCATTGCCTTGAGGTGAGCCCTTTTGACTCTTCGAAATCTTGTATTTGGCTTTACTCCTTCTCTTCCCTTACCTACATTTTTCTTTTCAGCACTGCCGCCACTCTTACTGCTATCATCATCATCCCGGCTCTTTACAACTATATGCAACATGTGCAATCATCTCTCCAAGACGATGTTGACTTCTGTGTGCATCGCGCTGATGGACTCTGGGGAGAGTACGCCAAGTATGAGGCTGCTCATGGAGCTCAAGGACGTCTGAAGAGAGACGTAACTAAGCAAAATGTAATTTGAAATCAAAATCTTTCAGGCTGTTCACCGCAGCTCTGGCCGCTCTGGTGCTCGTCGTCGCCCAGTTGCTCGTGGAGCTGCCTCATATGGTGGAGATGCCGGATATGGAGCACCAGCACCAACTGACATGGGAATCTCTGGTGGAAGCTCCGAGGGAGGATCGTGCTGCTCGTGTGGAACTGGTGACGCCGGACCACCAGGACCACCAGGACCTGATGGAAACAATGGAAATGATGGACAGCCTGGAGCTGATGGAGAGCATGGACCTGATGGAGAGGCTCCTGGAAATGGAGGAGCTGATGAGGGTTGCCAGACTTGCCCTGATGCCCCTGCTGGACCCGCTGGAAATCCTGGACCAAAGGGACCCAATGGAAACCCTGGATCTGATGGACAGCCTGGAGGCCCAGCCCAGCCTGGACCCGCTGGACCACCTGGACCAGCTGGACCACCTGGACAAGACGGACAACCAGGACAAGATGGACAACCAGGACCTGCTGGACAACAACAAACCATTCCCGGACCACCAGGAGCTCCAGGAGCCGCTGGACCCCCAGGACCCGCTGGACCACCCGGACCCGCTGGACAACCTGGATCATCAACTGATGGACCACCAGGACCAGCTGGAGATGATGGAAAGCCTGGACAACCTGGCTTGGCTGGACAACCCGGTCAACCTGGAGATGCTGGAGGCGAGGGTACTGGAGGCGGATGTGATCACTGCCCTCCCCCAAGAACCGCTCCAGGATATTAAGCGATTATCGAAGCGAGATCAAAGTTTTTCTGTACAGGCTGCACAATTCTGTAGTAATAAATTTCATAGGCAAATGCGAAAGCTTGAAAATGCACAGGATGAAATCAAATGCTCAGTATTTAAATATTAGAAAAAGTTAAGAAAACAAACAAACAAACAAAAAATGTCCAAAAATCTGCTTTTAGAAAGTAAAATCTAGAGAATTGAGCAAGTAAAAAAGCTTTTGAATTGTAAAGATTCGATAAAGAATTCAATCTTTGCTTAGCTTGATTTTGATCAAATCTTATTGTGAAACGCTGAAATCAATCGTTCACTAAAATTTTCAATTTCTGAGAATCTTATTTTTGAAGATGGACATAGTGCTTTATCGTTGTAAATCATAGAACTGAAATAAGAAACGATTTTGAAAAGCTTAAAAATAAAAATAATGATTTGATCTGTCTTCGCACTTAGCGCAGATCACAACCCGCTTCCACATTTACTGAGGCAGAAGTGTAGTTGTCGTAGCCGATGATACTCCGATGGCCGGGCTGGGGCGCTCGGAGGGGAGCCCATTGAAAAGCTTAGTATTAGAAAAATGAAAATCGGATATGTATTCTAGGGATTTCTTTGAATTTAAACACATTTAAACACGCGTATGACGCCAAGGTTGAATCGAATCAACGAATTCAAAAGTTTCGTTTTACGTGCAATAAACTGTTCAAGTGTTGGGGTTTTAGGTAAAAAAAAAAACTAACTACTGGTCGTTTCCGTGACACACCCTCCGTGTGTAAGCACAGCCGAAAAGCGAAAAGCAAAATGCTAAATATCTACTTGTTTTGATGAATTTAGGTTATTTATCTCACCGTTTCATTTCTGAATTCTTTCCAAGTTGGGCACTTCGAAGCGTGCGTTTCGGAGATGCTGTGTGCTAATTCTGACGTTGTGCTGACGTTGTGCTGACGCTGTGCTGACGCTGTGCTGACGCTGTGCTGACGCTGTGCTGACGCTGTGCTGACGCTGTGCTGACGCTGTGCTGACGCTGTGCTGACGCTGTGCTGACGCTGTGCTGACGCTGTGCTGACGCTGTGCTGACGCTGTGCTGACGCTGTGCTGACGCTGTGCTGACGCTGTGCTGACGCTGTGCTGACGCTGTGCTGACGCTGTGCTGACGCTGTGCTGACGCTGTGCTGACGCTGTGCTGACGCTGTGCTGACGCTGTGCTGACGCTGTGCTGACGCTGTGCTGACGCTGACGTTGTGCTAATTCTCTGAAATTAATCAATGCATCAAGAGTCACAACATTAATGGATAATTAGGTAATCTTTTTTTAAACTTTATCTTATCAAAGTTTCAAATTTTTGGTCGATTTGGTCGATTTTAAAGTTGAAATTCTTTGCAATAAGATATAATGCAATAGAGTTCCTTTTTTAATAGAACTTTTGAAATTTAGAAGTAATCAAATATTTAGCGTTTGGAAATGTGTCGAATAAGCGCAAGAAATCAAGTCGAAAATCTTTTGGCAAATGTTTTTCAGTGAATTCTTGCATTTTATATGAACCAAGCAATAGTTTGAAGTCTTTTAGCACTTTTTTTTGCACGATTATCAAATTGGATAGAAAATTGCGAATCAACTGTGAGTCAATGTTTGAAAAGAGTTGAATTTGTGCTTTAAAAAATGTAAATGCACTCTCTCTGGTGCACTTAATTCTTCCATTTCGCAAACAATGTTTCTCTAGAGAAAAAATGAAGAGTTAAATCCGTGAGAAGATTTATGTTTATAGAGTCGAGTATAAATTATGAATCTATGAATAAATTAACCAAAATTACTGCAAAGTACTGTATTAAAGTACGTATTAAAGTACGTATTCAAGGTACTCACTTCTACTTCTACTACTTTTTAAAGTCTGGAATGGAAAGAAGCTAGTGGAAAGAAGCTGGAAAGAATGGAAATGTTGACTAGTCAAATTTGAACTTGTATCGGATAAATTTCATTGACTTTTCTTTTTTTTTGCATTTAATCTTTAACTTTCATCATCAATTTATCCAAAAGAAAATCGTTAAAATAACATAAATTTTAGAGAACAAATAATTGAGATGTGGTTAAATGGTCGACTAACCGTACAGAGATTGAGTATCCAAAGGTTAAAAACAATAAAAGAAAGTGAAAAACTGATCAATGAAAAGGGTAAGATCACTTGGAAAATAACAAAAAAAGAGTTAATAAATTATGCATTGATAGAATGGGTGGTAAAGCTTGTGAATTGGGATTAGTAATCGGTTCCCATTGCACTGGCGAGTGCTCCGCCAAGGCTCCCATCATCGGCTTGGGTTCTGTAATTTGAGATATTAAGAGAGATTATATGTAAGTAACTTTGAAATCTGCTGTTGTGCTTAAATGGTCGACTTAAACGTGCAGAGATTGAGTATTCAAAGGTTAAAACAATAGATGCACCTAATTTGATGATTTTACTTAAAAGAATCAAGATTTCGTCAAGGCGAAACACTAGCTTTAATGGTTTAACACTATTTGAAGGCAATTTTTTGTCAATCTCACGTTGGAGGTGCTTGTTGCTGAGGTTGAGAATAGGGATCTGAAGGTTGAGAAGTCATTGGTGGATGTTGTTGAGTGGACGGTTGGACGGAGTAGGTGACAATTGGTGGCTGGGGTTGAGCATACGGGTTTGATGGAGGATTTCCATACGGAGAATAGACGGGCATTCCTCTTGGTGCTGGGCCGCCACGATATGGATCTGATGGCATCCCTGGATTGAAAATTGAAAATTTCTATTATTTATCAATCCCTTTACGCTTTGCTTAGGCGCCGTTAAATCTCAGTTAAGGCGGCCTGGTTCGACGTGGGGGCATGGCGAAGTGGTAACGCGCCTGTTTCGGGAAAACTCGGATTTACAGGAGGTCCCGGGTTCAAACCCCGGTGCCCCCCTAACTTTTGCTTTTTGAGTTTTCGTCCTAAAACACTTGTTAAATGAACAGAAATGCTTAGAAAATGCTATTCATGGCTGAAGTTTTAGAGTTTAGACTTATAAAATAGTATAAAACAAATAGAGTTTTTAAAATTATATAAAATAGAGGTCTTTAGACTTTTTTTACTTGATTTTTATCTAATCTAATGTTAGGAAATCAATTTTGGTTCAATATTTTCAGGGAATTAACCAGGATGCATTGAGTGTGGTGGATAATATCCACGTCCGGCATATGATCCAGTCGGTGGTTGAGCATAGACATTGGTCGGTGGAGCGGTCGGTGGAGCTCTAGCTGTGGTTGACGGGGGAATCGGTGGAACTCTGAAAAGATAAAGGTGAATGTCATCTAATCATATATCAATTTACAAGCTTTTTGTTGTCCCACTAACAGTTAGCAAAGCTATTTGATCAAATAAAAGTTTAAAAGAAACTTTTGCAGATTGGCGATCGTTTTCGTTTCCCCGGCACTGTTGGGTCGTTCATTTGATGGAGTTGGGGATGGTTCATTGCTTTTTTCTTTCATTTTCTCAGGTGTTGCCTCCTTTTTTACAACTTTTGGCGGAGAAGCTTTCGCCTTTGGTGGCGATTTTGAAGGAGATTTCATTGGTGACTTCTGAAATTCAGATTTTAAGGCTAAACTTGAAAAGACTAGCTCAAAAATGTCTTTTTAGCAAAAGTATTGCCAATTTCAAACCTTTTTGGAGCTTCCAGGAGTCACTTTATTCAATCCGGCTTTCGGTGGTGGTGCCCTTCTCTCTGTATCGGCCACAATTTGCGTCTTTTTCTGCGTCTGCGTCGGAGGAGGACGCTCATCTTTACTACTAAAATATTAGCTTAGTCTTGACCACTTTTTGTACTTTTGTTTAAAAATAACTTATTCACCTACTGCTTTATTATCAAGATTGTTGAAATATTACTTAAATATTCTGCCTCTAGTTTTATGGGGACACAAAGTCGGATGGTTAAAAAAGACGATTTAGACACTTTGGTCTAAAGACATCTATCTTGATGTCGATAGATAAAAGATAGAGCACAAAAAGTTAGGTTTATAGCCAAATTTTCAGAACAATCTGTTCAGCCAGTATCGAATTTTGTGAGAAACTAGTTTTCCAACTTGAATTGACTTGGAAACAGACTAAAATCGGTTTGAAATGATAGAAAAGTGAGTGCTAAACATTTTCTATTTGGGGGAAAACCGTAGATCAATTGGTGACTTTGTTATTTCTAAGCAGATGTACAAAAAAGTGGTCAAGACTTGTTAACGAAGTTAAGATTTAAAATTCAACTACCTTCCATCACTTTCATCATCTCGATCTTTTTGTTCTTCTTCCTCATCTTCATCTTCTTCTTCATCCTCACCCTCGTCTTCTTCTGGAGTGAATTCATCGCTAGATCTGAAAAAGTGAATCTATCACTGGAAAAATAGCTGATCTACTATATATAAAGGGACTAAGACGTCTGTCTGTCTGTCTGTCTGTCTGTCTGTCTGTCTGTCTGTCTGTGCGCGCTGCTCCTCAGCCCCCAGAGGACTCTTTGCAATAATTTTTGCGCTGTTGAATAGAGAATTACATGTAGTTGTGCAATGTGTTTTTGGATTCTTTAAAAAGCACAATTCAAATAGCACGGGGAAGGTCGAACCCGGATTGTATGGGCGATAGACCGGCATACTATTCACTGCTCCACGGTGACAAAAGCCGGCCATTCCCAAAACATCCGCCGTTAGGCGTTAGGCTGGTTTAACTTCTAACACGCAATTAGGCAGTCAAAAAGACAAGTCAACAAGTATCTTTAAGCTTTAGAAAAGCTTTGTTCCTTTAATCTTTAAGCTAAAGACATTCGGAAGCATTTTTCAAACAATTGCTAGTTTTTTACTTACTCAGCTTTCCTCTTTCTGCCTTTTGGTGGTGGCTTTGTCTCCTTTTTGGGTGATTTCTCCTTCTTTTTCGTCGATTTTGTTGCCTCCTCTTTCTCCACATGATCATTTCCCTCTTCTTCCCCGACATCATCATTTCCCTCTTCCTCAACCACTTCTTCCTCACTTTCTTCACTTTCCTCATCTTCTTCTTTTTCTATTGTCGCCGTTTTCTTTGTTGCCCAAGCAGCCGCTTTCCTCATTCTCCTAAAATTTTCTTAATAAAATCAAATCTGTAAATTGAAATTCGATGAGATCAGATTACTAGTTCATGAAGAATTTCTCGTGAATGACTGACCCTCCCCTCTTGTTCCTCTCCGCTTCACTTCCCTCCGTCTCCTCTTCTTCCTCTTCTTCTTCCTCTTCATCCGAATTCTCCCATTTCCTCTTCCTTTCCTTATCTTTTAGTGCTTTTCCTTTAGCTACTCGTTTCTTTGTTTTCTTTGTCGAATCATCCGACCATTCACTGTCATCTTCTTCCTCTGATAGACTATCGTACTTTCTAAAACTCTAATCATTTAACTGTCATCTCTAAAAATCTCCATACCCTTTTTTCTTCTTTTGTCCCTTTTCTCGTCTTTCCTTTTCTCTTCTACCTCGATAACCAAGATCACTTCCATCAGATTCACTAACAACAAACTCTTCATCACTCTAAAAGTGATTAGATCTTCATTTACAGCTCTTAAACTAACAAGTACTTTTCTACAAAACGTTAATTCTTTTAAACAAACAGCTGTTGGGCCATTGAATCCCCTTGTCCTCCTTGTCCCAGTTCGTCTCTTTCTTCCCTCAAGATCAGACGGAACATATTCAGATCCCGATGCCAAATCATTCTCCTCTTCAGGCTCAGAGTCCCTAAAAACTGGTATTTTGGCAAATCCAATTATTAGGTTGATGCATAAGTGTTTTTGTTCCTTTTCGTCTGCCGTTTCAAGCCAACAAATGCACCAATTAAACTACGGTTGATTTCATTAGAAAAAGCAATTATTTTTCTGCAAAATAACATTAAAACGGGTTTAAAAATATTTAATGCCTGGATTTTCTTGAGAGTATGAAGTCGGGTAGTCAAAAAGGGCTAACTCGATGATGCGGTTTAGACACCTTAGCTAAAGAAAACCTATCTTCGTGTCAATAGATAAAAGATAGAGAAAAAAAACGTTTGATATTTCGCCAAAATTTCAGAGAAATTCATTCAGCCAATTTTTCCGTAGAGTTTTTTATAGATTTTTACGAAAAAGGCGTTTTTCACTCTCGAATTTGCTTGAAAGTGAACCGAAATTGATTTAAAAAGATGGAAATTGAACAAAAAAACACTTTTTTTATAGAGCAAACTATAGATTAATTGGTGAATTTGTTACTTTTTAACAGAAGTACGAAAAAAACGAAAAGACTTATGCATCAACCTATTACATTTTGGATATCAGATTTGTCAAACTTACTCGCTTGCCCTGTACTCGCTGACATCACTCTCTTCTGGATCCGAATCCAAATCGTTCAATCGTTTTTTTGTCTTCTTTTTCTTACCCTTCCCTCGTAATGGATCTTGACCAATCTAAAATTAAATTAAATTTGAAAATCAAAGGAAACTATAGTAAATAGTTGAACCTTTCTCCTCGGTTCTCCATCATCTTCCTCCTCTTCTTCATCTTGTTCCTCTCTCTCCTCTTTATTCTCCTCTTGTACTTCTTGTTCTTCTTCTTCTTGTTCTTGTTCTTCATCCTCTTCTTCATTACTTGTTCGTCTCTTTTCTGCTTCGATAATGTTATTCATATCTTTATTCCCCATTCCACCAGTTGGACGACCTTGCCCCTCTGAAAAGCATTTTTCATTAAAACTAGAAGTTGCTTGCGATTGCTTGCAATTCCATATTTACAACATAAAGCTCAGTTCTGAATTATTCAATTCTCTTACCATCTCTTTGCGGTTTCGGTCCTCCTTCCTCAATCTCAACAGCTTCTTTAATCAAATTCTCATATTCGGCAAAACTGTAGTCGATATTCTAAATCGAATATTTATCAATAATGATTTCTTTTCTCACCGCAGCCGTTCTCCTTTTTGTCCTTCCCTCAGCAATTGTAGCTAATACTTGTCTCTCAAAAGTCGATCGAATTCTTGGAGCGATTCTCTTAATTGCTTTTGATTTGCTTTTCCTTTTTCTCGTATCCTCTTCATCTTCCTCTTCATCAGAATCAGATCCAGATGAATATTGAGAATTTCCCTTTTGCATAACCTGAAATCAAGACTTGTTGATTGAAAGCTAAATCTTTGATTGATCTTGAATGCTAAAAGTTTCAGGGAACTCACCGGGATAATATTTTTAATGGAGATCCCAATGTATTCCATTTCTCTTCTCAGTCTTTCAGCTTCAGATCGTTTTCTGGAAAAAGATAATCTAATCAATGATATTACAAAATTTTTACTTTGCATCCGTTGATTGTTTTGTTTTCAGCGATTTCTCACGATCGGATTTGACGAGTTCAAAGCGTGCGATGAGCATTCCGTGAAGACATTTCGGACAAAACCAATCATCATCAGGCACATACCTGAAATGGGTTTTTCACTGAATATATTAAAAGGATTAACTGGAGAACTGGAGAGATTTTGATTAGATGAATATCTTATTAGACTGATAACATACACTACTGGACAATGAAATATGATATTTGAAAAACGATCGTCACTTTCGCGCGTCTGTAACTCCCTTATCTTTACCGTATTTCTAAATATGAATATTACCATTGTGTAGCCCTTGAAAAGAGCTTTCAGAAAATGTATAACACTAATTGTTTAAACTCAAAGACAAGGGAGTTACAGACGCGCGAAAGTGACGATGGTTTTTCAAATAGCTTTAATGTCATCATAAATATTTCATTGTCCAGTACTGTAGCTTTAATGTTATCATAAATTCCAAAGTTTTTCTAACTAACCATAGCGGTGGATGGAGACAATCGGTGTGCCACGCGTCGTCACAGTTATCGCAAAGGAGTAGCTAAAAATTTCGCTTTTGAAATCCAGTACACTATGCAGTTTACAGTATTGTTGATCGATAGCTTTCCTTCAACTCACCACATCCCACCGATCACTCTTCAAACATTTTTTACAGTTCGACTCCTCATTCGCCTTTTTGCGCTCCTTGACCACTTCTTCCTCGTCATCACCGCTTTCAGACTAAAACCGAAAATACTCAGCTAGTTATTTTAATCAAATTTAAGCTAAATTTCAATGTAGATATCTGAAAGAATCAGTTAAACTAGTCACAACTCACCTCAGAAGCCTCCACTTGTTTAGGACGACGTTTCCGTTTGATTCTGAAAGCAATGTGAAATAGGTTATTAATAGATTGATCAATAGATTAATAGCCATTGCCATAGATTAATAGGGAAGTTTATTAATAGATTGATCAATAAGTCTTTCAACACTTTTCCATAAGTTATAAATGAAAAGTTCACCAATTGATCTACCAGTTTTTTTTAAAATAAAAGATCTTTTTTAACACTTTTCTATCTTTTTACGACAATCTAGGTCCTCGATTTAGACATTTTTGTTTAAAGAAATCGATTTCGGTGTTAATTTAGAAAAGAAAGAGCGCAAAAAGTTCAATTTATAGGTCTTTTATAGAAAAATATTAGGCTTTTCTAATGGAGCAAATCATAGATGAATAGGTGAATTGGTTATTGCTAAATAGCTTTTCAAATGAAATATCCAAAGACTTATCGGTTTAATAGATTTTAGCGTACCCAGTTTTATTCTTCTTTTCCGCAAGTTTAAACTCATCATCCTCATCTTCATCATCGTCTTCTCCATCTTCTTCCTCTTCATCTTCATCTTCTTCGGATTCAGAAGCATCCTAAAATCAAAAACATTGAACTTTGTGTAACAAATTGAAAAAGAAATCAAAAAATGAAATCGGAAAAAACGAGTTCGCTAGAAAATGTTGAATACAAAGTAGTGTTTTAAGATAAGCAAATTATTAAACCAAATAACCTTTGACGTTTCTCTTGATCTCGATTCCTCATCCTTTACATTGTTCACTTTTTTCTTCACGGACTTTCTTTGTGGAGTGGCCATTTTGTGAAGAGCTTCAACCGCTGCTCTTGCTGATCGCCTAGGCAACAATCGACGATCACCAAGCTCCTGAAATCACTCTTTCTTCAAACATCAAACTCTCCTCACCATCGGAATCTCATCCTCTTTTTGCTCCTCTTCTTCATCATCAGTTTCATCTTTCTTTCTTTTCCTTTCTTCATTTCCTTTCTCTGGTACTCCTTCTCTCTTCCGACGGCGTTCCTCCTTCTCTTTAGCTCGTTTCTCTCTTCGTTGCTAAAATTTGTATCTTAAAATTGATTATACCGTATTTTCTCTAATAGTAGTGCACCCCACCGAGCTGAGTTGGTGACTATTTTACGGTTTCCAAGCTTTTGCAGAAGCTCAACACTCAAATCCCCCACGAGATCTCATCGTCAGCTACATTTTCCGATCCCACATCGATAGGTTCTGATAAACGGTTCTCAAGATTTCGAGGAATTTAGACAATGCTCAGGGTGCACTACTATTAGAGATAATATGGGATTTGGCGATCACTGGATTCAGCTAAAACTATTGTAATCTAGAAATTAAATGCCTGAGAAAGAGGTATCACCTCACAGACGTTACCATAACCTGCCAAAGCTGCTTGCTCTATTCTTTTTCTCTCTAATAGTAGTGCTGAGCCAAGTTGATGACTATTTTACGGTTTCCAAGCTTTTGCAGAAGCTCAACACTCAAATCCCCCACAAGATCTCATCGTCAGCTACATTTTCCGATCCCACATCGATAGGTTCTGATAAGCGGTTCTCGAGATTTCGAGGAATTTAGATGACGCTCAGGGTGCACTACTATTAGAGAAAATACGGTATACTCATTATCATTTGAGCTTATCTCTATCAATCTTTAAAATAAACCTTCATCGTCTGATCATCATGATAAACATCGATAAAAGTGCCAGTTTTAAGTGAAACAATGAGCTTCCCATTCTCATCGTGTGTCTTCACTTCTTTCTTCTCTTTTCCATCGGATTCTTTCTTTTTATATCCCAAATCTTCTTGTTTCAGCTTTTCAAAGATTTCATCGAATTCATCGGATTTTCTGGAGTTTATATATTGAAAAAAAAGTCGAGTTACTTTCACTAACTGAGCAATCAAATTCCAAGTGCAACCAGCTAAATCCTCTTGTTCTTCCGTGTAGATTCGGACTGAAATTTTTGAGGGGAATTTAGTTAATTGGCTTATCTAATATCTTTAAAAACTAAAAATAATAAACTTACTATTGAAATCGGAATCCTGTTGATACCAATAGGCGAGGCCATTTTTATCGATTCCTAACGGGAGAAGACGAAGCTCACAGCCACGACACTCGTTTTGAATCTGGAAATGATTTAGTTAGCGGATTATGAAATTTAATGAAATTTAATGCAATTTAATGCAATTTAAGGAGATTCTAAAGATAGAATGATTAAATTAAAGAGTAAAATTTCCATATCAAAACTCACCGTTTCACGAAATTTCAAATTATAGTCAAACTGTGCTTCACAAAGCGATTTGAGGATGGCCAATCGACTGGATAAGGACAAATTCGCGTAACCGTATCTGAAAAGAATCAGTATTTGCTTTAAGGAATCCAATTTTTCCAATCCAAACCAACCTCGACAATTGTAGATACTCTGCATCAAGTGCGGGAATGAATTCGCAAAATTTAGAGAGAAATTTCCCGAGCATCTCCGATCGAACTCCATTGTAGCGAATTCTTCTCAACAATGTCACGTGTAAATCAACAAGTTCTTTGTTTACTAAAATCATTAAGTTAATAAAAGACTAGGAGTTTCTTAAAAAGCTCTAAGCTCTAACAAATGATGGCAAATGATGAATGGCAATGATTGGCAAATGATTGCCAATCGATGAATTGAATCTAGTAGTCTTTGAATCTAGTAGTCTTAATCCTTTTCTTATCTTTCATATCAACTTACAAGATCCATCAGATTCATTGTTCAAGAAAAGGCTTTCCAATTTCTCGAATGATAGCGGTTTCATCGTGAGCAGTGCGCCGAATTGATTGAGAAACGAGGCAATCGTGGCGAACGAGGGATCGGATTGGAGAGAGGAACGAGCCTAAAACAGTTTCATGTAGAGGCTTTGATTATTGTCTATTGTCTAGCTGTCTATTGTTTAAAATTATTGTCCAGCTATTCTAGATCTGTATTTCACCTCTTTAGAAGCAGCAGCTGATTCTTGAAGTGCGTCCTCTTCATCCGATTCCCCGTCAGCCTCCATTTTCGGATCTGTGAGCTTGCCGTTCTCGTGTGGCTAAATAAAAATCTGATATGCAAATTGCTTTAATGGTTTAGAATTGTCAAATTAAGTTCATTATACAATATTCTGTAGATTAGCCGAGTTGTGTAAAAAACTAGATGACGAGCTAGATGACAAGTCAACTAAACGATCAAATCAAAAGCACTTTCAGTATTAAGAACACTTTTTACAAGTACATTTACTAGCAGTGTATATCTGTCTGTACGGGCATTTTCCTGGCCGTGTTTTGAAAAATAAAGATCAAACTTTTTTAGAAAACCTTAGAATATATTGTAGTTGTGGTGTTTAAAATATAAAATTCAAAATCTAGAATTAAGTGGCACTATGGGGGTCAAACCCCGACCGCTTGGGATGTAGTCAAGCGCGTTCCGGAGTGCGCTAAGGTGTTAAGGCGCCTAGCCAGAAAAACATGCGATACAGAAGCGCGTTTTTCCGGAGTTTTTCCGACGGCGGGTTTTTTTCTGGAGCGTCCTAGATCATGAGCTTTTCTGGCTGGATGTTTTGTCACTGTGGCGCAGTCGAAAGCGCGCTTGTCCACAAACCACACAATCGCGTTTCAATCGTTGTTCGAGCCCCATAGTGCCACTTTGCCTTTGAACTCTGATTGTGTGATTTGTGGACAAGCGCGCTTTCGACTGCGCCACAGCGACAAAACGCCCAGCCAGAAAAGCTCATCATCTAGTTTTTTACAAAACTCGGCTAGTCTACAGAATATTGTATAATGAACTTAATTTGATTATCCTTTCTCCAAACAAACCTCATCCCCGATTTTACTTGTACTCGGCTCTCCCTCATTCCCATCAAATTCAATCGGTCCTTGTTGATTCTCCTCTTTGACCACTGAAAGGATTTTGATCTGATCCGCCATTCGATGGCATCAACTGTTCACCTAAAATTCATTTATTAACAAAAAATTTGCAATAAATCCCGTAGAAATCAAAGAAAAAAAGGCATATCACAATTGGATGCTTTTCGTGTAATCATAGTCAATAGTTGGAATGACAGCTTGAACAAATTTCAAGAAAACAAGCATATATTGATGAACACCTAAATCTTTTCCATTTTCAGTTAACTGGTCAATCAATCGCTTCATCGTCTCAGCATGTCTGCAAGGGTGAATCGAGGCCATTGGTGGTCCATCAATATGTGGATGAGTCTCAATAGTGATCGTCTTATTCGCATGATCTGCCGAGAAATCCTCATTCATCTCATCAGTTGTCAATGGGCGACGATTCTCATTGTATCCGCCTAGCCACAATCTTGGAACCTGATAGTACTTATCGTATGTAATGTGTAAATCGTAAGTCCTTGGATGTTCCACCTCAGCCGATCCCATTATTTCCCTCTTCGCTACAAAACGATTCGTGTCCGCATCCTCTAACCCTCCACTTTCCACCAAATTATCCAAATCCACCTCCTCATCATCATCCTCTTCTTTCACATCTTTATCCAATTCCAGTGCTGCATTCGATTCCTGATTATAGTGATGTGTATCAACCCATCCACTGTCCTCATCACCAGCAAAACCTTCTTCGGCACCGATCTCTTGTGATGTTAACACTTTTTCTTGTTGTGGATCGTACTCCATTTGTCGGCATCTCTTTCGGCAAGGGACATTTCGTGTGATCAGAAATTGTTTCTCATCTGGAAGATAATCGCGTTTCTTCGATGCGTCCGCTTTTGCCCATTGCCATGTGGCGCAATGGTGAACGAGATGATCTCCAGCTACGATGAATTCTTCTGGAGTTAGCACACCGGTTTCACGAAATTTACTCTCCTTGAGGATTGGGGTGAATTTCTCAGCGGCACCGATAGCCATTTGAGTGAGACGATTCTTCAACGAGTCCATAATCTGGAAATTGCTTTGGTTTAGGAGTAAAGCATTGAAAAAACAAAAGCTTTTTAAATCGAAATAAAATTTTTTGATTGGGTTTTGCAGATAAATGAGTGAAATAAGAATTGCGTAAGGATTTCGAAATTTGGACTAATGGAGAAAAAGGTAAATTGTTTTGCGTTCACAATCTATTCTTAGACTTCGTCAGTGGCGATTTGATTGATTGAATACTTTAAAATCAAAGACTTTAGAAAAAGAAAATGAGAATCTATCATCTTTACATGAAAAAGTTTCAAGGTTATAGATTAAGTGGGAGCTTTTGACTGTGGAATTGACTCTAAACTTTAAAAGAACTCCTACTAGATGGGAATTCTTTTAAAGTTTATTCCCAGAAAGAAAAGAGCAATTTGAAATGATGATCAATGAAGAGAGAAATTTGTGATTGGTGTTATTCGTATGTGAATCGGGGAAGGGTGTTCAATGTCAATGAATGGAGCGATCCTGGAAAGAAAGGGGAATGGGTGATCGGGGAAAGATTAAGTGAAAAGAGAGACGCGAAAGAAATCGAGGGACTGGCGTCAAGCCAATAGAAATCGTGGTGAGACAAATGTGGGGAAGAGATTGGAAAAAGTGGAGAGGTTTCCGAGAAATGAGCACAAAATGAAACCCTATGTAAAAGAAATGGGGGAAACAGGATTGCGATGAGACGAATGGGATTGCATTAGGGATTTTTTTGACTTCCAAAAATTTATCACTGTTTAGAATCGAGCTAATTGTCTTGTAATTGTCTTTGAGAAGCAGATCCAGGTTTTCCCGGTGTTCATTTGATTTTTATAATTTCCCTGAAACAATTATCTTGTAGTTTATTGATTTTTGGCTCTTACAATTGCTTGAATTTTTTTTTTTAATCTAAACTCTGTATTTTCAATGGAAATAGAGTCTTTAGAAGATTAAAAGATAATTTTGAATGTCTGAAATAGTAGAATTTTGTTAATCTTACTCAGGTCAACATGTCCGATTGGCTAAGAGCTAAGAGCTAAGAGCTAAGAGATACAGGATCTTAGCCGAGAGATCAAGGGTTCAATTCCGCTGGCTAGATTGTTGATCTAGCCAGCGTGTCCCTACATTTAGGACTATAGATCTTGTTGTTGTATTGTTGTTGTTTTATTGTTGTTGTTGTTTTATTGTTGTTGTTTTATTCTTTTTACCACATTCATCTTGTAAATAAATCGATCTTTTCAAATTTAAGATCTCTGTAACAATGTTTCAGATTATCAAAGCCATAAATGAATAAAGAAGAAGAGGTGACGAAAGATTATGGGAGTGCCGCCGCGTACGCGGAAGCGGTCAGAAAATGGGTGGACGATGTGACGAGATGGAGAGCCGTGCATCACGCAGCTTTGACACATGCATTCATTCACGCAATACAGGTATCAAAGAGAGATTAAATAATATATCGGACGTCCGATATAGACTGTAATCTAAATCGGACGTCCGCGATAAGTTCAATCTAAATCGGACGGAAATCTAAATCTGACACAACATATATATGTTTTATTCAGTTGAATAGCGACAAAACAAAATCACAATAATTACCCGGGACACCACTCAAAACACACCCAAAAGATAAATAGATATCTGAAGAAAGAATCACAGAGCAGTCAAATGAATTGCCGAAATTGCGGCTTTAAATCTAGCCAAGGCGGGAAGATCACGAACATGTGGGGGTAAAATGTTCCAGGATTTAATAACTCGGTTAAAAAAGAAACTGTGATGAAACGAGGAAAAGGCGTATGAGAAAAGGTTCTGGAGGCGCCCCGATTGTTGATCCATTTGAGTTAAAACATTTTCAGAATCAAACACTAATGGCGAATCAAACGAGCACCACCCAAGCCACTCCCAGCGCAGCCACAGTTCAACAACAGCTTGACGGATCGAGAATCGTTCAGAGAAGATATCGATACCCGAGTTATGTTAGGTGAGTCATTTTCACTACTGTATAGAGAGATTCTCCATAAATTTATATCAAATTCAAAAAGATCTTAAAGATCTTAAAGATCTTAACGATCTTAACGATTAAAGATTCAAAAAGTAAATCCCTTTTAGACGTTTGATCGCTGAGCTTCTTGATTTCATCTTTGCTTTCATCGTGAAACTCTTCATCATCTACTCACTTGTCATGTTTGATTTTATGTAAGTTCAGTAAAATTTCTATCTTCATTTGATCTTCATCTGATGTTTTTTAGTGATTTGGATCGCTACGAAAAGCTGATGGATCAACAAACCGATCTTCAAATGATTATTGATATTACACAGGTTAGATAGTAATTTATTGAAAACTGAAAATTGAAATTCTAGGATCTTTTCCCATTAGAAATTTTGGGTAAATTCGTTTGTTCGTTTGTTGAAGCTTTATGTATTTCGTATGGATTTTTCTCGTTGTGTCCCGGGCAGACGCCAGGGAAAATGATTGTCGGGATACAGGTAGTAAAAAAAAAAATGAAGTTCAAGTTTGAATTGGAATTGATATTGATTTCAATTTAAGGTGGATTCAACTCATTCAACTTTAGGTAATCTCATGTCACAATGCGAGCTCTGTGGTCGGTAACGGGGATATGATTGAAGTGACCGGGTCGACGAGGGTTCCCTTCAAAAAGTGAGTGATTATTGTTAATGCTAATCAAAAATATTTATATAAACTTATTTTCACAGAACTAGCAGTGCTTTCAGGGGTTACTTTGCTAATTTCTGTGTTGATATGATTAAAATCATTGATTCTTTTAAATAAAGAGAGTTTAATTCTCAAAAAGTATTGTTTTCTAAGGTTCCCTTCAAAAAGTGAGTAATCATTGTTAATGCTAATCAAAAATATTTATATAAACTTATTTTCACAGAACTAGCAGTGCTTTCAGAGGTTACTTTGCTAATTTTTGTCATGATATGATCGAAATCATTGATTCTTTTAAATAAAGAGAGTTTAATTCTCAAAAAGTATTGTTTTCTAAAATAATGTAACTCTACTTTTGTACTAGACATGGGAAAATTCCACCTTCGTTTTCTCATCTGTCTCTTGGATAAATTGTTCTGAAATTTTGTCTACAAATAGAAATTGGCATTCTCTGCTTGTCAACAAAATTTCAGAGCAATCGGCTAAAAGACGGCTGAGAAAACGAGGGTGGAATTAGGTTTGGCTTAGAATTTTCCCCATGTCTATTCTGTACTAATTAAACTCTTCCAGTTCTCTGATCCGTGCCTCGATCAAGAATCTCTTGGTGAATTCCCTTGTGCCACTATCCACAATCGCTTTCGCTTTCCATCATAATCGTGCCATTTACGATTTGATGGCGAAAACAGTTGTCGTTTTTAAAGAATAACTTTTAAATGAATTTGAAGAAATTAATGTGAAAAGAGTGCTGTGATTGCTTCTTAATTTGAATTGTGATTCTCTGTTGCATATAAGCAGCTTGAGCTCGTAAAAATCTCCGGGTTACGGGTATTTTTGGAAATAAATTTTAACATTTTTAACATTTCGATAATCTTTGCAAAGACTCCTAAAGTTCTAAGAGAATTAAAGTTCTTTGAAATTAAGCCAATGTTAGCAGAAGTTCGAAGAAGATACAGCGAAGTATTCTCGGCAAAAAGTAGCTGTACTTTAAAAAAACTATTAGCAAAAAAGCTTTAACTACAGACTGGACTTTTAAACAACTCTACAAACACTTTTTTCAAACAAATCGTTGGCGATTAATCGTTTTTTCGTTTTCACCATGATTTGTTACTTTTTTTATATATAGATACTTTATTCATGAACCGAGAAAAGGTGTGCTAGATTTAAGATTAATACACATGAATTCATCCACATAAACACGAAAAGGGCTGATAAAAAGCAACACGATAATATATGGGTAGCACAGATAACGTCAAGGATCCACTAGAATCCAAGAATCCACTTCAAGATCATCTACAGATAATTTAAATGAGAAATTATCTGTAGATGATCTGATCTGTAGTAGAAATAACTTTGAAGAGCTTTAAAATGACTGTTATCCCGTCACTCAAAATCCTAGAATTATTCTATAAAATTCTATTCTACAAGTTCAAATCTATAGAAATTGCTTTGCTTAACCTTAACTTTATATCATCAACTTTATTTAAAGCCTCAATTTTATATATATATAGATAGATATAGATACTTTATTCATGAACCGAGAAAAGGTGCGCTAGATTTAAGATTAATACACATGAATTCATCCACATAAACACGAAAAGGGCTGATAAAAAGCAACACGATATAATGCATGTAATGGGTAGCACAGATAACGTCAGGGTACACTAGAGTTTCATGATCAAGATCATCTATTGACAGATAGCACAGATAATTGAAAGGTTTCGAGACTATTGGATTCTCTCAAAACTCTGGGGTGTCGATTCCAAATTCTGGGAGTTCTTATTGGAAAAGAGTTATGCACAAACTTATCAGTGGTGACTGGAATTTCTAAAACGAAAGAACCTCTCTATCATATTATCTTTCGTTTCTTTATCCAAATGAATCAAATGAATAGAAAAGGGCAAATCGAAGAAAATTACAGATGAAATTCAAAAATGATACCTTTTTAGACTCAAAACAATTTCTATTTTGCTTTTCCTCTTTCCCGCCATCGTTTTACTTCAAAATTATGCTAATAGCTATTAACAAGTATGACAATTCACTTAGAATCTTAGAGCAAATGAGTAGAAGTGAGCAACACTCTGAAAAACACTTTCATTTTGATTCAACTTGCAATTTCTTTTAGTTATTCTGGAAAATTTAGATTCTTTATCAATCTTATCTATAAAATTTTCATCTTTTCAAGTTGGTTGATTTTTATTTCATTAATCAAGTGATTGATCGAGATCTTTCATTTCTCTCAAATCACGGAGCAGAGCACCCAAAGAAAACGTTTCTCAAAGAATTTTTATGAGAAATTTGAGTTCAAGTGAATTTTTGTGCTTTGTGCAATTGTCGGATGCTATTAACAAAAATCGTTTTGACTTTATCAAGCGATTTCTTTTTGGTTAAATCTTTGAAAAGCGGTTGTTTCTCTTTTATGAATGATTGATGAGCATAGAATGATCTGATGCATGATCGAAATGAAAGATGAAAAGCCAGATCATTCTTTTGTCACGTTTTCTTCACTCATGTGACTTGTATCTTTCTTTATATCTTTCTTTTCCATTTTTAGGAAAAAAAAGACCAAAAACGGAGAAGAAAAGAGGGTCGACTGACTCGACATTCTTTAAAACTCTTTCCCAAGAGCTTTCCTTTCAAAGAAAACTTCCTGGTTTTGTCTAGAATTGTCTAGAATTGTCTAGAATTGTCTAGAATTGTCTAAAATTGTCTAGAATTGTCTAGAATTGTCTAGAATTGGCTAGAATTGGCTAGAATTGGCTAGAATTGTCTAGAATTGTCTAGAATTGTCTAGAATTGTCTAGAATTGTCTAGAATTGTCTAGAATTGTCTAGAATTGTCTAGAATTGTCTAGAATTGTCTAGAATTGTCTAGAATTGTCTAGAATTGTCTAGAATTGGCTAGAATTGGCTAGAATTGGCTAGAATTGGCTAGAATTTAGCATCTAAAACAAGTTCAGATATTTTTCTTTAATTTTTTGATATTTCAAGAATTATAAACCTTTGTGCTTTGTCTTTTAAATCAGAATTCAAAAAAATTCTCTTCATTTCAATGAATTTCTGTTAAATTGAACATTTAAAAACAAAAACAAGAAAAACATTTTATAAGTGCTTTTGATTTTTTTTTTGATTCTATCCCTTTCGTTTTTTTAAGGCACTCGATCTTCAACCTCTTTTTTTTTGTGTTATTTCTTTTTCTTTTCTTCAAGTGAACTTGATAAAATCTATGGCAGTATAAGAGGGATTTCTATTTTCATTTTTAGTTTAAAACAACTTTCATTTTGTCAAAAGCGAACTCTTGTGAAAGTGGGGTTTTCAAAAAGAGCCCTTTTTTGGTCACTCGCATTTCGCCTTCGAAATTTCTTCAATCGTTTGGTCAATTCAAACACCTTTTTGGCCTATTTTGTAGAGGAGATTTACAACTTTCAAATAGTTTATAACGTTCATCGATTCGAGTTTATAACATCAGCTTTCTATCGTTGGAAATTGATGAAAATGTTGAATTTTCATTTCTTCCGCATTTCTTATTCATGTACCTAATAGATGATTAGATACAATACTAGATGGTTAGATACAAAACGCTTGCATAAAAAACGAGCGCTTCATTCTTTTCTTACGATTGGGCACGATTTTGAACTTACGCTCTATCTAAATTTCTGTAAATGCATTTCCGTTAGACTTTTTTAATCATTTGATTTATAGTTATCCTTTTTTTTAAATCCTTCAATTTTGGGAAGCTAACTCTATTTTGACCATACTAAACTTGTCCCTAAAGTGACTCGATTCCTTTTTTGGTCACTCGCATTTCGTCCTCGAAATTTCTTCAATCGTTCGGTCAATTCAAACACGTTTTAGCCTATTTTGTAGAAGAGATTTACAACTTTCAAACAGTTTATAACATTCATCGATATCAGCTTTCTATCGTTGGAAATTTATGAAAGGGTTGAAAACCGCATTTCTTATGCATTTACTTAATAATTGCCCTAGTTGTTTGACTTAAGATCATTGATCTGAAAACCTAGTTGTTACCCAAAGCTAATTACCTTGAAAAGCTAGTTTCTCTAGTTGTTTGACCTAAGACACTAAACTTGTTCCTAAAGTGACTCGATTCCTTTTTTGGTCACTCGCATTTCACCCTCGAAATTTCTTCAATCGTTCGGTCAATTCAAACACGTTTTAGCCTATTTTGTAGAAGAGATTTACAACTTTCAAACAGTTTATAACATTCATCGATATCAGGCTTCTATCGTTGGAAATTGATGAAAATGTTGAAATCCGCATTTCTTATGCATGTACCTAAGAGTTATTCACAGAGTTTTCCCCTTTGAGTAATGCCTTCAGCTCTCATTTCCTCACCAATCAATCTGTTCTCGAATTTCCAGCTCGTTTTACAGTCTAGTATAAAATAACAGCATTGGAACACCTCATGCACATCGATATGTATAATATTTCCCGAACTCTGGGTGCACTCTGTTCTCACATTTCCCTTTGCTCGTCCCCCTCCTTTCCCCGCTCAATTCCCAGCCGAGTCGCACCCTTTCCCCTTTCCTTTTCCTTCTTCTTTTCCTTCTTCTTTTCCCTTTCCATTCCACTCTATTCCTCCGTGCAGATGCCATTGATTTTCGTCGTATCTCGTGTTTTTCGTTTTATTTTTATTTCACAACATTGCACAGATTGTCCTCAAAATCAAAATATTTCCGGGCACTTTAGATTTAAAAATTGATACCCAATTCTTTGAACTTTATTTTTCGTATCTGAGAGATCAAATTTCAAGCTCAATACCACTCAAAGTGTCCAATGAAAATTGAAAATTTATTGATTCAGCAGAAAGTCTTTGTCAAGCTTCATTTTTCAATGTTTATCTTTCGATTAATGATTCAGTTAATTCTTGTTTGCAAAAATGATTAGTTATCGTTCATTTTTCTCACAGAGAAATGAAATTTTTTTCACTAAAATCGTTCAATCATTCAAAAACGGAATTCACCGGAAAAGTATTTTTGGTCTTTTATGGGAAAGAGAAACGATAAAAAAAAAATGAAAACCAAATGCCGATCCTTTTTGAGAAAAAGAAAGAAAGAAAGAAAGAAAGAAAGAAAGAAAGAAAGAAAGAAAAAGAAGAAATAGCACATGCATTTTTCAACGATTTCTTTTAATTTATATCTGTAGAAAAGGGGAAATTTATTGATTTTCAATCTACAAAGTAGAAATCTTAATTTTCGATTTTTTAATAGACAAAACAGTTTAAAAGCACTAGAATAATGTTTTTGATCCATCAGCCATCAAAATTCTGCAAAACTACAATGACTTTTTTTGTCTACTCTCTTCTTTTTATAAGTGATTTTCATTTCTTCTTTAGTTCAAAAATTTGATTTCTCTTCTTTTTCTAATCCTTTCACACCCATTCATTTTCTTTTCTTTGTTTTCTTTTCTTCTTTCTTTTCTTCTTTCTTTTCTTCTTTCTTCGCTTTTTCTCACACTAGCGCATTTTTTTTTTCATCTGCACTTTGGCCTCGCATTTCATAAGAGAAATTTGTATCCAGTAGTGCATTTTTTTTTGTCTTAATCAATAGTAGAAAGTTGTTTATTTACTTCGGAACACTAAATGATCTATGAATTTTATCTTAGCTCATCTTATTTAACCTTTTTCACTGATAAAATGATAGATTACTGAAATTATTGTAATGTGCACCCCGGTGAGCCGCGTTGATGACTATTTTACAGTTTCTAAGTTTTCGCAGACGCTCAACACTCAAATTCCCCACAAGATCTCATCGTCAGCTACATTTTCCGATCCCACATCGATAGGTTCTGATAAGCGGTTCTCGAGATTTCGAGGAATTTAGGCGACGCTCAGGGTGCGCTACTATTAGAGAGAATACGGGATTCGGCGATCACTGGATTCAGCTAAAACTATTGTAATCTAGAAATTAAATGCCTGAGAAAGAGGTATCACCTCACAGATGTTGCCGTAACTGCCAAAACTGCTTGCTCTATTCTCTTTCTCTCTAATAGTAGTGCACCCTACCAAGCCGAGTTGATATTTTACGGTTTCAAAGCTTTTGCAGAAGCTCAACACTCAAATCCCCCACAAGATCTCATCGTCAGCTACATTTTCCGAGCCCACATCGATAGGTTCTGATCAGCGGTTCTCGAGATTTCGAGGAATTTAGGGGACGCTCAGGGTGCACTACTATTAGAGAAAATACATATATATAAATCTTATCTGGTTGACATGAAAAAAATGATTTAATATAATTTAAAACGCAAATTATCCTGTCTTGGGGGTAAATTTTTATTCCAACATCTCTAGGATCAAGGAAATATAAGTAATTTGAACTATTTTTAAATCCAAGAAGTTTCTTTTCCTTTTCTTTGAGCATTGTGCAGCCACTTTCTCACCGAGCATTGCCCAGTAATTGTCCTGTCAGATCAAGTAATCTTTCATTTGTCCATCTTTTTCATTTCTTTCTTTTTCTCAATGTCAATGACGTTTTCTCATTCATTTCCTCATCTATTCTTCTTTTTCCCAACCATTGTCACGTGGCCTCTCCTTTTCCTCATCAAATTTCCTTTCCTTTAGTCTCTTTTCTTTGGAAGTTTACACTCCAATCCTTTTATCTATTTCCCTTCCTGCATTACTTTCTTCTTTTATCTTAAAGTGATTTCATTAACCTTTACTATTAAAGATTTAGATAAAATTTTCTAATCTACCAAGGGATTTTGTGGAAATCATCCCTATTTTGGGGGAAATGCCGGAAATGGCAACTGGTTCACATTTAGAGGTGACGGTGACAATTGAGGGAGTCAGGTAAGAAATATATAAAAATATTTAAATATATGAAAACTGGGTAAAGCAGTAAAGCAGTCTATTTAATAATACGCTATCTTTTAATTAGGCTTAATTTCAGAGTTTTCGTTAACTTTCTTAACCTTGAATCTGAAAAGTTCAAGTCTAATTCCCTTTTGAACTGCTCAGCTTAGTAGTTCACGTGAACCTATTCACTAAAGTCACCAATTCTGTGATTTTGCTTTGACTTTTCAATTTCAGAGCATGGGAACAAGTGTATTTGATCGGTTCGGTGCCTGAGCTTGGCAATTGGAATCCACACGCTGCTTTTCAACTGACACAAGAGGAGGATGGGTAAGTGAATTTAAAGTGAAAGAATTTGAGTTAAACAAAGGCTTAACTTGATATGAAATTATTCAGAGTTTGGAAAGGTCGAATCTCTTTCGCCGGGAAGCCGAAAATGATCGAATATCGATACTTTATTGGTAAGATTGAATTAAGAATTGTGAATATTTTGATGAGATTTTTATTTGAAAAAGACTGAAAGCTAGATTATATAATTTTTCACCGATTTTAGGTGCAATGCTGGATCCAGCGTTACCAGGTCGAGACCCAATGAGAATCGTGATCAAATGGGAGGCACAGTTGAGACCGAGAAGGATATTGTTACTAAATGGAACAGCTATATCAAAGGATGCTTTCGGTTATTATGGTTGGTAAAGAAATGAAAGACAAAAAGGTTGGAAAGGGAATTGAACCCTCGATCTCCTGTCTAGCACTGAGCTATTGACACCAAATTTGGCACAATTGAGACCGAGAACGATATTGTTGCTAAATAGAACAGCTATATCAAAGGCTATTATGGTTAGTAAAGAAATGAAAGACAAAAAAGTTGGAAGGGGGATTGAACCCTCGATCTCCTGGCTAGGCAAGTGCTTTACCACTGAGCTATTGGCTTCATCTTTGCCAAAGAAGCAAAAGGAAAGAAAAGAAAGAAAGAGACTTCAGAAGATCTTCAGAACAAGAGATTTTCCAAGAACAAATGCAAGGTTTTAGTGGAGTAGAACAGAATCAAACGAATATTTAAAAGCATGGCTTTAAGAATAAATGCATTAAATCAATTACTATCTAAGGAAATCCTTGATTAAAAACCTTTAGATGGACGTTCAACAATCGGTGATGGATGGCTTTCAAATGAGGAAGAGAACGCGTTTTATGTTCGGATTCACGGAAAAGCTCTTGAGTTATTCACTGGAAAGGGACAATCGAAAGTACATCGAGTGAAACTCGTTCCATTCGATGTTCGATTTGAAGAGGTTGGCTTTAGAGAAGAATCAAGATTTCGATTCTTTATTAGATGATTTCCTATGAGCCACGATATTCCTCAAAGGGTTTAACTTGGCGAATGCATTCGCTTTGTTTAGAAGTTGGTTGAGGTGTTGTTAGTATCGTGGAGTAGTATTAGTTTAGGAATTCATTGAAAAACGTAGATTTCAGGGAGCTGGAACGGATGAGAGTGAGACAATGGAAATCCCCGAGATTCGGCCTCAAAATCCTAGCTTTTCCGAGACCGAGTTGTCTGTAAGTGAATGAAGCTTAAATTTGATTCAAATCTAAATTCATATTGCTGTCCATATTCATTTCAACATTCACTTTCAGGTATTAACAAGAACCGATCCAGTTTTCGGTGCTCAATACCAAAATGGATCCATTTTTCGGAACAACGTCGACTATCTCGTTTTCAGGACAAGATCCGTTGCTTTGGATCATCTAGTGAGTTTAGGATTACTTTTTAAATATAGATCATCGATTTAAAGTTATTGGGTTGGTGAATTGAAAACTGCCGGACTTTGAACTAAAATTTATTGAACATAAAACCATGAATTCATTCGAAATAATTTCCATTATTATTGACGACTTCTGCTCATTTTACAGGCAATTTGCGGATTCCTCTTTCGTAGTAGCATTTTGGTTTGTGTGTGAGACAAATGTGAGACTCAAAAATCGAGGACTGGAGATGTCTCAATGTTCCAGTTTGAGCACTTTCTTCAAAAGAAACCCATTTTGGTGTCAATGGAAAAGTTGTAGAGAATCAAAAATTAGGCTTATAGCTAAATTTTCAAAAAGATACACTTAGTAGTTTCGCTTAAAATACAAGTTTTGTGAAAATTCGTCAATTTCGCATTTCTTGAAAACCAGTTTTTGAATCGTTCTGAAAATTTGGGTATAAGCTTCATTTTTGATTCTCTACAACTTTTCCATTGACACCAAAATGGGTTTCTTTTGAATAAAGTGCTCAAACTGTCACATATGACAATAGCTCGCAGTTTTCAATTCACCAACCCAATAGAAAACATTCAAAAGAACTTTTCATTTATAATTAGATTTATAAAATATCCAAAGACTAATTTTAGCTCATCTTCTCTAGAGTACTTATCTTGTTTGTTTGGATAATGTCCTTTTGGACAAACATTGTCCAAAAGAATATCCGGCAGTTTTCAATTCACCAACCCAATAGATTATATCAAAAAATCAAATTTCTAGGCTTTTTGCATTGAGTTATATGAAGAGAATGGGACTCAACGTGTTGGTGTTGCTTGGGCTCTACCGGCTGGTCTCTCCGACACATGGGGGAAAGCAAAATACGCAATTATTAATAAACATCAACAACCAATTGGACAAATAAATAGTGAGTTGAGAAATTTTTACGATTAACTAGTAACTTAGTGATGTTCTTACATTTCTATAGTTGTTGCTACCGTAAATACTGTAATAGTACCCCACCCTCCCTCGTACAGTCGCGTAGTCGCAAGTCGCAGTCGCGTAGTCGTTTTTTAGTATTTCATTTTTTTCAAAGCGCCCGTACTTTCAAAAAATGCGTCTTTGGTATCAAAAATAGCTGAAATCCAGGGCTATTTTTTGATACCTAAGCGAGCATTGTAGCATAAGTTAGTGTCGAGAAAAACTCGTTCAAAGCTAGACTATGCAACACTCCGCACCGTCATTATCTTTGGCATCAAAAAAAGCGTCTTTGGTATCAAAAAATAGCCCTGAATTTCAGCTATTTTTTGATACCTAAGCGCGCATTGTAGCATAAACCAGTGTCGAGAAAAACTCGTTCAAAGCTCGACTACGCAACACTCCGCACCGTCATTATGGGGGTGGGGTACTATTACAGGATTTACGGTAGGTTTTCATTGAAGAAAAGGAGCTAAGGATTTGATATTACTGAAGATTTTAGTTTAGTAATATTTTTTTGTAGATATTACTGAAGATTTTAGTTGACTACATGCGTGTTGGTGCTTGGAAAAACGATGCGAAACATCGAGATTTAATGTCGAAATCGTTTGGGAATCATTGGAAGAAAAGGACTATGGTTGAAGTTGGACATCGAGGATCAGGAGTATCATATTCAAAGTAAGCAAAGCACGATTTTCATCATCATGTTTAGGGTTTTAAAAAAACAGTGCACAAAGGTTGTTGATTGTTTAAAAGAAAGTAACCGTTCAATAACTGGTCTTAGAATGGCCACTGCTCGAGAGAACACAATCTTCTCGTTAAATAAAGCGGCACAACGAGGAGCTGACTTTGTCGAACTCGATGTTCAATTGACAAAGGTAATTTTAAGCAGAGCATTTTATTTATGAAAGATCTAATTCATTCTAGGACCATTTCCCAGTCGTTTACCATGATTTCCATGTGCTTGTCGAGGTAGCACATCGAAAAAACGAGAAACCTCATCCGGATGAGCTTGCTTTCTTGAATCATCATGAATTGGCTGTAAAGGTAAAATGATTTTTTGTTGAATTGATTTAAAATTCGATACAGGAATTGAAATACAAACAATTGAAACTATTGTCTTTGGAGCACACAAGTCATCACACGGCACCGGTCGAGAATCTACGAGTGATCCCGAGAGAAGGAGAGGATAATCAAGATGATCAGTGAGTTTTTTTTTTTAATTTGATCAATTCTGGTGACCTAACAGGGAGATAGATACAAAAATAATGATGGATATTAAATGAAATTTTGGTCTCTTGCGTAGTTTCTCGGTATTTTGAACGGGTCGTCACGCTTTGAAGGCTTATAACTTTGTCCAGGGATAATATTTTTGCTAACTTTTTATATTATTGTACAGAGGACATTTCAGGCTTTCAAATGATACCAAATAGAGCCTGACTGGGTAATCCAGTCCAAGAAAATCAGAGCCAACTCTGAGCGAAAGAGGCCTATCCAACTCGGGTGTTGTGTCGCCTTGTTTGCATGGGAATGAAAAATCCAGTCAAGCTCTATTTGGTATCATTTGAAAGCCTGAAATGTCCTCTATACAATGATATAAAAGGTTAGCAAAAATATTATCTCTGGACAAAGTTATAAGCCTTCAAAGCATGACGACCCGTTCTAATGACACAACCCAAATACCCAAATACCCAACCCGTTCAAAATACCCAAAAACTAGGCAAGAGCCAGATTTTTCTTTAGCCAACCATTTCCCTTGTTATCCGATGTTTTGCAACGGGTTGATCACTCAGCTGGAATCAACATTGAAATCAAATACCCAATGTTGCAAAGTGTGAGTTGAAAAAATGATATTTGTTAGGAAAAGCTTATAAAGAAGTGTCTTTTTTTTGGAAAAATTCTATTAACATTGATTCGTTGAACCTTGTTTTACAGTTTAACATTGTTCAAATAGATGTTTTTTTAAAAGTATAACACTAAAGTGCTTAACAAATATCTTCAGAACTCGAATTTCCAATTTAGGACGGTTTGCACGAGTGTGCGAACTATTTCGAGCGAAATCTTTTCATCGATCGAATTCTCGACGAGGTTTATGCAAATGCGAGTGATCGGAGAATCGTTTTCAGCTCGTTCGATCCAGATATTTGTACATTGTGAGTGAAAATCTAGAATTAAAACCGAAAAAACGCTACTCCACTGAGAAAGTATCATAAATTTGGATGAAAATCTTTTTAAATCTTAATATTATGCATATTAATAGTATACGTTCCTAGGTGTAAACGGATGTGGACTAGAATTTGGGTTAAGTTAAAAAGAGTGGATCCCTTTTGATATCCCGCCATCTCTAACACCCCGACAACCCAACTCAACTCTTCCAACGTATTAGAGGGGAGTCCCTGTGAAATGACCGACCTGTACTGCAGTTGCATAGACCCGGAAGATATGTATCTTTATTTACAGTAGTATAATAAGACGAATAGATTACAAATAAGTGTAAGGGGAAGGGGGGACTCCAAATGAGAGTCTCACTTGTCCTCCTAGGCAATCCCAAGGAATCCTAGGCAATCCCAAGGAATCCTAGGCAATCCCAAGGAATCCTAGGCAATCCCAAGGAATCCTAGGCAATCCCAAGGAATCCTAGGCAATCCCAAGGAATCCTAGGCAATCCCAAGGAATCCTAGGCAATCCCAAGGAATCCTAGGCAATCCCCTTCTCGGCAATAAAATGGATAAGCACAGGGGAGAACACATTTGTATAAGAATAGACAAATCATTCAATAATAGCAATAGTAACTAAAATATCGGTTTGGCTCGGAGCTGACAATAGTAAAGTAAAGATGAGTTTTTACTATAAATATGCATATTATAATATTAATATAATAAATTTGATCTGTAAATTGATGTCATAAATTAATGTAATACAAATTTATCTTCCCAATTGATGTATAACCTATAAGAAACAAATAAAATGTTTAAAAAAAACAATTTTAGAATCAGTATCAAGCAACACAAATATCCGGTTCTCTATTTGGTGTTGGGCTCCACGACTCGATATGTTTCGTTTGAGGATATGAGGTTAATTGCAATGAAAGTTAACAACAAGAAAAGAAAAGCTCATTTATCTAATTATCTATTTATCTAATAAAAAAATAATCAAATAGCAGTGCATTTATTTTCAGATGCGATTGCAGCATGTTAGCAGCAAATTTCGCGGCTGGGTCAAAGCTTTTGGGAATCAATTTTCATTCGGAGGAATTGTTAAAGGTTCTGAATTTTATAAAATACTATTAACAAATATTTCTTTAAGAACCGAGAACCATTTGATTTGGCAAAAAAATTCAAGTTGATCACGTTCGTTTGGGGTGACGACAACAACGAGAAATCGACTCAGGATTACTTCAAGAAAACTTTAGCAATTGATGGGATTATCTATGACAGGTAAACTGGGGGAAAATGAGAATGTTAATGGGATATTTAGAATTGGTGAATTCGAGGACAGAAAAAACATCTTTGTGGTCGAAAAGGAGGCGAAAGCGGCACTGTTTGAGAGGAGTGCACAAGCGACACCGGTTGGGAGTCGACGAGGGAGTCTCGAGAATCTTGATAAACCTTGCAAAGACAAGGTTTGTTTAAAAATAGAGTAAAAAAGCTGCAAAGTGCTCCAAAAGAAAAACAAAAAGCCGCATCAGGGGATCGAACCCTGACCCTGTGGGCGGCAGTCTAATGCGTTGTCCACTAGACCACCAACGTAGTTGTCATTGGCTGGAAAAGAGCCCTTTAAAGCATAATTTAGAGCAGGAAAGAATCCGTTTAGCGCCAAATTTTTCATTAGTTTTACACACCTGGAAATTCATTTGACAGATTTTGATTTCAGATTCGGATCTCTCATATCCGATTCTATAAAGTGCACTAAATGTCCAAACAAAAGCTCACCTGAGGCCGTGCATTTCTCTGGACTTTCCCTGACCTTTCCCCAGTTCTTGGCCTGGCTTGGCTTTACTGCAAACTCTGCAAAAAGTCTCTGGGTATTCAGATATTCAGATAAAATGATTCTAAGCTAAGCTTCTAGACTTAATCGCTGATTTCTAGACGAGTCTCTCAAGCGTGGACGAGCACTCCGATCACGATCTGCCCACTCCACCAAAGAGCCCAAAACGCGCGAACTCGCTTTTCTTTGGTCAAAACCATTTGAAGCTTATTTAAACGAAGAGAAATGTAAATTTATTGAAAATTTTCAAAATTTGGTTGTGATTTTGCCATATTACAGTCGAAATTCGATATAAAGAACCTTAAAACGTGCCTCAAATTTTCTGCGTAGCTGCCCTGGACAGCCACTGATTGCATTTGGCTGCGGCAACTGAAATATTGGGCACATTTTAGAATTTCAAATTAATTTTATCGAATTTTGACTGTATTTAATTGAGATTTTTGTCTATTTCGCTGTCAAATTTGTCTAGTTGACGCAATTGCTCGGGTTTCTACAGAGACAATCATTTTTCAATTTATAGCTTTGAAATAGGAATTCATTCTGAATAGGAAATAATAAAGCTTTTTTAGCAAAAGTCAATGGAATTCATAAAAATCTACAATACTAGCAAGAAAAAAAAGGTGTTTGTCGAAATTTTCACTCCTCAATTTGGACTTTCCGAAGAAAATATCTTTTTAAATGCATTTTTGAACAAGAAACAATATTCTATTGTTTATTTTGAAAGTAATAAAAGAATAAGCATAGCTTTTCGCAAGTAAAACAGAAAAAAAGTTTGTGAGAGAAAGAGATCGATCGAGTTGAGTCGGGGTGGGACGATCAGACGATCTGAAAAAAGATCGAATATAGCTGAGTTAAAGAAAGACTTAAAGATCTCATTACATTACCAGAGTTGCACTTATTTATCTCTTCTACTGAAATGAGGGAAGTGCTTAGGCTTGAGCCCCTACAATCGAAAATACTCGAAAACCGATGAGTGCAATTGATTTCTTCTCATTGCCTGTAAAATGAGGCAAATTGCCTGTAAAATGGGCAGAAGTCGTCAATAATAATGGAAATTATTTCGAATGAATTCATGGTTTTATGTTCAATAAATTTTAGTTCAAAGTCCCGCAGTTTTCGCAAGTCAAAGATCGTTCGCATCCACGACAACGTGCGCCCTCATATTGCAAAACTGATTCGCTCTAAAATAAATAGCCTTGTTTGGGAACTTTTGGCGCATTCCCCATACAGTCCGGACCTCTTTTGATTACTATTTATTCCGGATCATGAGTAATGAGCTTGCGGGAGAACACTTCGATTCGGAAGAAGCAGTCAAAAATTGGCTTTGAAAGTTTTTCGATTCAAAACCAAAATCCTACGCAGAAAGAGGAATCCGCAAATTGCCTGTAAAATGGGCAGAAGTCGTCAATAATAATGAAAATCATTTGGAATGAATTTATGGTTTTATGTTCAATAAATTTTAGTTCAAAGCCCCGCAGTTTTCAATTCACCAACCCAATAGTTGCAAGTAAACTCTAGAAGCAACATTATATCACAAACAATCACTCACCTTCATCAGACATTTGAGAGCAGAAACTGTTGCGTAAAAATTCTGATGAAAATGAAGAAAACCATTATGGAGATCGTTGAGAAGGAGAAGAAGAAAAAGTTAATGAAGAGAAAAGGAAACATTTTGATGATGGATGATGACAATACAATGGAATAGATGATGGAAAGAATAAGAAAAATCGGGCGAATTCAGAATCTTTTATGTGATTGGATAAATGTAAAGTGAGTGGATGTTCTATATGCAAATTCTATATGCAAATTGCGGTATATTCTATCATGCACACATCAGTATATTTCATAATCCATTTGTTTTTGGTGTATGAAAGTACCAAAACATTGCAAGAGGGAATGTTTGTAAATAAAATTGATATCGTATTTACTCTAATAGTAGTGCACCATGAGCGTCGCCTAAATTCCTCGAAATCTCGAGAACCGCTTATCAGAAGCTATCGATGTGGGATCGGAAAATGTAGCTGACGATGAGATCTTGTGGGGGATTTGAGTGTTGAGCTTCTGCGAAAACTTAGAAACTGTAAAATAGTTACCAACTCGGCTCTCTGGGGTGCACTACTATTAGAGAGAAAAAGAATAGAGCAAGCAGTTTTGGCAGATTTACGGTAACGTCTGTGAGGTGATACCTCTTTCTCAGGCATTTAATTTCTAGATTACAATAGTTTTAGCTGAATCCAGTGATCGCCGAATCCCGTATTCTTTCTAATAGTAGTGCACCCTGAACTTTGCCTAAATTCCTCGAAATCTCGAGAACCACTTATCAGAACCTATCGATAGAGGTCGGAAAATGTAGCTGACGATGAGATCTTGTGGGGGATTTGAGTGTTGAGCTTCTGCGAAAACTTAGAAACTGTAAAATAGCCATCAACGCGGCTCACCGGGGTGCACTACTATTAGAGAAAATATCAAGTCCGACAGCAAAGATCATTCATTGCTTATCTCTAAAGAGTTAAATTTCTTGTTTCACATCTAAAATCTTATGTTCAATTTCGAATTCCCAGTGTTGTCGAGAGATAAATTCGACCGGATATATAAATCGGCAAAAAATTGGAAGAGAATTGGGAGTGCCGGGTAATGAAGAAGGGGAAACAGTCCGATCCATTCCATATCCCATTCCGGGTGTTCATCCGCACAAAAAAAGCATGTGTTCTTTTTCTTTTCTCTTCTTTTCTTTTCTTTTTCATATCCGATAGCTATCTTCTTTGTGTGAAATATTATCCTCAAATAGCCACCGCCGTCACCTCGAACCACCAGATCTGTCGATTGAAAAGAAAGGATTGGAATGAAACCAATGACAACAATGGCACGCTTTAATTTTGAGGTTTTTCAATGGTTTTAGCTTTTGATTATGAGATTTTTCATTAAAAGAAGGACAATGTCAATTAATTTTAGCCATTAAACTTACTCCAATTGCTCCAATTGCTCAAATTTTGCTCAAATTTTGAGTAACAAGAATCTTCTGACCCTAATACTTTTTTTGTTCTAATTTTTGATAAGAAATTACGAGTTACTTTTGACATAAACATATACTGAAAAAGCCCAATTTTTTAACATTGATATTCACCTTAAAACACTCATAGAAGAGCCGCTATCGGAGCGTCGCGTAGTCAGAGATAGGACTCTCAAATAAACACTCATATCTCAACTCCACTACGTTTGTTTTTGTTCGCTTGGGTATCAAATTAAAGTAGAGAGAATGGGTGAGATTTTGCGATATAAAACTTATTTCTAGCATTAACCAGTGCTTAGAAAAAAGTGATTGAAAATCGGCGAAAATCGACTCTTTTTTTGGTAATTAAAATCGAGTTTGATTATCTTTCGACATTTTATTTTGAAAACACTTGGCAAATCTTTTCACATCAGGAGAATTTAACAATCTAGAAAGATCGAGAATTCAATAATTTTCCCAATTTTGTCTTTTCTTGACTGCTTTACCTTGTTTTTGACGATCTCTGACTTTCCAATCTAGATCCACTTTTCTTTCATTTCTTTTTTTTTTCTTTTTTCTTTCATTTTCAACTCATTCATTCAATCCTCAATTGAAGGTGTCATTTTCTTGCTTTTCTTGTTTGTTAGTTGAACAGTTCGATTTGCTTCTCTTCTCTTTTCTTCTCTTTTCCTTTCCTTCTCTTTTCCTTTCCTTCTCTTTTCCTTTTCTTCTCTCTCTCTCTTTTCCTTTTCTTCTCCCACTTCAGTCTCTTTTTCACATGAAGTGGAAACCTCTCACAAAGCATTAAATTCTATATTTCTTTTGCCTTAATTTGAATGAATGAAATCGAAACGCCTTTCGGTTTCACTTTCTCTTTTTTTCTCAGGATTGAAATGAGAAATCAATGGCAAAAGTGTTTGTTTTTAAGTGATTTAATCAATTTTTTGTTTGTTTTAAAAGAATCAAACGATTAGTTTATCAGTTATAAACCTTAAAGTTAACTGTTTTCTATAGAATTGCCTATGAATTCAGAAAATTGAGTATAAATTTCATTTAAAGCTTAACATATTGTAACTTTTGGCGACTAGGCGTGGCTCTTTTATCTTGCATCCCGAATCTGCTTTCTCTAAATCCTCTAGAGATTTTTTTTGTAAATCGTGTGATTTACAGTTTAGAAGTTTAGAATGCCCTTCCCGACAAGTTGCGCTTGATCTCCACCGTGTCTGATTTTAAAAGGGCTACTGGTTGCATTTTAAGTCACTTTGTCATCTTTTATCTGGTACATTTTTCATGTCGTTTTCGCACTTTATTTCTTTCTGAATAAAGTATTTATATATATTTCAAAGGAGAGAATCTTTATATTTACCGTAAATACTGTAATTGGACCCCACCCCTCTAATAGTACCCCCCCCCCTCTAATAGTACCCCACCCTAGAGGGGAAGGGAAAAAATAATACCCCACCCCTCTAATAGTGCCCCACCCCTCTAATAGTACCCCACCCCCACCTAACGCGTAATTACAAATAACGCTTTTAAAACGGAAAATTTTCATGTATTTTCAGAAATCGTTTGTATTTTTAATTTTATCCCATAAATTTGTTGTTTTTAAATTTGCGGTGGCTACTTTGCGCCAAATTTTTTGCGCAGCTCGCCAGAACTTTCTTCTAAGTGGGCCAATCTTTATGATTGTAGATCTCAACAAGTGCAAAAAAGTAACACCAAAATCATAAAAGATTGGCCCACTTAGAAGACTTGAACCATTTAGAAGCCACTTGAACTCGAAGGGGATTGATATCGGCTTGGCTGAATGGATACGGGATCGTCGAGCCGAGAAGAAACGAGTGACATGCCGGATTATCTGGAATGAAGCAGCTAATCGATTCGAAAAAGCTGAAATTTCTTTCAAAAGAAGCCATGGCTGGATGGAGTCGTTCTTGAGGCGCCCCCAACTTTCTTTGAGGGCACCAACAACAACTTCTCAAAAAGCTGCCGAGCGAATTTGAGAAGGCCATCGTCGAGCACATTCTGAGGCTGAACAAGACAATCAAAGAAGGCGATTACAAGCACATTGTTGCTTGCGATGAGATGGCGGTTTGGCTGGATGCTTTGACGAGCAAGTCCATCGAAGCGGTTGGCGCCAAAGAAGTTGGTGTTCTCACCCGCGGCTACGACAAGACGAATATATTCGTGATGCTCACTGCTTGTTTCAATGGAAAAAAAGTTGCGCCCTTTTGTCGTGGTGCTTCGGAAAACGATGAACAAAAAAATCGAGACAAAGTTCCAATCGAAGTTATTGCTCTGTTGGAAAGAGAAGAAAAGCAAGTGCCTCGATGATGAGATCACGGCGGAATACTTGTAACGCTCGTTCGATGGACTTATCTTTAATTATTATCTTTACTCTATTGTACTTGCACACGATGAGAAATGCTCGGACAGAGACAGAAATCGAGGACCTCTTGGAGCCGCTCGCATCGACGGGATTTCAAGGACATCGAGGAATTGATGATAAAAAAAATGATGAATTCATTGATTCGGATGTTTCTATTGATTTCGCTTGTTAGTTGTTTTTGTTTCGTTTTGCAGTTAAATTTTCAAATGGTTAAAACCAATAAAAACTAAAGAAAAAGTTTGCTTTTGAACAAATTATTTGAATGTATCCTGATTTGGTAACTTGAATAGTGGTGTAAAATAGTAACCCACCCTCTAATAGTGCCCCACCCTCTAATAGTACCCCACCCTAGAGGGGGAGGGAAAAAATAGTACCCCATGGGGTCCAATTACAGTATTTACGGTAATATTTCAATATTCAAAAGCATTTTATTGGACAAAGAATTTAATGGAAAAATATTGGAATTGAGAAATGATTTGCCATGAATATGATTTCACTAAAAGAGCTTTCAATTTTCATCAGTTGAAAAGAGGAAAAGAAAAAGAAAAAATCCTATTGAATAGCTATTGCAAATTTCTTAAACTTAAAACTAAATCAAAAGAAAAAAAAACTTTAATTAGATCATAGTACGCTATATTTTGTGTATGCAATCTAACCCTCTTTTTAAAAATCTTTTTCGACTAAAGCTCGAGGCTTTTGGCGACTAGGCGTGGCTCTTTTATCTTTTATCCGAATCTGCTTTCTCTAAATCCTCTAGAGCTTTTTTTGTAAATCGTGTGATTAAAGTTTAGAATGCCCTTCCCGACAAGTTGCGCTTGATCTCCACCGTGTCTGATTTTAAAAGGGCTACTTCGTTGCATTTTAAGTCACTTTGTCATCTTTTATCTGGTACATATTTCATGTCGTTTTCGCACTTCTTTCTAAATGAAGTATTTATATAACTGGCTAAAACTCTTCTTCTTTTAAGCTCTTCTTTTCAAAGAACTTTTAACAGATCTATTCTTCTCTTAATTTTAATATCTTTCATCAATATTTCTTAATTTCTTTAATGCTTCCAATGTTTTTTATCGTTCCAAAGAGCTTTCCTCTTTTTCAGATCTGGTTGTTTTCCACTAATCATCAATTATAGGAGAGACGATTCGTTAGCAATTCTTCTTTATTTGACAAGCTTTAGATCTATGACTCATTTTGAATTTAAAGCTTTAGTTGATTTAATTACTTATTAAAGTGCTTTAATTTGCTATTAACTTTCTTGTAAATTTATTTTACTTTATTTTACTATTAACTTTAGTGAAACTTTTTACGCCAAAATGCTTTAAATTTAAAAATGAATTCCAGAAATGACTTGAAATGCTTTTGAAAGGCTGATCTATGACTCATTTTGAATTTAAAGCTTTCCTTGATTTAATTACTTATTAAAGTGCTTTAAATTACTATGAACTTTCTTCTAAACAATCGTTTTTACACCAAAATCTTTTAAATTTAAAGATCAATTTCAGAAATGACTTGAAATGCTCTTTTTCTTTTTATGTCTCACCATGACAATTCATTTTGTTCTCGGCTTTCACGAGACACTCGATGAACGCGAATTGAGACACATTTTTGGGACAAGAAGCAAAAAAGCTGGTTTGTTTTAAAGTTTATCAAAACTTTGGCAATAGCAAAAGGGAAATAAGAATTTGAGTTTAATAGAAATCAATTTAATAGAAATCAATTTGAGATTTAATAGAAATCAATTTGAGTTTAATAGAAATCAATTTGAGTTTAATCTAAATCAATTTGAGTTTAATAGAAATCAATTTAATAGAAATCAATTTGAGTTTTAATAGATATCAATTTGAGTTTTAATAGATATCAATTTGAGTTTAATCTAAATCAATTTGAGTTTAATAGAAATCATGGTGATACATTACTTTCTGAAGGTAAAACTTTAAATGGTCTTGAATGATCAAATCTAAAATCTAAAACCAAAAATCTTTCTTCTAGTTCCCGATTACACAATTGAAAACGTTAAACGATCGCTTTTAAATGGAAACGACATTTTACAATTTAATTTAAACGATCAAACGGAAAGATTTCTGCTGAGAAATCATGGAGACACATTACTTTCTGAAGGTAAAACCTTTAAGATCTTTGTTTTAATGTTTTAAATTTAAAAATTTAGACTTTCAATTCATAACACATCAAGAGAATTACACTGTAAACGAAATTTTCGATGATAGAGAATGCTTTTTTCGGGGAAATTCGTTGAGAAATAATGAAACAAAGATCGCAATTGTTGGCTGTGAGAATGATATTGTGAGTTTTAGGCTGATATTCAAATATTAATATTTGTGTTTAAGCGTGGTTTAATCACAACACCGGATGGCTCTCATTTCCTCATTCATCCAATTCCAAAGGGGAAAAAAGGGATGCATGTCATTCAGAAAAGGAGTCTTTCTCTTCATCAACTTGAGCAGATTTGCCCTTTCAGTAAGTTTAGTCTTATCATTTGAACATTTTTAGAAGATTTCCTCAAGTTAAACTCTTCTAAGCTTTGCCTTCTCTTTTGACTTCTCAGGTAGCTTCTAGGGAAAATATTATAGTAGTTTTTGAATACAATTGCTAGATTACTTGTCTATATTTCTTTCTTCGCCGTTAGTTTTTTGTGCAGAAACCTAGGCTAAAAACATGTGTTTCGTGATCAGCGTCAAAAATTTAAAAAAAAATAATAATAAATAAGAAAAGGAGTCTTTCTCTTCATCAACTTGAGCAGATTTGCCCTTTTAGTAAGTTTAGTCTTATCATTTGAACATTTTTAGAAGATTTCCTCAAGTTAAACTCTTCTAAACTTTGCCTTCTCTTTTGACTTCTCAGATAGTTTCTAAAGAAAAGATTATATTGGGTTAGTGGAAAAGTCCTTTCCTATTTTTTGGGAGAGTACCTTAAATTTTTAATTTGTCCAATTTTGACGTTTTATAGTTCATTCTAAAGCTGAATTCAAGACGGATCGATTGGTAAAAATCATTTTGAGATATCTCTTTTCTAAAAGTTTTTACAGCTATTTTAGTAAAGGGCGGCAGAGCCAAAAAAAATGGCTGTTTTCACGTTTCGTTAGTTTTTCGTGCAGAAACCTAGGCTAAAAACATGTGTTTCGTGATAAAAATAAAAGAGTAATAATAATAAATAAGAAAAGGAGTCTTTCTCTTCATCAACTTGAGCAGATTTGCCCTTTTAGTAAGTTTAGTCTTATCATTTGAAGATTTTTAGAAGATTTCCTCAAGTTAAACTCTTCTAAACTTTGCCTTCTCTTTTGACTTCTCAGATAGCTTCTAGAGAAAATATTATAGTATTTTTTTGAATACAATTGCTAGATTACCTGTCTTTATTTCTTTCTTGACCAGAAATTTCTCGGTGAATCGCTTTTGGAGCAATAAAGTCGATTCTTGGAGTTGTCGTTTGATGATTTTCAAGAATCATTTCCATTGTTTTCTTGGTAGCTAAATCTTTCATTTTCAATTCCTTTCAATGGAAATCTAACCTTTTCCACATAAAAATTTGCAACTTCGTTTCTGCTTTGTGTAACCTGAACAATGACCGGGGAGGCATTTGACCCATTTCTTTTAATCTCTTCTCTTTTAATCCTTTTTCCTATTACTTTTGATACAGTTTTTCTAAAGAAACTTTAAAAAATACAACAAAAAAGTTGACTTGTTCGACTGATTTTACAATACTTTACAATATCTTTTTCATAATATCTGTAAAATGTTTGTCCAAATCGATTTCCAGATCGATTAGATGATCCGCATCCAGAAGATCTCAACATAGAGTGCCATTTTGGTGGAAATGCTTCGAGGCTAGCTGTCACAAAGTTGGGAAAGTCGAAATGACATCTAAAACCAGATTTCAGAATTGAAGAACTAACCATTGAGTTAGCCGTTTTTGCTGATGATGCCATGTGGAGACATTTCCAGAAATTGTATGGCCAACGAGCAAAACGCGAAATGCAACGATTCATCATGGCAGCTGTAAATAATGTAAGAAAAAAAAGAAAAGTAGAAAAGCTAAAAATCATCTTAAATCTTTTAGATCGATGTCTTATATGATCAGCGCTCATTACAACCACGAATCAACATTCGAGTGGTCAGATATGAAGTGATGGAGAGAGCGCCGGTAAATGAAAGTTTTCTCACGCATAAAAATTCTTTTCAGGCAATCATGTCGAAAAGAGTTCATCAAGTTGGTGATGTCGATAAGTTGCTTGAGGCTTTTTGCACCTATCAAAACTTGATCAATCCACCGGATGACAGAGATCCCAGACATTGGGATCATGCACTGCTTTTCTCTGGGTACGTTTGATGGAAAAACTGCTGGCAAACGCCTACCACATTCCCTCATTTCTCATTCTCATTCCAGGTCTAAAGCAAGGTTCAAGCCACCAGTAAAGACATCAGTAATTCTCTAGCAGCCCCTACAGGACCGCGAATTATGGCTACACCTTTCTTGGAAAAGTTGCTGACAAACGCCTGCCACATTCCCAAGTGTCAAGTGTTAAATAGAAAATTAAAGCCCTTAATCTTGGCATCATTTATCTAGAAAGAACTTCTCAATTGGAATCATATAACTCATTTTACAAGCTCTCGAATGAGCTCAAGTCGGTTTCTCTTTGGCGATCTGCCATTGACACACAATATTTTCATCTAAACGCCCGCCACATTCCCAAAGTGTCAAGTGTTAAATCAAAAATTAAAGCCCTTAATCTTGGCATCATTTATCTATAAAGAACTTCTCAATTGGAATCATATAACTCATTTTACAAGCTCTCGAATAAGCTCAAGTCAGCGTCTGTCCGGCAATCTACTATTTTGATACTTTTCTTAATAAAAAATTGTTAAAAAGATCTTGATATTTAGAGAAAATGACATTTAATATCATTTAATAGGAATAAAAATAACAGGAGACTCTTTTGTCAAACTTTTAAACCAAAATTAGAGTTGATTTCGGGAAACTCTACAAAAAAGGGAAAATTAAGCTTTTTCGAATACCCATTTGATAAGAATTGCTCTAGAAGCTTCTCTAGTATTATATTTTCTTTGCAATAATATTTTTAAATGAAAATCCCACATGTTTGATTGAAGTAATATATTTTTAGATGAAAATATTGTGTGTCAATGGCAGATCGCCAAAGAGAAATCGACTTGAGCTCATTCGAGAGCTTGTAAAATGAGTTATATGATTCCAATTGAGAAGTTCTTTATAGATAAATGATGCCAAGATTAAGGGCTTTAATTTTCTATATATAACATTTGGCACTTTGGGAATGAGTCAGGCGTTTGTCAGCAACTTTTCCAAGAAAGGTGTGGCTATAACTCGCGGTCCTGTAGAGTCTGCTAGAGGATTACTGATGTCTTTACTGGTGGCTTGAACCTTGCTTTAGACCTGGAAACAATTAAAACAAGAGTTTTTTATCTATTTTATTTCAAGTTATGATCTTTATCGAGACGGCCTTCGAACAGTAGCCGGCTATGCACCAGTGAAAGGAATGTGTAATGGACAGAGGAGTTGTACACTGAACGAAGGACTCGATTTTGGTTCAATTTTCGTTGTCACCCATGAAATGGGGCACAGGTTCGACAATCTTCAATATCTAGCAAGTTCAAGCGCAAGTTTAGCTTGGGTATGTACCATGACGGGGACAATGATTGCGACCTTCGTTGTTGCATAATGAGCCCATCGATTGGAGCTGGGAAAACGGATTGGAGTTCTTGCTCAAATAAAGAATTCAACATTTTCCTATCGGTAAGCTGTTAATTTGGCAAAATTTATGAAATCTAGAAATTGGGTACAAAAGGTCGACCGCCAAATTGTCTACTTGATAATCCTCGTAATTCTCGCGAAACACATTCACTCACTTTTTCTCTTAGGTAACTTTATATATCAATATTGAAATATCAATATTTATCAATTGATGAAAATCTTCAGAGATTATCCTGGACAGCAGTTCACATTGGATAAACAATGCTCGATTTTTCATGGAGAATGTTGGAAACACGAGTTGAAAGATGGACAGATTATGGAAGTAAATCAATAAACGTAAACGTAAACAATAATCAATAAACAATAATCAATAGACAAATCAATAGACAAATCAATAAATAAACCAATAAACAAATCAATAAACAAATCAATAAAGAAATCAATAAACAAATTAATAAACAATAATCAATAAACAAATCAATAAACAAATCAATAAAGAAATCAATAAACAATAATCAATAACCAATAATCAATAACCAATAATCAATAAACAAATCAATAAACAAATCAATGAACGAATTTCTTTCAAATCAATCAATTTCCAGGATGTTTGTGAAATGATTTGGTGTGGAAATGGAGAAGGTATCGTTCGGACAGCTCATCCCGCAATGGAGGGATCTTATTGTGGTCCAAGAATGGTAAATATTAGAGCACACAGCACAGATTACAGAATTTTCCAATCAAAATCTTATCTTTAGTGGTGTATGGGTGGTAAATGTCGTCCACATCGATATCTTGTCGATGCAATTGATGGTGGATGGAGTGAATGGAATGACAACCCACGGAAAGGATGTTCGACTGGTTGCAGGTGCGTGTAAAGAGTACAAACCGTTATCGACAACTAACTAGAGATATTTAGCACTTGTGAAATCGATGGCCAATTGAGTGTGAGTCGAAGTATTCGCTCGTGCAATAGTCCGAGTTCGAACAATGGCGGAGATTCGTGTATTGGAGATGACACAAAGGGGATTCGATGTCAGGAAAAGGTTAGCATTCTTGCAATGAATTTGTACAATGAGAATCTTGAGAAATGTGATGGCTTGTCGATTACCGAATTCGCTTCAAAGTACTGTAAAGTGTTGAGAGATGATGTAAATGTGCCGAATCTGCAACTCTCCGGTATCGGGTTGCAATATCAACAAGCTAAATGCAAAATTTGGTTGTAATATAATAAAAACTGATTATCATTAGCTGCTTAGGTGTCACATTGTTGACTCTGATCAAATTCGAACTGTCACAAATTTTCCCGATGGAACACCATGTGGAGATGGGGAGTACTGTGTGAAAGGATCGTGTAGGGTCAGTTTCATTGTGGTTCATTGTGGTTCATTCAGTTTCATTGTGGTTCATTGTTTCATTGTGGTCAGTTGCTCTAAAGCTTCTAACTTATTTTGGTTACTTACTTTAGATTGTTTTTTGGTGACCTAATAGATTTACGTAAAACTTTTAGCTCATCATCTTCATTTGATTGTTTATAATCAAAAAAAAAAGCTTTCAGGAAGAAATTTCCATTTATAGAAGACATTCAAAAGAACTTTTCATTTATATTGGGTTGGTGAATTGAAAACTGCGAGCTATTGTCATATGTGACAGTTTGAGCACTTTCTTCAAAAGAAACCCATTTTAGTGTCAATGGAAAAGTTGTAGAGAATCAAAAATTAAGCTTATATCCAAATTTTCAGAACGATTCAAAAATTGGTTTTCAAGAAATACCAAATTTACGAATTTTCACAAAACTTGCATTTTAAGCGAAACTACTAAGTGTATCTTTTTGGAAATTTGGCTATAAGCCTCATTTTTGATTCTCTACAACTTTTCTATTGACACCAAAATGGGTTTCTTTTGAAGAAAGTGCTCAAACTGGGACATCTCCAGTCCTCCATTTTTGAGTCTCACACTTGTCTCACACACTTGTACTGGGAATTGCTGGATAGTAAGACGACCGTTAATGCAATCAAATACAGTGGACTGTTGGGAAAGGTGAATGAATCCCTGAAGAAGATTAGGCCCTCCAAGTCAAAGATCGTTCGCATCCACGACAACGTGCGCCCTCATATTGCAAAACTGATTCGCTCTAAAATAAATAGCCTTGTTTGGGAACTTTTGGCGCATTCCCCATACAGTCCGGACCTCTCCCCTTTTGATTACTATTTATTCTGGATCATGAGTAATGAGCTTGCGGGAGAACACTTCGATTCGGAAGAAGCAGTCAAAAATTGGCTTTGAAAGTTTTTCGATTCAAAACCAAAATCCTACTACGAAAGAGGAATCCGCAAATTGCCTGTAAAATGGGCAGAAGTCGTCAATAATAATGGAAATTATTTGGAATGAATTCATGGTTTTATTGGGTTGCGGAGAATGAGTCGGCGCCAAACTTTAAAGGGACTTTTTGCACACATAAAGCCTTCTTTAAACATACGTTTGGTTTCATCAAAAGGATCCACTATTTCTCTACAAAATGACTTTTGAGAGATTCCACAAAGCTTTTCTTTCGTGGAGTTTATGAACTTGCAAACGCAGCTGGTTAAAATGGCAAAGAGTCCGACTCATCATTTGAACAGTTTCTTTCGCATAAACCTTCTTTGGTGTTTATATAAAAAAGATAGAGCACATTCAATTACTTAAGTTGCCAAATTTGCAGGAAGATCCCACCAATGGTTTTTTCTAGATCACAGTTTGTAGTTTTTGTGAAAAAATGGCTTTTTCTTGAGCGGAGGCGCTGTTTGAATTTTCTTTTAAATGTGATTTTGTAGAGAATTAGTTAACCATTCTATGAGTATCAAACGCATATTATTTGACGAAGTCGAATTGAAGTTTTAGACATTTTTTTCATTTTCGGCGCCGACTCATTCTCCCCAACCCAATATGTTGAATAAATTTTAGTTCAAAGCCCCGCAGTTTTCAATTCACCAACCTAATAATTAGATTTATAAAATATTCAAAGACTCATTTTAGCTCATCTTCTCTAGAGTACTTATCTCTAGATCTTATTTGTTTGGCTAATGTCCTTTTGGACAAACATTGATATCCATTTCCGAGCTCTGAGACAAATATGAAAAGATTCAAAATAAATTGAAAAATTAAACAAAATAGTGATAGAAAATGATCTATTAGTTGAAATTATTAGGTTTTCTGATAAGTCTTACGATATTTTATAAATCTATTTAGTGCTCAAACTGTCACATACGACAATAGCCCGCAGTTTTCAATTCACCAACCCAATATAAATGAAAAGTTCTTTTGAATGTTTTCTATAAATGAAAAGCCCTTCTTGAAAGCTCCAAATAGAAAAGGTTTATTATTCATTTTTCTATCTTTTTAGCACAATTTCGGTCCATTTCCAAGTAAATTCAAATGCCCGAAAATTCGTTTTTCGTAAAATTCGATCAAAAAAACTCTACAAAGAAATCGAAACGGATCATCGTGAAAAGTCGGCTATATACCTAACCTTTTGAGCTCTATCTTTTATCTATTAACATCAGGATAGGTTTCTGTAGATCAAAGTGCCTAAATTGCATTTTCGAACCAGAAAAACCAGAAACAAAAGATTTTCATAAAATTTGAATGCTTTTTGTAGATGAATCGGTGAATTGAATCGGTGAATTGACTAAATAGCTTTTCAAATAAAATGTTCAAAGACTTCTCGGTCATTTCTTTAGTCATCAGTTCTTTCTTTAGCCACTCGTCTGCAATGGAAGCATCGTTGGATCATTGGAGGATGAATGTCCAATCAAAATCAACATCCAGCTCAACAATTCGATCAGTTCAGTGGCACTGAAACCAATTTTTAGGTAATATCAGTAGGATTATAAATTAGTAATTGAAAAATGGTAAACCTTAAATGAATTAAGGTCCAACCATCAAGCGGTGAGTCTAATCGATCGAGAATCAAAAGGTGAGTCGAAGAAAATAAGCTTATAAATCAAAATAAAAGGAAATAAGTAGTTGTAGTTGTATGTAAGTTGTTGTAATTGTATTTTTAATCATTTTCCATTAAGCTTTATAACCAATTTTGATTCAGTTTTGTATAAATGGTCTGAATGGAGCCTGTGGACGGCTTGCTATGGGATTTCATGTGGAAAAACGGGTTTTCAGGTGAATCAAGTGAAAGTTTTAGATTTATTTTCTTGAATATGAGAAGTGTGCAGTGCGTGAGAGGGTCATGGGGCAATGATTATTTACCGTAAATACTGTAATAGTGCCCCACCCTCCCTCGTACAGTCGCGTAGTCGCAAAAGTTTTTTAGTATTTCATTTTTTTCAAAGCACCCGTCCTTTCAAAAAATGCGTCTTTGGTATCAAAAAATAGCCCTGAATTTCAGCTATTTTTTGATACCTAAGCGAGCATTGTAGCATAAACCAGTGTCGAGAAAAACTCGTTCAAAGCTCGACTACGCAACACTCCGCACCGTCATTATGGGGGCGGGGTACTATTACAGTATTTACGGTAGATATTTATTCCAAATCTAGCACAATCACTAATCTAGCGAGAAAATCCAATAAAATAGAATCAATCGTTGGTTCAGTGTTTCAAAGCCAAAGAAAAGCAATACAAAGTGGGCTTCGTCCCCTTTTTATCACACAAAAGATCTTTAGAGGAAGGACAAGAGAATCAGAGATATTCAAAATCAAAGCATCAAATAAGATTTCACAGAAAAGAGCTACTTTTCTGAAATTATTCAACAAAACTTCTAGCTTCGATCTCGCAAATGCCTCTCCGGTCATTGTTCTGGTTACACGAAGCAGAAACAAAGTTGCAAGTTTTTATGTGGAAAAGGTTAGATTTCCATTGAAAGGAATTGAAAATAAAAAGATTTAGCTACCAAGAAAACAATGGAAATGACTCTTGAAAATCGTCAAACGACAACGCCAAGAATCGACTTTATTGCTCCGAAAGCGATTCACCCAGAAAATTTCTGGCCAAGAAAGAAATATAGACAGGTAAGCTTAGCAATATTGTATTCAAAAACTACCAGAAAATTTTCCTTAGAAGCTATCTGACACAAAGAAACGATATGTGCTAAACAATGAATACGAGAAGAATTCGGAGATCACTGACAAAGATCAACAAAAAATGTTATTGGAGAAGACTGGGTACACTGCGGAACAAATCGATGCAACAGCAGATCAAGTAAGCAGCATTAGCAATACTAGAATTATACTAGAATTGTACTAGAATTGTACTAGAATTGTACTAGAATTGTACTTGAATTGTACTAGAATTGTACTAGAATTGTACTAGAATTGTACTAGAATGGTACTAGAATTGTACTAGAATTGTACTAGAATTGTACTAGAATTGTACTGGACTTGTACTGGACTTTTTAGAACTCGATCATCGAACCTCGACTCTTCAAGAAGCAAGAACCAAGCGGTTCCTTTGCGAGATATGTCTCGACAATTCCATATCAAGATCAAACTCTACAAGCTACTCAAAATTTATATAATTATCAAAGTAAATAGTATGTTAGTATTTAAACTAAGTAATCTTAGGCTGGTCATTGTGGTCAGATTGGTCGTTGTGTAGTCAGCCGTGTCTTTCCGGGTCGAGGATGAGGAGGTGAGAGGCTGTCAGATAGCTGAACCAGTCTAAATTTAGCAAAATTTGGCTTTCTTTCTTGTAAACTAACAAGGTAGGTCAACTGGCTGGGCCAAAAACCTATACAATTCGCAAAATTTGATACTGATTCCGAATCTATTCCGTTTTTGCTTTCAGCTTTTCCGTTCCTCTGCCAGGTGTTATAAACGTTTGTTTTGTGTCTGTTTTGTTAAAAGTTTGTTTGTTACTTTATAAAAGTGTGACTTTAGAACGTTGTGCGTGCCTAGTCTTCCTGAAAAAAAGCAAAAGTAAAGTCGAACCTGGAAGTCTCGATCTCCAAACGAACGCTCTACCACTCGGCCACAACAGCATCGAGTATGACTGCGCAAGGAGATGGTTAAGACCCAATTTTCATTTACAGACTCCTAACAAAACTTTAGACGCTTAAAACTCTTAGCGGATCTCATTTAGCAAAAACGAAATATTCGAAATCAGCATCAAATTCTGCGAATGGTATAGGTCGCGTAGCATTTGGCTCAGCCAGTTTGGCTCAGTATTTGGCTCAGCCAGTTTGGCTCAGCATTTGGCTCAGCCTTTCCTTGTAATATTGGTGGACAAGTTGGTAGACCCAAGTCCAGCTCTGGCTTCTGGCTTTTCACAACTCTGGCAACATTTAAACTATTGTACTTACTTCTGAAATCTTTTGTTTCTGTATGATTTATGATATGATTTCCAGAAGAAACTGCGTTCAACCTGGTCTCTGTGAAGGCTCTCCATACGAGACTCAACCCTGTACACCAGAGATTTGCTATTGGCAGAATCGTCAACCTCAACCAAATCCATATTATTCTTATTCAAATCCATCACAAATTTCTTCTCTTTATGATTATCAATCCCAATCGCAATATTACCCATCTCATTATGATACTTCACAAGTTTATCCAGCTTATTTCTTTGCTCAAGGTTAAATTTTGTAAATACCATAATACTTCTAATAGTAGCCCCCCCCCCCCGTATAAACGGGTGGAGAGAAAAATGCGTTTAAAGTTAGACTACGCGATGCTCTATACTATATAGTCATATAGTATAGAGCATCGCGTAGTCTAACTTTAAACGCATTTTTCTCTCCACCCGTTTATGCTACAGTGTGCACTTAAGTATCAAATGAAAGCTGAAATACAGGGCTATCTTTTGATACCAAGCGTCTTTTGATAATACACAGTCGCAAAAAAAAACTTTTACTCATTTTTTTCAAAGCGCCCGTACTTTCAAAAAATGCGTCTTTTAAGTGCACACTGTAGCATAAACGGGTGCTGAGAAAAACGCGTTTAAAGTTAGACTACGCGATGCTCCGACCGTCATTATAGGGAAGCGCTACTATTAGAGTTATTACGGTAGTTAATTGTAAGCTTCAGCTTTATGAATTGCTTTGTTGTGGATTGTTTTTTTTGAGAAAAATTCTATGATTTTAAGTAAAAATCTCGGTCAAACAAAGGTTCAAATCTGTGGTTGGGCTTTCTTTTTTCAAAATTTCAATTCAAATGGAACTGTCAAATCGGATTTTGAGGCAAATCCGTTAATATGGTTACTTCTAACGAAGATCGATGGCAAACACATCTGTTCTTTTTATGGGAGAAATTCCCAGAATGGACAGGGACCTCATAGAAAAGGCTTTCAATCATCACAAAGCAATGGGGTAAAGAAGAATGGATGAAGAGAAAGAAAGGGACAAGAATGGTTGGTGAGTGAAAGGAAAGAGAAAAAGGACAGGCAGGAGGCCAGCTGGGTCTCTTTTTCTCTTTTTCTCTTTTTCCCCCTAGGTTTTCCTCTCTATATGCTCAGACATAAGGACCCCAAAAAAGGCGAAAATAAATGACCGACTCTCCCTTAGGGAAATGAAAGGGAAAAGTGTCCCTTGCGTGCTCAATTCCAATTTAAGGCCTTGCCCCTTCCACTCATTCATTCATTTTATGATTCTGACTTGTGCTCGTTTATCGGTGCTTTAAATAGCTTAGCTTTTGACATTGAATACTGTTATTTAATGTCATATAGGTAAGTGATCAGTTGTTACCGTAAATCTACTGTAATTGAAGCCCCGAGGCCTCAATTTTTTTCCCTCCCCCTTTAAAGGGAGCTTCTAATTTTCACCGAGACTTTGGAAAAATTCCAAGTTACCAAAATTGGATATACTGACAGATAGATAAACTAATTTTCTTTCAATTTTATTCAAAAAACATTATAAACATCAAAAATAAGTGTTAATAACCAACCAAATTTAGCAAAAACAAATTGAAAATTGAAAGGTGATACCTCTTTCTCAGGAATTTAATTTCTAGATTACAATAGTTTTAGCCGAATCCAGTGATCGTCGGATCCCGGATTCTGTATTTTCTCTAATAGTAGTGCACCCTGAGCGTCGCCTAAATTCCTCGAAATCTCGAGAACCGCTTATCAAAACCTATCGATGTGGGATCGGAAAATGTAGCTGACGATGAGATCTTGTGGGGGATTTGAGTGTTAAGCTTCTAGGAAAACTTAGAAACTATAAAATAGTCATCAACTCGGCTCAGAGGAGGGGGGAGGGTGCACTACTATTTGAAAGAAAGAGAATAGAACAAGCAGCTTTGGCAGATTACGGTAACATCTGTGAGGTGATACTCAGGCATTTAATTTCTAGATTACAATAGTTTTAGTTGAGTCCAGTGATCGCCGAATCCCGTATTCTCTCTAATAGTAGTGCACCCTGAGCGTCGCCTAGATTGCTTGAAATCTCGAGAATCGCTTATCAGAACCGATCGATGTGGGATCGGAAAATGTAGCTGACGTTGAGATCTAGTGGGGGATTCAAGTGTTGAGCTTCTGCAAAAGGTTGGAAACCGTAAAATAGTCATCAACTCGGCTCGCTGGGGTGCACTACTATTAGAGAAAATACGGTATGTGCTTTTTTAATTCACAATGACTTTTCAAAAGAAAGCATCTCTGTCACAATTATATTTTTCCTTCTTCGAATTTGACTTTATTTTGAAAAAAAGGGTTTCTTTTATATTTCCGTTTATATTTCATTCAGAAAACAGTTAGTTTTTATTGAGAAATTTTAGCTAAATTAGTAGGGAAGTAAGTAGAATATCTAGACCGATATCCAGTCGGCAATCCTTTTACTCGAAACAAAATTCTCACCTTTATGACTTTATGACTGTAAAAGACTCATAAAATAGCGCCGTTTCTCTCAAATTGAAAAAAAAAGCAAGCAGAGACCGGATTTTACGATCAACTCTGGTAATCTAATTTTGAAAATCTATCAATCCGAACAGATTAGATAGGAGATTTTTTGAATCCCATGATTTGAAAAGAAACGGGCAATCGAATCCTTGTAGTTTGTAGCCGAAAAATCCTTTTCCCTTCTCAAATACCCTTGGCTTTTTACTTCAAAAAACTAAAAAACAAAAAACCTCCAGTTTTCTTTTATTTATTTCATTTTTCTTTTCAAAATTCTTTTACAATTTTGTTATTTCAAATTTCAGATGTCCTAGTGACCGATCTCTTCATTCAAATGACTTCCCGATTCGAGTGATGGGTTTACGAAGAATTTGTCTATTTCTTTTCTGTTTTCCACCATTAATTTATTTCTTCTTGGCCTATTCGGAGACAAAAGAAACAGCAAATAATCAAATCACGTCAAAGTAAGATTTTGGAAAGCAAATATACTTAAAGAGAAATTTCTTTTATCAATCAACCCTCCATACAAATCTCCATAAAAACTTTTTTGGTAACCTGTGTTTTTCTTATCATTTTATGATTTTATAGTTCAATATTTATATTTTTAACGTGTTCCACCATTTGAAAACCTTAAAAAAAAGTGATTTCTATTTAGTAGGAAATCTTTTCTACACCATTTAATAACCTTTAAAAAATCGAGCGAAGAAGAAGAGTTGGATCTCGAATTCTAGATGATGTAAAGACTTGGTAAATAGCTTATTGAAAAGCTCTTTAAATAAGCTAAAACTTTTACTTTAATAACTTTTTAATGTTCCTTGTAAATTTTCAAGTTAAAGCCATATATGAAAAGCCATAATTTTTTTGATCTAAAGCGAATTTTGATTACGGTATTCTGGGAAGCTGTTTTGTATATTTGAAAAAAAACTTGTAAAGAAGATCTTTAATAAAAATGTTTTGGCTAGCAGATAAAAAGAAATTCAAAGGATTTTGTTGAATACTCGCTGAGATATTCGACTTTGAAGATGAAGATGAAGATGAAGAGAGAGATCCAATACTCAAGCTTCAGCTCCCATACTTTCTCTAAGGTTTTCAAATACGGGAACACGATAAAAATATAAAATCAATCATAACAATAACACAAATATAGATTACCAAAGAAGTTTGTTTGAAGATTGAGGGGTAGGCTAGTTTTCGCAACTTTTTTTGCGCCACAGGGCCATTTGCGCAACTGGGTCGTTCGCACAACTCGCCATAACTTTCTTCTGAGTGGGCCAATCTTTATGATTTTGGTGTTGTTTTGTAGCACTTTTTGAGATCTACAAAATGATATTTAAATTATAAAGATTCAATCACTTAAAAGAAAGTTACTGCGCAAAGAAATTTGACTGGAAGTAGCCAAGAATAGAAATACTACTTTTCTGGCAAGTTTAACTATAAATATAAGCACTTAATCTTTATATTAGGTTGAGGAAAAAGTAATTTGGTAATATCAAAAAAGTTTGTTTGAAGATTGAGCCATAAAAGAGACTGACTTGAGTGACTTGAAAGTAACTTTTCAATCTTCTTTTCAAAGATAACCAAGAGCGATAAGGTTGTGCTTATTTAAATAAATGAATAAAAAAAAAAACATTAGAGAATGATTCTGTCCGTTTTTTTGTCAAAAAAACATCAATATTTTTGAGTTTATCTCATTTCAGGCACTCACCCGAGCACAACATTTTCTCCTTACGGCTTGATCAGAATTTCACCGTCAAGAATGGACCAGTCTCTTATTTACAAATTGTCGAAAACCCAGCAAATAGGTAACAAAAAATTCAATATTAAAACAAAAAAAAATCATTTAGGTTCAATATGCGTAACAATGACGTGATTGTCGTTTTGCATATTCAGAAAACAGCGGGTACATCTTTTGAGAAATTCCTTGTTCGATATCTTGATACTCCTTATCCGTGTGATTGCTCATCAGCCAGGAAAAGATGTATCTGTTTAAGGCCAAATTCGGAAAGAGAGGTGAGAGATTTAAATGCATACCGTAAATACTGTAATAGTACCACACCCCCATAATGACGGTGCGGAGTGTTGCGTAGTCGAGCTTTGAACGAGTTTTTCTCGACACTGGTTTATGCTACAATGTGCGCTTAGGTATCAAAAAATAGCCCTGGATTTCAGCTATTTTTTGATACCAAAGACGCATTTTTTTGAAAGTATGGGTGCTTTGAAAAAAACAGCCCTTAATCGGTTCGGATATGCCTCCACTGGGGCCCGAATGTCATCTTGAGGAGTCGCCTTCCATCCTTTGGTCAAAGACAAAGGTCAAAGACTTCTTCAAGGTCAAAGAGCAGACATTAGCCTCTAAGATTGCCCAAATGGAAAAGTCCATCACATTGAGATCCGGTGAGTTTGGAGGCCATTCATCCTTGGTGATCACTGAGGGAAAGTTGGCCACACACCAGTCCTGAACCGTCTTCTTCGTGTAAGCGGGAGGCAATTAGGCAAGAATAAAGAAGATAGAACGCAACACAACAAAAAAGGGGGCAAAAAAAATACGAAAGCTGTTTGGAAAACGGTCTTTGAACTCTTGTTGCAATAATTATGACGCACCCTGTACGCGACTGTACGAGGGAGGGTGGGGTACTATTACAGTATTTACGGTAGGTAATCATTTTCACCGCATATCCTCTATCGGATCGATCCCTTTTCACGTATTGGGTCAATTCTCTTGAAGTGAGCGAGTCCCTTTTATTTTTAGTTTATAAAAAAAGGATACTTATTTAATAACAGAGTACTATAATGCTTGATTTTTCAGTTCATTTCAAGTTCATTTTGAGTATTCGAGATTCATACAAGAGCAAATTCTAAAAAGAAATCATTTATCAGATGTGGCTTTTCTCTCGTTACTCAACTGGTTGGGCTTGCGGTTTGCATGCTGATTTCACCGAGTTGTTCGTCTCGAAATGTGTTGACAAACAATTGGATAGAAAAGAAGGTAAAACTTAACATATAAAAGTCAAAAAAAGATAGTCTAATTGCTTAAATATAAAGCTTAAAATCAAGCTGAATAGTTATGAAAAGTATGAAAGAAATAAAAATCTTTAGGCACTCACAACAAACGTCGACTTTTCGCTACAACATTCCTTCGTGATCCGGTGACAAGAGTGATCTCCGAGTATCGACATGTGAATCGAGGAGCGACATGGCTTGGATCAAGGTTTATAAGAATAAACAGCCGAAAAATCCTAGCATATATTGTAGGTGTACCATTCAAGAGCACGACGCGGGGCCGAACCCCGCTCGTGTGGGCTGTAGACTACTAGAGAGCTACTACTACTAGAGGAGAAAAGCCTAGGCAGACTCTCCCTAGGCTTCTCTCCTTTTCTCGGTCATATTTTGACCAATAAAGCTAAAACTTCTTTAAGAAATCTTAGAATATATTCTAGTTGTGTCATTTCAAATAAAAAAGTAAAAAGTAAAGATTGAGTCGAAAAACGGTGGGTCGAACCCGGCTCGTATGGGTCGTCGACAAGTGCGCTCCCCACTGAGCCACAGCGACAACGACCTCCCTCTCAAAATAGCTACTCAAAACATTCAGCTTGTTTCTAGCTGGATGTTTTGGGGCTGACGTCACTGTCGCTGTGGCTCAGTGGGGAGCGCACTTGTCGACGACCCATACGAGCCGGGTTCGACCCACCGTTGTTCGACTCAATCTTTACTTTTTACTTTTTTATTTGAAATGACACAACTACAATATATTCTAAGATTTCTTAAAGAAGTTTTAGCTTTATTGGTCAAAATATGACCGAGAAAAGGAGAGAAGCCTAGGCAGAGTCTGCAGGCTGTGGTAGAGCGTGTTGGGAAGGAGTGACATTAGATGAATTTCTTGATTGCCCATCAAATTTAGCCCGAGTGGTAGAGCCTAGGCTTTTCTCCTCTAGTAGCTCTCTAGTAGCTAATAGCTCTCTAGTAGCTAATAGTTCCTCTAGTAGCTCTTTAGTAGCTAATCGTTTGAACAAAACTAATATGAATTGATGCAATTAAACATTTAGACATTTATGCAAAGGAAGAGCTCCAACGAATGATGAACTTCCATCATGTTATGATTTGGATATTGGATGGGAAGGAGTGACATTAGATGAATTTCTTGATTGCTCATCAAATTTAGCCTTTAACAGGTAAGAAGAATGATTAAAGTCTTCAATTTTATCAAAATAACTTTAGACAAACTCGAATGTTAGCCGATTTGACCCGAGTTGATTGCTATTCAAAGAAAATTCCATCAATTGAAAGAAATCGAATACTTCTTGAGAGTGCCAAAGACAATTTAAGAACAATGGCTTATTTTGGAATCAAGGAAAGAATGGATGACAGTCAATTGCTTTTTCATCGCCTTTTTGGATTAAAGTTTGAGTGAAATGAGTTCTTAAAAGATTGATTTAAGGTTCACAAAACGTTTGTCGAGTTGGACGAAGAGTAAATCGAATAACACTGAGGTGAAGAGAAATCTAATATAATATAGAATTGTGAGACGAAAGCTATTTATTAACGATGACTTTCAGGTGTCAACAGCTCAACTCGAACGAATCAAAAAGCTGAATGCTTTGGATATTGAGCTTTATGAGTACGCGATAGCGATATTCGAGGAAAGGCTTACATTGGTCAAGCAGAGATATCCAGTAAGTTAAAAGAAAAAGCTTGATCTTCTTGATGTAACTTTTCTTCACTTACTTCTCAAACATTAACTTACAATTGCAATAACTTACAATGATTTGGTGCAGGGAAATCTTTGCTTAATACTTACCATTCCTCATTGGCAGCACTTTTTAACATAAATTCTTCAGGAACCCGAATCTTTCATCGTTTTAAACGAAGTAAAGAAAGCTGATTTGATATCATTTCGTCGAAATGTCAAGATGCGCAAAGAATTTGAGGATTTCCATGATGAGATAAAGAATGAAATTGATGCGGATACGGCTAGAGAAGAGGATTCCGATGGGTTGGTGCAGGGAAATATTAACTTAATAGATTTGAAAAGATTTTATTGGGTTGGTGAATTGAAAACTGCCGGCTATTGTCATATGTGACAGTTTGAGCACTTTCTTCAAAAGAAACCCATTTTGGTGTCAATGGAAAAGTTGTAGCGAATCAAAAATTAGGCTTATAGCCAAATTTCCAAAAAGATACACTTAATAGTTTCGCTTAAAATGCAAGTTTTGTGAAAATTCGTAAATTTCGCATTTCTTGAAAACCAGTTTTTGAATCGTTCTGAAAATTTGGATACAAGCTTGATTTTTGATTCTCTACAACTTTTCCATTGACACCAAAATGGGTTTCTTTTGAAGAAAGTGCTCAAACTGGGACATCTCCAGTCCTCGATTTTTGAGTCTCACACTTGTCTCACACACAAACCAAAATCCTACGCAGAAAGAGGAATTCGCAAATTGCCTGTAAAATGGGCAGAAGTCGTCAATAATAATGGAAATTATTTGGAATCAATTTATGGTTTTATGTTCAATAAATTTTAGTTCAAAGTCCGGCAGTTTTCAATTCACCAACCCAATAGATTTGAAAAGATTTTACAATCAATATTTGCAAAATTTCAGTGATGATGACTACAATGAACCGAATGATACCGAAAATGTTTAGCTTAAACGATGAAATCGAAATTTTAACTTACCATAAATACTGTAATAGTATCCCATCCCCATAATGACGGTGCGGAGCGTTGCGTAGTCTAGCTTTGAACGAGTTTTTCTCGACACTGGTTTATGCTACAATGCTCGCTTAGGTATCAAAAAATAGCTGAAATTCAGGGCTATTTTTTGATACCAAAGACGCATTTTTTTGAAAGTACGGACGCTTTGAAAAAAATAAAATACTAAAAAACGACTACGCGACTGCGACTTGCGACTACGCGACTGTACGAGGGAGGGTGGGGTACTATTACAGTATTTACGGTATGTTTTTATCAAAATAACTTCAAACTCTTGGTGCTCACTTTGAAATGACGGGTTTTTCCATTGCTCTACTTATTTTTTTACTATTTTACTTCTAGTCATACTAAAATTTTCCTCCAATTGTGCTTGCCAAATTGTTGTTTTATTAAATAATTTAAATAAACTATTAAAGCACAAATAACATCAACAATGCTTTAGAAACAATCTTTGAGTAGCTTTCTTTGAGTAACTATTTAATCGCTATAGTTTAATCGTTTAATTTTTAATTACAATGTTTACTGATCATTATTTTATCACTAATTATAAAGATTAAATGCTTATATTTATAGTTAAACTTTCGAGAAAAGTGATATTTCTATTCTTGGCTACTTCCAGTCAAATTTCTTTGCGCAGTAACTTTCTTTTAAGTGATTAAATCTTTATAATTTAAATATCATTTTGTAGATCTCAAAAAGTGCAACAAAACAACACCAAAATCATAAAGATTGGCCCACTTAGAAGAAAGTTATGGCGAGTTGCGCGAACGACCCAATTGCGCAAATGGCCCTGTGGCGCAAAAAAAAGTTGCGAAAACTAGCCTACCCCTCAATCTTCAAACAAACTTCTTTGGTAATCTATATTTGTGTTATTGTTATGATTGATTTTATATTTTTATCGTGTTCCCCGTATTTGAAAACCTTCGAGAAAGTATGGGAGATGAAGCTTGAGTATTGGATCTCTCTCTTCATCTTCATCTTCATCTTCAAAGTCGAATATCTCAGCGAGTATTCAACAAAATCCTTTGAATTTCTTTTTATCTGCTAGCCAAAACATTTTAATTAAAGATCTTCTTTACAAGTTTTTTCAAATACGCAAAACAGCTTCCCAGAATACCGTAATCAAAATTCGCTTTAGATCAAAAAAATTATGGCTTTTTATATCTGGCTTTAACTTGAAATCAAAATTTTAACTTACCGTAAATACTGTAATAGTAAAAAGTGCTACAAAATAACACCAAAATCATAAAGATTGGCCCACTTAGAAGAAAGTTATGGCGAGTTGCGCGAACGACCCAATTGCGCAAATGGCCCTGTGGCGCAAAAAAAAGTTGCGAAAACTAGCCTACCCCCAATCTTTAAACAAACTTTTTTGGTAAGATCAAGAATGAAATTGATGCGAATACGGCTAGGGAAGAGGATTCCGATGGGTTGGTTCAGGGAAATATTAACTTAATAGATTTAAATAGTGATGATGACTACAATGAACCGAATGATACCGAAAATGTTTAACTTAAACGATGAAATCGAAATTTTAACTTACCGTAAATACTGTAATAGTAAAAAGTGCTACAAAATTAAACCAAAATCATAAAGGTTAAATAATTTAGAAGAAAGTTATGGTAAATTGCGCAATCTGGCACAAAATAAACCACTCCCCGATTCTTTAGTCTCTAGCAGAACAATAAAATCTTTTGCGAATTTCTTTTTAAACCTGTCACAGCTTAAATTCGATTTGTTACTTTTTACTGTTTTGAAATCCCCTTGATATTCGACGATTTCTATCAAATCCTCAGAAATTCCCCTCTTCATCAACATCTGCAATCTCGATTCTTCCCCGAATCTCCTCCAGAAATCTGCCGTTTTTCATGTTCGGTCTTTGTTGAGTGAAAAAAAAGTGCAGTTCTTTCACAGCCAAATATCATTATTTGAAAGGAGCTAAATTCATCGGGAATGTGGTTTCACCACTTTTTTTGTCTACTTGATTTTCAAAGCCTTGCTGTGAAGGCTATTTGAATGGGATCCTTTTGCTCTTTTTTTCAATCGGAGATTCGTATCGGGCCCGGCCCTATAACCAATTCGATTCACTCTGGAATTCGGTCCATTCACCCGTTTCGATGAGAGTCAAGAACTGGAAAGCCTTTTTTTCTTTATTGAGGCTGGCTGAGTTCATTTTGATGAGCGATTTTTGGGGTAAACTAGGTCAAATTGGGTAGAAACAGAGGTTTCCAGTCAACAAGAACAATTATAGACAAGATATTGCAAATCTAATGAAATGAATCATAGATTTTATTTGATTTATTTGATTTGAATTCAAATTAATCAAATTCTATTTCAAAATAGCATAAGATCAATTGTTTAACTAATCATTTGATCTTTTAGGATGTTCACACCGTACCCTTGGAGACTCTCATTGAGAGATATCAACTATTCCAACAGTTCAATAGTTACTAAGAGTTTTTTGGAGTATCTGACCACTATGTAAATCAATTGCTAAACGATTCAATGAGCTATTCTTGAGTTACGTGCCTTTTAAAGCTACAGCTTTCAGCTTTTTCAGCTTTCTTGTGTTTTGATTGGATATCCGAATGTTTTCAAATTGAGCAAAAATGTGGTAATTGGTTTGATTTTGGTTTGGTTTGGCCTAGAATTTACGAAAGATTAAGCAAAAAAAGCTGATAAAGCTGATAATTTGCTTGGCTTTGGCTTGGAAGCCTGAAATTTGCAAAAAATTAAGCAAAAAGCTGGTAATTGGCTTGACTTTGGCTTCGCTTGCCATCCTAGGAACAGCTCTGAGCAAATCTACATCATCAAAAATTTCTAATTTGTTTCTAACGGGGTAAACGAATAGTTAAAGATCGAAAATAGATAAGAATTTGGGGAAAATTGTGATTATTATAAGAATAAATGATTATTATGATTAAAAACATAGAGTTAGAAAAGATATATAACTTTAAAACAAAACAAAAATCAGACGCGAAGCTGTTCGCTACACCGAAAAATCTTTTAGGATGTTCACATCGTACCCTTGGAGACTCTCATTGAGAGATATCAACTATTCCAACAATTCAATAGTTACTAAGAGTTCTTTTGGAGTATCTGATCACTATGTAAATCGATTGCTAAACTATTCAATGAGCTATTCTTGAGTTACGTGCCTTTTAAAGCTACAGCTTTCAGCTTTTTCAGCTTTCTTGTGTTTTGATTGGATATCCGAATGTTTTCAATGGAAAAGTGTTTTCAAATTTGTGTCTAACGGGATTAACGAATAGTCAAAGATCGAAAATTGTGATTATTATAAGAATAAAGGTTTTACAAATCCCTTTCCTTTTTCTATTTTGAACGAATACCTCTTTCGAATTCAGGCGGAGTATAATGAAGGATCGAAATTCTCTCCCTCTTTTCTCATTATCTAACCACGATCTTTTCTTTCTGAAAAAAAAGACGGCTAAAGGCAACCCAACAGGTCGAAAATCATGAAAGAGAATTACAAAAACGATTGGGAAACGAGGAAATGTCAGTAGAGAACGATTGGTACAAAGCACAAAGCAATTTCTTTCTGCTGGATCAAATTAGACTTTAAATCATTGTCATTGGTATTGTTTTTACGATATTATTATATAAAAGCAACAAATTTAAACCCAGTTTGGCATCTTTTAGTCGCAACGAATTGACTAACTAACTTGCTAATAGTGAGAATGACAAGTCATAGCCCAATCCTCTCATTTCCAAACTCAAATCTCACTTTAAAAGTCTTTAAAAGGCTTCTGATAAGCTGAGTTCTGAAATTTTCAGGTAATTTGGTGGATTTGTCAGCTTTCCAGCTAGCTTCTAAGTCAGCTTTCAAGTCAGCTTTCAAGCGCTAAGTAGCTTTTAGTGCTTAAGTCGGCTTTCAGCAGCTTCTAAGTCAGCTTCTAAGTCAGCTTTTAAGTCAGCTTTCAAGTCAGCTTTCAAGCCAGCTTTCAAGCCAGCCTGCAACGCTTGTCAAAGCTATTTTTTGTATATCCCAAGCCATCAACCACTTCCAAATCATAGTTTTTCTCAATTGTCCGGTGCATCCATCATCCTGATCATGCTATCCGTGTTAGCCGGAGGGCAAAGAAAGGGTAGCCAGCCAAAAGGAAGGGTAAGGGATGTTCGGAATCGACTCCGATCCGTCTCCCCCATTCAAAGCGCCTCTTTCTCATTTCCTATACTGGATTTCCTTTTTCTTGGTTGATTGACCGGCTACTTGATTTCACACAATCACCCTCTTCTCTTTTTTCTGCGTATGAATCGAGTTTTGTGCAAAAACAGCTTACTTGAGTCATTGGAACGGAATCTCGATTTGAAGAGAAATGGAGATTTGGCACAGTTCGGCACAGTTGGAGTTCCCATCAAAGAAATACAAAAAAAAATGGTAAGAATGCGAGGGGATTCCTCGGTGATCGTTTGAATCGTATAAAAGCACAAAAACATAACTCAAAGACTTTAATCTTTAATTTTCTACTGATTTCTACTGAAAGTTGTTGGTTTCCACGTTTGAACATGTTAATGTTCGATTCTTTGCTTAACTAAGCTTTAATTGGTCTGAAATTTCAATCTTACTGTTTGGATTTAGTCTAAAACCTTAGCTTTGACTAGGCTTAGCTTGAAATTTACAGAAAATTGAGCAAAAATGTGGTAATTGGTTTGATTTTGGTTTGGTTTGGCCTGGAATTTACGGAAGATTAAGCAAAACAAGCTGATAAAGCTGATAATTTGCTTGGCTTTGGCTTGGAAACCTGGAATTTACAGAAAATTAAGCAAAAAGCTGGTAATTAGCTTGACTTTGGCTTGACTTTGGCTTCGTTTTCCATCCTAGGAACAGCTCTGAGCAAATCTACATCATCAAATCCAAGAATACCAGAAAAAGCTGAGACTAGCAGAACAATATTGACGAATTTATCCATCAATTTGATCCAGATCGATTAAACTTGTAAAGATTTGATTTGTTTAGATTAACCTGATTCATAAACATTGATAGAATAGACAATTCGACAATTCAATTCGCATTTCTTAAGACCTAAAGCAGAGATCCAGCTGGAAAATCTCTCAAAAAAGCGCTCTTCCTCTCAATCATCATCATTTCTACGGCTTGATATGATAAAACTGTATCCCTTTGATGGAACAATCCATAAATCTCATCAAATCTCTTTCTTCTCCCATTCACACCAAATATCCATTGCCTCAGCCGGATCGGCGCCTCATTGTCTACCGTGAATTCATTTCTAAACCCTTCACTTCTCCATTCCTACATCCATAAATCAGAAAATTCTTTGCTTGTTCTTCTCAAAAAGATCGGCCTCCCAGGTTGAATTTTATGAGCTGAGGATTGTCCGTATCTTGATCTTTCTTTCTTGAAAAGTTTTCGAAAGTGAATGAGGAATGGGGACTCCTCCCCATTCTCAGTCTTTATCTCGCAGCCTGTCTCATGCTTGAGGCAGTTCAGATCCAGGCTGTCCCCATCCCCTCCTCCGCATTCACTCTACCCTTTTTCTCTGTGCCGTTCGTATGGTCAAACATCGTGCCGTCTCCATTCAAGCACTTCATTTTTGAATTTAAAATATTTGAATTTGCGTATAGCTGAGTCGAAAGTTGAGAAAGTCGAAATGCTGGATTAGTAAGCTTTAAAGCCTTTTTTTAAAGCTAAACTTTAGTGAATCGATGGCAATTTCTTATGGATTCAGTAATCCATAAGAAATTGTCATCAATTCACTAAAGTTTAGCTTTAAAATGGCTTTAAAACTTACTAATCCAGCCTACAGACTTTCTCAATCGATTTCTCAACCTAAAATCTATTGAATTTTCAAAATTTGAAAACAATTTCATTAATTTAAATAGTAGATTCATAGTGAATTATCTCTATTTTGTCTTATATCATTAACGCTTTCAAAATCGAATATCGTTGTAATATCAAAGCTCTTGTTTTTGGAATTTGTTTATATTGAAAAAAATTGATGCATTACTCCTGTTTTTCTTGATTTAAGTACCATTTTTGATCATTTATTTAGAAAACTTGTGTACAAAAAGCAATGATGATCGACACAACTCGAACAGTTTTATTCATATTTTCTATGATTTCATCAGCAGCATGCGCAGGTTTGTCTTTTATTGGAAAATTTGATTTTAAAGTCGATTGCTAGAGAATTGGGAAACCAATAAACTTGTAAAATTGATTGTAAGTCGATTGCTAGAGAATTGGGATACCAATAAACTTGTAAAATCAACTAAAATTGATTGTAATCCAACTTGAAAATGAGGTCAAACCTTTAACAACTTCTTGAAGTGTTCTTTCAAAAGCCATTCATTGTCTTTTTTTCTCATTTTGTCTGGGTGAAATTCACTAATTCATTTGCGCATTTGGGTCATCTTTTTCCCGGTTTTTTTTTCACCTTTCACTTGTCTTTTCAATCGGATGAAATCAAAGAAAGATTGGGGGGAAAGTGGGGGAAAGATTGTTGCTAAAGGGAAAGATTGTTGCTTTTTTTAAAATAAGCAATAATAAACAATGATAAGCAATAATAAGCAATAATAAGCAATGATAAACAATGTTAAGCAATGATAAACAATGATAAATAATAATAAGCAATGATGCAGTAACATTTTTCTCATCAAAGCCTTCAATCTCAACGAAAATCAACAAACGAAAGTCATTTAAACCAAAACAAAAATCATTTAAACCTCCAGAAAAACGAAAATCAAGAGATTTAGCTGAAAACACAGTTTTTCTCCGTTTTCTGATCAATTTGGCATGTTTTTACGAAAATTTTAAATAAAACTGTAAACAACTGTTTCAAACAAGTGTTCTAAAAAGTGTTTTAAACTGCATTTCTTATTCAAATCAAATCTTGAAATCGTACTTTAATTTTAAGCACAGCTCTACCCAACAATGAAATGATTGATACTTAAATTTCCAATTAAAAAAAACCAAAGAATTTTTAATCTAAAGTAAAAGAAGATTTCATATGGAAAAGAATAAAAATCTCATTGAATTTTCAGCTCGATACGGCTACGCTTTAGCTCAAGATCGACAAGCTCTTCCGCCACATATGAGAGCCTTGGTAAGTCTTTGAAAACTTTAACAAACTAGTTACCAATGTTTACTGTGAACAGAAAATGCTTTGATAAGTTTTCTGAATGATCTGAATGATCTGAATGATCTGAATGATCTGAATGATCAGAATGATCTGAATGATCTGAATGATTTGAATGATTTGAATGACTTTCAGGTAGGCCGCGAAGTTCTATCAGACAGCCGTGATTACTCTTCATCGGTTGAATCCTCCGGCGCCTCGGATTTTCATTTCTCCGATTTCACAACCATTCAACCAAGACATTTTGAGGAACCAAGTTTAGAAAGATCTTTTGAGAAATCATTTGAAGATAATGAAAAGGTTAGAGATTTGTTTAAAGTTATTCAAAAATTGGTTCAGTCCGCGGAGTTCGAAGCATTTCCAAAGAAGAAGAATTTCTTGAAGCCAGAAAAGGTCAATTTTTAACTTTTTGGCTTTGTTTGGCTCTTTATTGGCTCTTTATTACAATAAATTAGCTATAGATTTATTATATAATAATATTTTGTTTAGAAAAAGATCTCTTGCCCAATGCTGAACCCATGGCACGACGCTGTTGCTCACCCAGACAGCGATCCTGAGTGCGGACATGTAAGTGATTAAAAAATCCTTCGCATAACACTAATTGGCTTCAAAAATTAATAGGTTTAGTTAATCAATTTTAAATGAATTTTAGGGAATGCCTGGTTGGCGAGCTCATCCCTCGTGTCGTTGCCACTTTTTGGTGAAAGATCGCGATGAGTTCGGCTGTGCTCTCAAGTTTTTCACGCGCTGTAAACTCGACAACTTTGCCGTCTTTGAAACGGTAGTGAGCAAATCGTAGCTTTCAATGAAAATCACTTTAGGAAGTGACAACAGAAAAACCGTGGACAACAAAGCGACAATTCTCGACGTTGACGTTTAGGCCGAGCACTCGTGCACGGCCATCAACGACAACGCAAAGAATTGTCACAACAAAGCCACTTCTGAGAACAACAAAGCTGACTACGACAAAGAGACCAACAACCACAAGAAGAACTACAACACCAAGACCAACTACGACAACTCAAGCACAGCATTTTGAAGAGGTTCTTTTTTTTCAACGATTTTTCAACGAAATATAGCTAAAGATATAATATTTTAACAATGTTTTTCAGGAATTTGATGATGAAGATGATAGTCATGATGAGACTGGACCGGGTTTTGATTACATTATGGGTACACGAATTGTTCCTGATGAGGAAAAAGAGGGAAAAGTTGAGGTAGGGAAAAGTGTGAAGCTTAAAAGTTTGATTGTTTCTTTGATAAAGAATAAAGAGCAAAAGATTTTGCTTCAAAATACATTTCAAAATAGACAAGACTTCAAATAGAAGTTTTTGAAAAGAAATGTAAAGAAAACTAATCAATTACTCAAAAGTAAATGCATCAAAATGTATTTTTAAAAAAAGTTTTACGAAAATTTTCACTTAAACAAGTTTAGGTGTCACTTCCGGAGGAGTTTGGGGGGAAAAACGACGACGAGGACGAGGAAGAGCCCCAATTTCTCATCGGTCGACGAATTCGGCTTCACAAATAAAAAAATTTGCATTTTTTTCTTAATAATTTTACTTTTACAAGTCACACCGCCGTTTTCTCGGTGCTCCATACAAAAACAGAACATCAACTCGGTGCAATCCCTTTTTTTCTCTTCGATTTCCGGTTTTCTCAAAACTTTAACTTTTCTCATACTCTTCAATGCTAATAACATAAGAAAATCTCTCAAAATCATGTATTTCTTTTGCATTTTTTCAATAAATTGTTCATGTGAAGGGTTTGACGAGAGAATTGACAGTTTTTAAAAAAGAAAAAAATGAGTTTCGTTACAAGAAATGAGGTAGTAATGGTTTGAATAAGATTTTGATGGTGGCACGAGTTTCATTTCCGAATTGATTGCAAGAAATTGATTTCAAAAATTACGATAGATAATTTTACCTTTACAAGTCACACCTCGATTTTCTTGTCGAGTTTGGGGGAGAAACGACAACGACGACGAGGAAGAGCCCCCAATTTCTCATCGGTCGACAAATTCGGCTTCACAAATAAAACAATTTGCATTTTTTTCTTGATAATTTTACTTTTACAAGTGACACCGCCGTTTTCTCGGTGCTCCATACAAAAACAGAATATCAACTCGGTGCAATCCCTTTTTTTCTCTTCGATTTCCGGTTTTCTCAAAACTTTAACGTTTCTCATACTCTTCAATGCTAATAACATAAGAAAATCTCTCAAAATCATGTATTTCTTTGCATTTTTTCAATAAATTGTTCATGTGAAGGGTTTGAGGAGAGAATTGACGGTTTGTAAAAAGAAAAAAAAATGAGTTTCGTTACAAGAAATGAGGTCGTAATGGTTTGAATAAGATTTTGAATTTGAATTGACGGTGGTACGAGTTTCATTTCCGAATTGATTGCAAGAAATTGATTTCAACAATTACATTGTCAAGAGAATATCTAAAATCTTGAGTTAAACGATCAGTAAGATGAGGATATGAAGATAGATTAAAGAAAGCGACGATTTGAGTTGGCAAATCTTTTTCTCATCTACTGCTTTCTATAAATCGTTTATTATCATTAGATTTTCTCTTCTTAATATCTCAAATAATCAAATTTCTCAATCCCCAATCTATTGAAAGTAAATTTTGAAAGAGAAAAGCTGAGAAAGTCTTCTGAAATATAATTGATACCTCTTGAGAACCGAGCAAGGTCAGAATGGAGAGTGGAGAAAAGGGAAAATGAAGGGAGAAATGGAGGAAAAGATGCCAGAGGGAAGGCTGAGAATTGTGAAGAGAAGAAGATCACATTCTACCATATTCAACCTCTTCCATCGTTTCTCTCAGAATGGAGAGTGAAAAGAACTTTTTCCACTTTTGCTAATTGTCGCCTTGTTTCTTTTCAGCAGTTCTTTACTCCTTTCTTTCTGGATGAACACTTTTTTCATCTAGGATTGGCAGAATTTGATCTATTGTAATCAAAAAAGCTAGTTTATTGTCATTTTCTTCAAATCAGATCTCATTGTTCTCTCAGTTTCTTGTTTAATCACTAAAGATCCCTCGAAGAGCTAACTTTTTCTGTAATTCATATCGTTACTCTCAAGAACTTTCTACTTAGTTGGCAAGCCTTAGATCCGTTTTAATCATTTCTTTAATTGACATCTCTGTGCTTAACATTACTGCACATTCAGCTGCACATTTAGCTGAACATTCAGCTGTACATTCAGCTGTACATTCATCTGTACATTTAGCTGATTCAGCTGCACATTCAACTGCACATTCAGCTGCACATTCAGCTGAACATTCAACTGCACATTCAGCTGTACATTTAGCTGTACATTCAGCTGCACAACAAAGATCCGATTTATTAAACGAATCAATGAAGGACTCAAAAGGTGACTCTTAAGAGAATCGAGAGGAAAAGTAAAGAATTGTGCCATTCATCTCTTTCCTCCCCTTCAAACTTTCCCTTGAAGCCTTCTCCCTCAGAAATTTCTCTTCTTTTACCCATTCAACCATAATAAGTATCTTCTCTTTTCTCTTCAATTTATCCATATTTCCTTTTTTTCTTTCTTTATACAATATTGACTAAGATGGAATACTTTTTTTTTCAGAGAAAGACTGTTCATTGTCGATATTTTCTGACATTTTTTTTGAATTCTTTCCAAATCTGGCTTGTTTACATTGTACTTTTTCTAAATGATTCTTCAAATTTGCATAAGTAAACATTGTAAATCACGCAATCGCCTTGACAAACTTGTTCTAGCCTTTCAGATTTTACCTTTAATGCATTGACATTTATTTTGGGATTTCCTCAACTAGCGATCTAGTTCCTCCATCATTTTCTTTAAACTTACAGAAGAAAAAATAGTCTTCATCAGCTGGTTGCCCAACAACGGGCGGGCGGCTATGCGCCCATTCATTTTGTTTCTCTATGGTACAGCGATTGGACTCGTTTCGTTTATTGGTGAGGAAAGCTGATCGATGAAGTCATCGTTTGATTTGTTTGGTTGATAAACCAATTTACTGTTAAGGAAAATTGACTGTTAAGAGAACCGGTACTCGAAGCCAAGCTCTTATTCAAGTCTCAGCCTTAGCTCAAGTATTGGGGAAGATGAAATGGCGCCGACTTTCCAATAAATAACAAGATCGATGATTTGTTTAGTTGACAAACCAATTTACTGTTGACAAACAAATTTACTGTTAAGGAAAATTGACTGTTAAGAGACCCGGTCGAGTACTCGAAGCCAAGCTCTTATTCAAGTCTCAGCCTTAGCTTAAGTATTGGGGAAGATGAAATGGCGCCGACTTTCCAATAAACTTCTATAGTCTTTATCAAATAACATCTATTTCTTTACAAAATCATATTTGAAATCAAACTTAAAAAGCATGCGAATTCAATAAAAGATCATTTTCAAATTCAATTTTTAAAAAAATCTATAAATCATCATTTAAAGAAAATAATTACCGAGATCACTTCAAAAATTGGATAAGTAATGGTTCATGTGACGCTTACTCATTTTTAAAAATGCAAATTGATTATTTCCAATGTAAAGTGAGCGGCAAAGTCATAAGTAGAGCGGGGATAGGCTACTTTGCGCCAAATTTCTTGCGCAACTCGCCATAACTTTCTTCTAAGTGGACCAATCTTTATGATTTTGGTGTCATTTTGTTGCACTTATTGAGATCTACAAAATGATACCAAAATCATAAAGATTGGCCGACTTAGAAGAAAGTTATGGCGAGTTGCGCGAACTGCGCCGAGTTGCGGTTTACTTTGCGCCAAATTGCGCAATATGCCTATTGAGATCTACAAAATGAAACCAAAATCATAAAGATTGCTACATATGTAATTAAATGTCCTCTAAATCTTTTGTTTTGACATCAAGTTAAGTTTAAGTGTAAGGAACGAGTCAAACTCCTTGTCAACTCCTTGTCATTCTGATTCTGCTCATTCTGGTTTCGTTTAAGGGCCCATTAAATTCACAAAACAAAAGCTTTACGAAAGACAAAGCCTCAAAAGACATTTTGTAGAGAAGAGATAGATGCTTTTGATTATATGAAGCTTTTATGCGTTCCAGAAATTGAAAGTCGACGCCATTTCATGCACTCCAACTCAATAACTCACATTTGAGTTGTATTGAACAACGCATTGAAGCTCACTTTCAAATCGTAAAACCAAAATTTCAGGGAATTCTGATGCCCTCTCCGTGTGCACTCGTCCAAATCAATCAATGTCTGATGGATTTTTTCAAAGAGTCGATCTTCCATCAGCTATTGCTTGTATTGAGAGATGCATCGAGTACATGGAGATCTGTCATTCCGCACTTTTCATTCGTTTTGACGAGAAATTGAATGGGATTTGTCAGCTTTATCCAATTAATTCAGAAGACAGTGAAGAAGCGTTTCAAGAACAAGATAATCCCGATGCTGTAAGGAAATTTTTCATTATATTGGGTTGGTGAATTGAAAACTGCGGGCTATTGTCATATGTGACAGTTTGAGGACTTTCTTCAAAAGAAACCCATTTTGGTGTCAATGGAAAAGTTGTAGAAAATCAAAAATCAAGCTTATATACAAATTTTCAGAACGATTCAAAAACTGGTTTTCAAGAAATGCCAAATTTACGACTTTTCACAAAACTTGCATTTTAAGCGAAACTATTAAGTGTTTCTTTTTGGAAATTTGGCTATAAGCCTAATTTTTGATTCGCTACAACTTTTCCATTGACACCAAAATGGGTTTCTTTTGAAGAAAGTGCTCAAACTGGGACATCTCCAGTCCTCCATTTTCGAGTCTCACACTTGTCTCACACACAAACCAAAATCCTACGCAGAAAGAGGAATCCGCAAATTGCCTGTAAAATGGGCAGAAGTCGTCAATAATAATGGAAATTATTTGGAATGAATTGATGGTTTTATGTTCAATAAATTTTAGTTCAAAGTCCGGCAGTTTCCAATTCACCAACCCAATAGATTAAGAAAAGCAAAGCTGTGAAAGTAAAATGTAATTTCTTCAGGAATCCACCGTTTTCGAACTATTGGATCGTTGCCCGCCGATTACCAAAATGGATATGATGCGAAGATTGAGCGAAGAGGCGTTGAATCGATTGGCTGAGCCAAAGAAAACTGGTTGGAGATTTTTGTTTAAAATTTGCATTAAAATCGAGTTTTAGCCCGTGCTCTGACAAAAACCTTTGATGACGAGATCATTCAACGCGAAGAGATTTACCCGAAAAGGGACTCGTTCACCTCAAGCGAATTGGCTCAATACGTGAAAAGGGATCGATCCGATAGAGGATATGCGGTGAAAATGATTACTTATCGTAAATACTGTACTATTGCTGTACTATTACCGTAAATACTGTACTATTACTGTAGTACATGTAAACCCGTAAATACTGTAATAGTACCCCACCGCCCTCGTACAGTCGCGTAGTCGCAAAAGTTTTTTAGTATTTCATTTTTTTTCAAAGCGCCCGTACTTTCAAAAAATGCGTCTTTGGTATCAAAAAATAGCCCTGAAATTCAGCTATTTTTTGATACCTAAGCGAGTATTGTAGCATAAACCAGTGTCGAGAAAAACTCGTTGAAAGCTCGACTACGCAACACTCCGCATCGTCATTATGGGGTTGGGGTACTATTACAGTATTTACGGTAACTGCTATTTTATCAAATCAATCAGCTGAAACATCTAGCTGAATGTTTTAGCTCGTACCTTTTCTCGGCAATTCGCTTGTCACTATGGCGCGGTAGAGCTTAGTAGAGCGCTGATCTCTGGTCCGGACGGCCCGGGTTCGACCCTCCGTAGTGTCGCTGATACTCGGCTTTTTAGTTTTTAATTTTAAATAACACAACTACAGTATATTCTAAGGTTCTCTAAAGAAATTTCAGCTTTATTGGTCAAAACACGGCCAAGAAAATGCCCGTACAGACAGACAGACACTACTCTTTTATATATAGCCAGCATAAAACGCTCTTTCTTTCTTTCAAATGAATAAAACTACTGTAATCCATGTTAAAACCCGCTCCCTTTTTAAAAATGGACCTAAAAGTCAGATTCACCATAGCTGAAAACCCCTAGGAGCAAAAAAAACAGAATACTTTGCGTTTTAACCTATAGAGCAAACGGAATTACGGAGCGTCGCGTTTGCGCACAGACAGACAAACGTCTCTTCTGCTTTATAATATAGTAGATAGATTTCTTTTAGACAATGCACTCAGTGGACGAGCCGCCAAATCATCGGAATCCCTGGCAAAATCCCTTTGAGAGTCTCACCTCTGCGTATTCGTCTAAAGAAAGGCCATCGTATTTGGTAGAGTTTTCCGAATTTTATTGATTAGTAAAGAATTGAGATCAAAAACAAAAGTTTTGACCTATCAAAGAATGATTTAGACCGGTTACTCGAGCAGTAGCAACGAAAAAGACTCACCAAGCTACGGGCCATCGCCAAGTCTTGCGGGATTGTCCCCAATTCAGCCAATTCAGGTTTGAAAATGATCAGAAATGATCTAAAAGCTTGCTATTTGTACAGCTAAATACCAAAACCCAATCCTAGGTCCTTCACCGAGGTCAACCGATGCTTCATCGACCCGCAATCCCACCACCATTGCCCACTTCATTCCAATCCTCGTATCAACAAAGTTCATGTCAACGTAAGTCTAAAATAGACTGTAGCTATTTAACTCAAAAATTTATGATCTATAAAACCCAATACTTTTTCAGCTGGTGCCCCTTGTGTGCCAACTCTTCATCAACTCGACAAATCCCCATGCCCAGCTAAACAAGGTGATCCTTGTGCTCCAAAACCGCCATGTTCACCTGATGTATGATTTAATCTTTAGCTTTTACATTGTTTTCACTTAGAAATATCCGGAAATCTCGTGTCAATTGGATCCAGAATGGTCAGAGTGGACAGCTTGTTCGGTGACTTGTGGAATTGGGCAGAGGATGAGAACGTGTAGTGAAGGTTTGTGAAAAGATTGAAAGAAACAAGAAAACTATTAGGTTTAAATCTATTTTAAAACAAATCGTGTTTCAAAAGTGACTTATTAGTGGTCAAAGCAGTCAATCAAAAGCTCATCGTTTAGTTAGTATTAGTCAGTCAAATTTTTTACTTGCAAAACATTAAAATCTTTAATCTAACTAGGGGAAGGTCAAGGTAGTCTTTTAATACGAGAGCCACGTGCTTTATAGTAGCGGCTATGCTGATTGCTGAATCTGCTTTTACTTTTTCCAAAGGAGCTCTGTAACGCGAGATATCTGGCATCAAAGTTTAGGCCGATTTTCTGAATAAACGATTCTTTTATAAGCTTTTTCTCTCTTCCAAAATTCTGGAGCTAGTGACGGAGTGGATAGTGTGCTCGTGACAACAAGAAATATGTTGTGCGCGACAAAAGAACAATAATCAGTACTTCTTGAAAAAAGCAAAAGGGACCTAACTTGTCAACTCGCTCTCGAAGCCGCTCTGGAAACGAACGCGGTACCACTCACGTCACGTCACGTCGGCCACGGCTGCACTGGAAGGTTCCAAAATGGTTCAAGATTTTTTTTTGTCCGGGTTCGAGTTCGCTACCGGTATATTCTTTTTGCTTTTTTTGAGAAAATGATTAGAAAATTTAAATTGAATTCCACTATTTTGTGGAATACAATTCCGCTCAATACAATACCGTTCCGCCTACTATTTTTGCATAAGCAGTCCGTGAAACTGTGAACAACGTTCCAACGACAACAAACCACATTTATCAACAAAGCATTTATGCTCCTAAATCATTTTTAAACATTCTTCTATTAAGCAAAGTCAAAATAAATCAATTCTGATGCCATAAACATTTGCTAAACATTTTCTCAAAAAAGCAAAAAGAATATACCGAACTCGAACCTGGACAAAAAAAAGCCTCGAATCTTTTTGGAGACGAGCACACTATCCACTCCGCCACTACACTGTAGACTGTAGCCACTGTAGCCCCACTGTAGCCGCCACTACACGCCACTGTAGCCCCACATTTTTGGAAGAGAGAAAAAGCTTATAAAGGAATCGCTTACTCAGAAAATCGGCTAAACTTTGATGCCAGATATCTTGCGTTACAGAGCTTCTTTGGAAAAAGTAAAAGCATATTCAGAATCAGCATAGCCGATACGATAAAGCCTCGTATTAAAATCTTGACGATTTGAACATTGACCCGGTGCCTTTCCCTAGTAAGCACTCATTTACTTAATTATTGCTTTTGTTTAATCGTCTTTTAGCTGTATTAAATGTACTTTTTGAGGCAAAAGGTTTATTCAACGTTTTTGAGTGGCAAAAGTTTAGAGATTGTTTTTTTTTATTTTTTTTTTGTTTTTCAAATGACTATATACATGCACAACCAAATTTCTATCAAAAAATTGAAAGCATGCATTTAAAAGCAAAGAAAAAGGCTACCGTAATGATTGGAATACTCGTAAAATATTAAGCAATTTGTAATTTGTACTTGAAAATTAAAAATGATCAAGTTATTTAAAGAAATCAGAAATTAAAAGAACTTTAAGTTTTAAAAAAACTTATTTTCTTTATTAATCAAGCTTAGAAGTTTAAATTTTCAATTCAAACTTGTAGTTAAAGTCAATTAATGCGAAATTATTGGCGGTGGCACAAATGCGACCTTTTTTTTGCGCACCTGGACATTTGCGCACCTTTTTTTTTGCTGGAAAAGGCCTTAGGAAAGGTCGTAGAGCTTCAAAAACGTTTTCATAGAAGGGAATCGTATGCGTAGATTCCGAATTTCGACAAATCAGACCTCGCTGACATGCCAAATTGGCTGGCTGGCTGGCTAAAAGGCAAAAACTGCGGAAAAGCGTTAATTTGCGTAGTTTTTGCCTTTTAGCCCAAATTTGGCGTGTCAGCGAGGTCTGATTTGTCGAAATTCGGAATCTACGCATACGATTTCCTTCCATGAAAATATTTTTGAAGCTCTACGACCTTGCCTAAGGCCTTTTCCAGCAAAAAAAAGGTGCGCAAATGTCCAGGTGCGCAAAAAAAAGGTCGCATTTGTCCCACCCCCGTTAAAGTCATTTAATTCGAAATTATTGCAAAATTATTGCTTATTAACAGTTAGTGCATAATAAAATGCTAATTTCATTTTAAAAAATCAGCTTTTTATTTTGCACTAGAGAAGAATCTCGTAATCGAATGTTCTGTCTCACTACAGTAAGCTTAACTAAAAGGTATTCAGCTAAGAAAGCTATCTTTAGACTTAACTGATTATTTGATGGATTACTGTAGTAAGATTGAACATATTAAGTACTATAAAGGTCATTAAACAGATCAAAATCGAGTCTCTTTCATTCAAATAATCCATTGATGGGAGAAAAATGGTTGAATGAATGGCAAGTGTTGAGGTTTCTTCTCTTCATTTCCCTCGTTTTCTTGATTTCTCATCGACTTTGTCTCGCCGTCAGCGGATTCCCGTAGAAATTGAGCTGCAAGCTAACATTATTTGATTGAGGGGAATTCTGGGAACTTGTTTAAAAGTCTTGAATAACAAGAGAAGATCAACTGGCTGAGCCAAATGCTATGCGACCTATACCATTCGCAGAATTTGATGCTGATTCCGAATATCTATTCCGTTTTTGCTAAATGACAATCTGTCAAGAGTTATAAGCGTCTAAGGTTTTGTTAGGACTCTGAAAATTTGACCATTTGGGTCTTAGTGGCCTCCTTTCGGACCTGTCCCAGTGCAGCCTTGGCCAGTGGTACCGCGGTCTACCAAGAGTTCGATCCCCGCCTTGAACTCCTTTTGCTTTTTTCAAGAAGTGCTGACTAGTGTTCTTTGTGCGCACACAACATATTTCTCGTTTTCACACTTTTATAAAGCTTTCTTTACCTTAAACTCTTACAACAATCATTCTCAAATAAAGACAAAAAGAAATGATAGTTTTGTTTTATCAGACCTCTTTTTCCATTTTATAAAGGTGTGACAACAAGAAATATGTTGTGCGCGCAAAAAGAACAATAGTCAGTACTTCTTGAAAAAAGCAAAAGGGACCGAACTTGTCAACTCGCTCTCGAAGCCGCTCTGGAAACGAACGCTGTACCACTGGGTCACGGTCACTGGAACAGCTCCTCAAAGAGGCCATTAACACCCAAATGGTCACACTTTCAGAGTCCTAACAACTCCTTAGACGCTTATAACTCTTGACAGATTGTCATTTAGCAAAAACGGAATAGATATTCGGAATCAGCATCAAATTCTGCGAATGATATAGGTCAAATAGCATTTGGCTTAGCCAGTTGACCTTCCCTAAAAGTTTATTTCAGCTACAATTCAGTTCTCTTACAAAATTTTGTGAACTTGCTTAGAAAAGAGAAAAACTGACATCAACTTCTAGAAATAAATTAGTTTTAGATTTAACAATCGGCCTTAATTTCAAATTAGATTCAAGTTTAACTCTTAAACTTTCCCCACTTGGATATTTTGTGCAGTTGTGGTGGTGAATGGATTTTGATCGATGAGAAAACCGCTACAACGATTGCAGAGACTCGATTGGAGTTGCTGAAATTGAAAAGTTATAGAAATTTCTCTAGATAAGTAAACTTTTTTTTTGAAAGTTACCTGTTTGAACTGCTCATTTAGCTGCTTTAGAGCTTTGACCTCATCTTTCAGCTGTTTGTTCTCTTGTTCCAAGCTGTTCGCTTTTTTGACAGCTTCCTAAACTTCATAATTGTTCAAATCTCAAATATAGGTTCTAAATCGAAATTCTCAAAATGCTCAAAAGCTTCAATTCTTCTGTTTTCCCACCTCTTCCCTTTGTTTTCTGACTTTTCGTGACTTCTGCGCGGCCACATTATTTCTCGATCTTTTTTCTCGATATCTGAAAATTTGAGATTAAATAAAAGGTTTAAAATCTTGTGATCATTACTAAAAAAAGTAATGATCACCGACTCAAAAGAGCCGCCAAACCTGCCACCATCAACAGAATTGAACTCAATGAAAACATTGAGAGAAACTGATTCGAGAGAAGGCAGTGAATGGAGGGACGATTGATGACTTCGATTGAGAGAAGAAGTGGTCGAAGTTGGTGGTTGATGTTGTGATCAACAATTAGAGCCAGCTTTGAACTTATGGGGGAAGTGTCTTATGAATTAGTAATGAGACGAAATACTGAAACTAAACTATAGCTAAAGTTAATGAACCCAAAATTATCCTAGTTACCGTAGCTGAAAATGATACTATAACCATACTTTAGCTAAAGTTAGCCAACTGAGCGCCACACACAGCGCAACACTATCTACCGTACCCCATTGTCCTTTGTCTGTGCTCTAAATATCCTTTCTTCACTCCAAAAGCTTCTCTTTGATCTTGCTTGAAGTCGATCTAAAAATACTTCCATTTCTTTATTACTTACCTGACTTCTTCATCAGGATTCGTGAATTGTTTGTTTCGAGAAGTTGGCGACGAGTCATCCGATGATTCGGATTTGATTGGGAACGAGTAGGAAGGGATTGGAGAGGAATACGCTGCAGCCATGCTCATATTGCTAGAAAGATTTGGTTGAAGGTTAGGCTTTGATAGAGTATCTTAGCAATTCTAATCAAAAGCAGATTTGTGACAGTACTGTAGTACCTACTGTAACAAGACGGTACCAGTACTTACTGGAAAGTTCTCTTTAGATCTAGGTCTTAGCTCTGGTCTTACAAATGTATTACAAATACAAGTCTTACATTTTCTATTACTTTAACCTAACAAATCGTTATCCTTAAGTTCAGATTTACATTACAGTACTTTACTAGAGTCTATTCTAAAGTTGAACCCTTAGATCTAGGTCTTAGGTATTACAGTATTGTACTAGAGTCTATTCTAAAGTTGAATCTTTAGATCTAGGTCTTAGCTCTGTTGTCCCTACATTTTCTATAACTTTAGGGGAGATTTGCCTCACTTTGGCCTTCCCTCGTCCATCAGAATCTTTAATTTATACTTAAATTCAAAAAAGCTTATCATAATCTTCAGTCTATCTACCATTTGCTCAACCCTAAAAACAAAAACTCACTATGGATAGTGGGGATAGAAGGGTGGTGCATCATATCCATAGGCTGGCACGGCTGGTAGCATGTTCATTTCGAGAAAGAAGAAAGAATTCAACAGCGCCTTAGGCAAAATCGCAAAATTGACTCAAATTGCCGATGGCGTTGCGCAATGGTTCGAGTGAATGGCGGAGATTTGCCGCACTTTGGCCTTCCCTCGTCCATCAGGTCACCCACTCGGTGGGGTGTCGTGACCTGGCCATGGGCAGAATTGGGAAAGATTAAGAGATTTTTAGAGAGATCATAGATTGAGTGGAAAGATGGTACCTGTATCCATCTATCAAGGGGGACTCTCGACACCTCAAAGGGGCACAAAATCCCGCCCTCTCTTTACCATGACATTGCGCAATCGATTGGCAGCAAGCGGTGATGGCAGAAGGGGAAATATAGAAATGTTTGATCAAGGAATGAAAACAAAAAGCTGTTTAGAGAGCAAAGAAAGATTGAAATTTTGTTGTTAAACCAAAAGAGTGTCAAGTCTTTTAAAAGTTAAAAAAGGTTACTTTTAAGGAAAGAAAGGAGACTCAAATTTCTTAAAACTACGTGAACAACTGAAAATTAAACAAGCTCAACGTTTTGAGATTAATCATTGCAATAAATTTCATCCAGTTTCAGCTCCAGAAGAAGCTAAGAGCAATTTTATTTACTCTTAGCTTATAGAAGATAAGAGATAAACGAAATTGCTTCTTTTCCAGGCAAAAACTGTCCGGGTATCTCGATGGCACCATGCTTCATGCCAGTTTGTCAATTTTGGGGCCCATGGGGACAATGGACGAGTTGTTCAGCGACTTGTGGATCGGCTCAACGATCAAGGAGACGACAATGCATTGGTGGAAATGATTGTATTGGAGGGAATCTGGTTAGTGTAATGTTGATCGGTTGATTGACAATCATAAAGCTTCAGGAAAACCAAGATTGTGGTCTTTCCCCGTGTCCGGAATGGTCGGAATGGGGTTCATGGGAAGGATGTAATCAGTCATGTGGACGAGGCCTTGAGAAGAGGTTCGAACGGATTTCAGAATCGTGATAACAATTCGTAAAACTTGTTGTAATCTTTTGCTTAAGAAATCATTGGTTTTGAAGGTTAGTGGCTCTTTTAAGATTCCGTCGTTGTGAGGGTGGGCTCTCGTGTCCAGGAATGCCCGTTGAAGAGCGCATCTGTGACCGTGGTCTTTGTCCATATTGGGGTTCATGGAGTCGGTGGAGTCAATGTTCGACGAGTTGTGGTGGTGGAGTGACTGTTTGTTTTAAATCTAGCTATGAAAAGAGACAAAGTCTGTCAAAAAGGTTGGGCTACAAACTTTTCTAACTTACAAGAGAAGGTTACAGGTGGCCAAATAGCATGAGCCATCTACTATACGATGCAGAATTTTACCCTGATTCCAATGCTGCTATTCGTTATTGCAAAATGATTCGGAAACGCGAGGAATCTGGGAAACAAGTTTGTGGTTAAATTAGAGGTCAAAAATCAGTATAAGGCTTCTTTGACCCTTCCGAAATGCAAGCTTGTGGTGTAGTGGATAAGGAGCTTGTTTCCGAAACAAGCTACCCAGTTTTTGCTCGGGTTCGATTCCTTCCTTTTGTTTTTATTTTGTTGATTTTTAAACTTATTCTTTAATTTAACCAACTTTATAGATCGCTATGTTCATTTTTTAAAATTATTTTGTTTGTTATCAGATAAAAGATGTCATAATACTTATTGTAAAGTTAAAATTAAACAAATTCGAGCAGTTAAACATCAAAATAAAATGAAAACAAAAGGAAGGGATCGAACCCGAGCAAAAACTCAGCAGCCTGTTTCGGAAACAAGCTACCGCACGCTAACAAGTAACAAGTACGCTAACAAGTACAAGCTACAGCTAACAAGCTCCTTATCCACTACACCACAAGCTTGCATTTCGGAAGGGTCAAAGAAGCCTTATACTGATTTTTGACCTCTAATTTAACCACAAACTTGTTTCCCAGATTCCTCGCGTTTCCGAAACATTTTGCAAAAACGGATAGCAGCATTGGAATCAGCGTAAAATTCTGTGTCGTATAGTATATGGCTCATGCTATTTGGTCACCTGTAACCTTCTCTTGTAAGTTAGAAAAGTTTGTAGCCCAACCTTTTTGACAGACTTTGTCTCTTGTGGCAGCCTTGTGACCTTCTCTTGTTAAAAAAAATTTGAAATCAACTAAAGTTGAGACAAATGAGATTCTTGTTATATTTTTGTGAAGAAAAAGTTTCAGATTCGAACCAGGGAATGCATAAATGGACCAGGTTGTGATGGAGAAATGGAGAACAAACAACATTGCAACACAGAGCAATGCCCGATTTGGTCAGAGTGGACTGATTGGACATTGTGCCCTAAAAGATGTGGAGAAGAAGCGGCAAGGATCAGAAATCGGTAAAGATTATTAAAGGGAAAATAATTTCTGAATTCAGAGCCTGTTACTATAAAGGAGTAATGTTCTCTGGTTGCGAGGGGCCGGCTCAAGATCAGTCTCCTTGTCCAGTGACACAATGTCCAAAATGGAGAGAATGGGGTGATTGGAGTGAGTGCAGTCAAACGTGTGGACAGGGTACACAAATCAGGTTTGGATTGAGAAGATCAAGAGAAGATTGACGTCTTGATCAAGACAAACTGGTCAAGCACATTGCAAAACACATTGTATTCTCAAATTCAGAACTCGTACCTGCGACGGAAACGGTTGCGAAGGTCCGACAAAAGAGATGCGTTTCTGTCAGATCTCCGTTTGTCCATATTGGGGTGAATGGGGACAATGGAGTGGCTGTTCAGTCACATGTGGACTGGGTGTCTGTGAGAAGAGAAGAAAGTGAGTAGTTTTTTGGTAGCTCGATTTACAAAAGCCTATTTCCGATGTATTGTTGATGATCTCGTCAATCTGCCGAGTCTCGACGAGTTGGAAGCAGCTGCAGCAGCTGAATCAGGCGAAGACTCATCAGAAAAAGGTTTCTTTTGGAATTAAATTTTTAGAACTCCTTATAGTCTAGTGTATTATGTTGAAAATTGATTAAAAATTCTTAAATGAAAGCCAAAATTTCCGGTCGATTGTCACGAAACACAACACCAAGTCCATATTTGATAAATGGGCGATCAAGTCGGACATCAGAAGAGATCTTTTCATCAGTAAATACGATTTTTTGATATATTCTTATTTTAAAGCATAAAATTTATAAAATAACCAAAAGAAAATATTACAGTGGTCTCGAAAAAAGCGGTCATTTTCTCGGGAAAGCGCCGAATCGGTCGGCTGCGACGGGGTAGATGTCGAGAGGAAAACGTGTGATGCTGGTAGGAAGATAATCTCTTTTTTTTGGAAAATAATATTGTCTTTGTTCTTATCTTTGTCCTTATCTTTCTTTTAACATCATAAACTAAAACAAAAGACAATATTCAGGTCCATGTTGTTATTGGGATGAGTGGACAGATTGGTCGCCATGTATTGGTTGTGGAGTGAGCTCTATCTCGAGGAGGTGTTCTTTAAATCTCTCGAAATTCTAATTCTAATTCCAATTCTAACTCCAATTCTAATTCCAATTACAACTTTGAATAGTTTTTGTTTTCTTTTCTATTCAACTTCAAAATCCTAAGCTAAAACCCTTTCAGAAGTCGAGCTTGCAATGGTGGAAGTATGGCACATGCGCAATTCCAAGTAAGATTTCATTCTAGTATCTTTAAAACTTATAATTAGGAAGATCCACTAAAATCTCCTTACCAATTGCCTTCTCCATCTCCTTACCAATTGCCTTCTCCATCTCCTTACAAATCTTCTCCATTCGGAGATCTTCAGCCAATCATCCCCGTGAATTTTCGTGGAAAGAGAGGAGCGATTTCTCAGTATTTACCGGGTATTTCATTCACCAATTTACCAATTCACCAAAACTATAAATACATTTTTCATTCAGCTTCAAAAGACCGCCATAACCGAGTGGTTAGGAGTCTTCTTTTTCTAGTCAGAAGGTCACGGATTCGATCTAGAATCTAGAAATCGGCTAGGAAATTTAGCTTTATCTCTGCGACATCTTGATGAGACACAATAGGAAGACGCAGCTCGACCAAGACCTAAGAAGTACGGATATGCGCCAGCTCTCGGGACTCAGAGATCCAGGGGAAGTGATCGAGAGAAAAAGACTCAGATGGGCCGGTCACGTAGCCAGAAGAACAGACGACAGATGGACGACACGGATCACAGAGTGGCTACCACGAGACCAGAAGAGGCCCATCGGAAGACCAGCGACGAGGTGGAGCACAAGAGTGGCAGAGACGGTCAGAGAAAGGATGGCTAGAGTGCAATCACCACCAGCACAAGCAACTGGAAGACTTCGAATCAGGAATAACCAAGATAGGAAGCACTGGATGACAATAGCAAGGGATAGAGAAATGTGGAAGCAGATTGTGATCTGCGCAAAGTGCACCTAAGTGCGAAGACAGATCAAAAAAAAAAACATCTTGATGAGTATTAGGACATTAGGAATTGTGTATTATGTCATTATTACTCATGTTAAAATGTATACTTTTAATAGTCTAGGCTCAGAATGTCAATGTGACGGTCCAGCTATCGACACCCGAACTTGTCCATCACCGCCAACTTGTGAATCAACAGCTGAATTCTCGCATGATGTGTAAAAAAGTTTACATTTTCTTACGTTTCTATCCGATAACTTGAATATGAAAACGATTTTATTTGCAGATATCCAACTCTGAAACAAATCGATCCGCCACCCGTTTGCGAGTGGACCGAATGGGGGAAATGGTGTGGATGTGAGAACTGCCGGGTGGGTTTTACGGAGAAATTTCCAAGAAACTATTAAAGATGGTGAAAAACCCGCTTAACATCGAGTTTTTCTGGCTATAGTTCGTGTCGCCGTGGTCCAATCGAGGTCCAATTGTCTACAGCCCGTGGTCCAATTGTCTACGGCTCGTGGTCCAATTGTCTACAGCCCGTGGTCTAATTGCCTACGGCCCGTGGTCCAATTGTCTACAGCCCGTGGTCCAATTGTCTACGGCCCGTGGTCCAATTGTCTACAGCCCGTGGTCCAATTGTCTACGGCCCACACGGACCGGGTTCGACCCCCGTAATGTCCTCGACTTTTACTTTCTTAATTTTTGATTTTAAATGACACAACTATATCAGGTTTTAAGACTCTTTTAAAAAATTTCAGTTTTTTTTTGGCTTAAAGATGGTTGAGAAAAAGCCCGTACAGACAGACGGACGGACAGACATTTCTCTTTTATACATAGTAGATTTTCCATTGAAAAAAGCAATTATCAAAATAACTCGATTGCTAATTTTCGTAAATTTTCGCTAGTTTCACCTTTTCAGCTTTGGCGTAGTGAGTAGCGGGCTTGTCAACGGCCTACACGACCCGAGTTTGACTCCCGGCTGTGTCGTGACTTTTGTTTTTAAAATATATAGAGTTCTAAGCCTAAGAAACTAAAAATTATGTAAATCGGACTCGTACAGACGGACGGACAGACACTTTTCTTTTATATATAGTAGAAACAAGAAATTAGAAATTCAAAAAAGCAAAGTTTTTAGGCTGGACGAGAGAATCGTCGACGTTTCTGTGATCTGCCGGCGAGAAGGCCAGGTGGGCCGACGAGACCCGATCCAAATTGTCATTGTTCGGGCACAGACATCGAGGAAAGGACGTGCATTGTTAGTGAGGTGATTGAAAAAGAAAGATTTATGTTTATAAAACTTATAAAGAGAAGAATGTTGTTTCCAGAAATGCCTTGCCGGGATAAGTGATGTGGGTGCTTATCCGGAACGCCCAGTTCGACCATCATTTCCGAGAGCTGAAGAAACGACATCTTCTGTCGAATTTCATCAAGATCAACGCCCAAAACATCAACGAATTGGATTAGCTGGAAGTGGATTTAAGTAAGTTAAAAGGCAATCAGGGTCAATCGGCGCCATGGCCAACTGGCATTTAAGTAAGTTAAAAGGCAGTCAGGGTCAATAGGGCCATGGCCAACTGTCAAAGATCCGTGTCTCTCGATCGGGAGGTCAAGGGTTCAACCCCGCTAGCTAGATTATTGATTTTTTTTCCTTTTTTTCTTCCATACATTTAAGGCTTATTGGTTGTGCTTTTGTATTGTTTGTACCACATTATCGGAAACAAGCTCCTTATCCACTACACCTTATCCACAAGCTCCTTATCCACTACACCACAAGCTCGCATTTCGGGACGGTGAAAGAAGCCTTATACTGATTTTTGACCTCTAATTTAACCTCAAACTTGTTTCCCAGATTCCTCGCGTTTCCGAATCATTTTGCAATAACAGATAGCAGCATTGGAATCAATCAAATTCTGTGTTCTGCACCACACAATAAATGCATTTTTCAATCAATTTCTTTCAGTGAACAAAAGCCAGTCGATTATGCTGGGCCGATCTATTCGAGTGTTGAAATATCGAGTATTCAAAAAGGGCCATGGAATGGAAAAGAGGATGATGGCAATTCGACAACACTGGGAAAAGCAATTCTTGTGCAAGATTTCAAGAAAGATTCTCTCTTTTCGGAGGATCAAACGGGGAATTTGATTGGTGATGTGAGTTGGAGAGAATTTGAGAACAAAAACGTGCTCAAGAATATTTTCAAAGCTTTTCAAGTAATCTCAAAGTAATCGATAAACTCTAGATTTAAGATTATTTCTGATTTAAAGCCCTTTTAGCTGTGTCGATGGTCAAAGTGGTCAGACTGGTCGGAGTGCGAAGCGAGTCGGCTGAAGCAACGGAATCGTTTCTGTATCGGTGCAAATTGTGAGTAAAAGCTGAGAAAAGACTCTTAAAATCAAAGTCTTTTAGCTCGATCTTCAAATGTTTGTCAATGTATGGGTCTCTCGGTGGAAGAAACCTCGTGTGTCCCGTCATTAGCTACATCTGTTGAATTCATTGCACTCTCAAATCAAAGACCTCAAAGTAAAGCTTATTTTTGCGAACTGTAACTGTAACTGTAAAACTGCAAAATCTGTAAAAAAAACATTTCAGAAGAAAAAGCATTAATCACATCAAGGAATGAAGAAAATGAAGAAAATGAAGTAAATGGAGCTGAAGAAGAGGCGTTAATTATTGGGAAGGTAATCTTATAAATAGATATTTATCAAGAGAAAAAGCTTACAAATTCCAAATTTAACTATTATTTTCGAAATGCAAATGGACACGATGGTCCCAGTGGTCTCCATGTACAGCGACGTGCGGAACAGCGGAGAGATTGAGGAGGAGGCGATGCGAGTGCGAGTGAGTGCACAACTTTGCTTATTTTTCATAATTTTCTCCCATTTTTCTGGCAGTTCTCAAATCCTTTTCTCGTAAAAGTCTTAGACGTAAAAAGTTTGGGTGAAAAAGTCCGTTAACCAGCCCATCTTCGGAATCAAAGTGCTATCCAACGAGGGATTTGAGAACAGCACGTGTTTTTTTCAAATCTAGCCTAGCTATTACTTGGAAAGCTTGAAAAGATTTGGAATATATCTGATGGGGAAAGATCTGGGCTAAAAGGAAAATAGACCAGAACTTCTAGAAGGATCTTTAGCTTTTCCTGAATCATTGAAGAAGAATGAGGGCACATGTTGTCATGCAAGAGGATGATTTTTGACTTGTGCCTATCAGTGCCTTACAAGTACAATTATTGCAATTGTTGTAACAAAAGCTTACCAAAAACAATACGTAAACTTTGAATTGCAATCGATTTTTGTCATTTTCCAGAAATGAATCCCTTTGTGGCAGCGGAATCACAACAGAAACTGAGGGTTGTGAGATGCCGCCATGCGAAGAAAACGATTTGATCACCTCTCGTCCATTCCCTAAATTCTCGATCTTTTGGTAATTAATCTTTATAAGTATTTTTTGATAACTTTCAAGAATAAAATCCTTTTTTTATTTGTGAAAATTGAAGTAAATCTCGAAATCTCGAAAGATCTCTGAAAAGTTTATCTTAAGAATGTTTATCTTTGCCCAAATGCTTTCTCATACTTTACTCGTAGTCCTACGTACTTACATTCTCGTACTTTACTCGTACTCCTACGTACTTACTTTCTCGTACTTTACTCGTACTCCTACGTACTTACTTTCTCGTACTTTACTCGTACTCCTACGTACTTACTTTCTCGTACTTTACTCGTACTCCTACGTACTTACGTTCTCGTACTAAAGCTATTCATATTGTAGATTGTCAAATTTTAGTCTTTACAGCATTTTACGTGTTTATTATCTTTCACTTTCGAAAAAAATGTTTTCAATTGAATGTATTGGAATCGATTTCCCCGTGATTAAGCATTTCTTTTCAATAAAAAACTTTCAATAAACTTTGCCAAATCGAGAAGATTAGTAAAAAGAAAAAGTAAAAGCAAGATTTTCTGGCTGAAGAGTTGTAAATTAAAGTTCGACAAAGGGTAATCTAGTCTAGTCTGGACAAAATAATTTTCGATTTCATCTATATCTACGTATTAGATCCATTTATTTAACAAATTAAAAAGTTTAGAGTTTAGAAATAAACATTTTGATATCATATTAGCATTTTTTTTTTAATGTGAAATGTGGATTTCTGGGTTTTAAAATAAAGATTTTATTTTCAAAAGAGATCTTGATTATTTGAAATCAGATGTTGAGGATTTAAATAAAGTTGATGATATAAAAGTGAGACTTAAAATAAAGTTGTGTTTTAAAATTGAGGCTTTAAATAAAGTTGATGATATCCCTCTTTTTCGAGATTTATTCAAAGTTAATCCCACGGTTAGTTCAAGGAGAGGTTCTTTCGTTTTAGAAATCCCAGTCACCTCCGATAAGTTTGTGTATAAATCTTTTCCAAAAAGAACTCCCAGAATTTGGAATCGACTCCCCAGAGTTTTGAGAGAGTCCAATAGTCTCGAAACCGAAATCTGTAGATGATCTTGATCTTGAAGCTCTAGTGAATCCTTGACGTTATCTGTGCTACCCATTACATGCATTCTATCGTGTTGCTTTTTATCGGCCCCTTTCGTGCTTATGTCTATGAATTCATGGGTATTAATCTTAAATCTAGCGCACTTTATCTCAGCTCATGAATAAAGTATATATATCTATCTATATATATATAAAATTGAGGCTTTAAATAAAGTTAAGGTTAAGCAAAAGAATTTCTATAGATTTGAACTTGTAGAATAGAATTTTATAGAATAATTCTAGGATTTTGAGTGACGGGATAACAGTCATTTTAAAGTTCTTCAAAGTTATTTCTAATTGTATTTCTAAATGGATTTTGAAAAAACGAAACAGACATTTAGCAATTTTCTAACTTTTTCTTGAATTATTTATCAAGAAACGATCGGTTTCTTTTCAAGTCAGCTGCTTTTCTGAACTTTACTAAACAAAAACTACAAAACTCACTTCGGGGAAACCGGTTTAGAACCAGAAATAACTTCTTATCATTTGAAATTTCTGTTAAAGAATGCGAGTCTCTGATTTGAAAATCTTCGATGAGGATCCAAAAGAACCACTCAAAAATTTTTATACGGGAAATTTATGACTCTAGAAATAAGATTCATTGCTTAAACCTGTTCATTGCCAGTATCACAATTATATTTCTCATCTTTCTTTTCTTTTTTTTGTATCTATTTGATACTTTTTGGTGTGGATCAGTTGCCCTTTTTTGGGTGTTTGATCTCCCCTTTCTCTCTGATCGATTTTTTTCCCCTTCAAGGTCAATATTTCATTCCCGAATCGATCCTTTTTAATCAACACATACAAAATTTGAAAACACTTTTTGTTAAGAGCTTTTAATTTGTTTGTTTATTTGTTTTTTTTAAGAACTTTTCTATTAATTTATCATTAATTTATCATTAATTTATCATTAATTACTTTTTAACTTATCATTTGAAATTTCTGTTAAAGAATGCGAGTCTCTGATTTGAAAATCTTCGATGAGGACCCAAAAGAACCACTCAAAAATTTCATCGATGGGGAATTTGTTTCAGCTAGAGAAACAATGGATTCAGTGAGTTGCTTAACAAAAATTGAAATACTCAATAAAAATTCAAAACCATTTTAAATTACAAAAAAAACAAGAGAATTCGTTTTTTTTCTAGAGTCATTTCCTATAAAATTTTCTCCTAAACACATAAGAATCAATGTTTATTTTACACTTTAACTAGCACAAATTGATTTTAAATAGTAAAAATTCTGTTAACAATGTCGACGACTTAGTGTACAACATATTTCGTTCAAAAGCTTGTTTACTTAAGCTTGCGTTTACCTAAGCTTGTTAACTTGAGTTTACCTAAGCTTAACTTGTTAACTTGAGTCTACTTAAGCTTGTTAACTTGAGTTTACTTAAGCTTGCGTTTACTTGAGTTTACCTAAGCTTGAGTTTACTTAAGCTTAAGCAAACTTAGCTTTTGAAATAAACCTAGTTTTCTAGATACTTGTACACTAAATAAGAATTGTGTTGGTGGAATATTTCGCAACGAAAAGCAGAAAAATTCTTTCATTTAGAAAAACAAACATTAAATGTGTGATTTACTACTAAAGCCACCTCCATAAAAGTGATTCCGATAAGATCGCTGTTGATTGTTGATGAAAGTTGCAGAAATGTCATGCACTGTAGCAACTCCTAGTAGATTCTGACATTTTCCTTGAGCTATTTTGTATAAGCAAAATGTAAATTTTAAGTGTAAAATATTAGTAATCATTTAGTTTATTAAGAAAAGCGATTACGAGTAAGAAAGTAGTAAGAAAGTAAGAAAGAAGATAGTAGATATAGTAAGAAAAAAAAATGTAAAGTATAGTATCTACAATATAAATGATTTTAGATCGACCCATCGACAGGAAAAGTTTGGGTGAAAATCCCGCGATCAAAAGATGAAGACGTGAATTTGGCTGTAAAAGCTGCAAAGGCTGCTTTTCCAAGGTGAATAAAGATGAATAATAATAATAAATTTCAAATCTTAGCTGGTCTTCCTCAACAGTTCAATATCGCTCTTCATTGTTGATGAAAGTTGCAGAAATTGTGGAAAAAAATCTCGAGAAAATAGCGATCTTAGAGTCAAGAGATCAAGGGAAACCGATTAATTTGGCAAAGTTTGTTTGAAAATCCCTTTTCCAATATATTGGGTTGATGGAAAAGTCCTTTCCGATTTTTTTGGGAGAGTACCTTAAATTTGTCGAATTTTGACGTTTTATAGCTCATCCTAAAGCTGAATTCAAGACGGATCGATTGGTAAAAACCGTTTTGAGATATCTCTTTTCTAAAAGTTTTTACAGCTATTTTAGTAAAGGGCGGCAGAGCCAAAAAATGGCTGTTTTCACGTTTCGTTAGTTTTCCGTGCAGAAACCTAGGCTAAAAACATGTGTTTCGTGATCAGCGTCAAAAATAACCCCTAGACACGCATTTTCAGAATCTTAGAATTTTCATTGTCCCGTACTGTAGTATCGAGCATCGCGTAGTCTAACTTTAAGCGCATTTTTCTCTCCACCCGTTTATGCTACAGTGTGCACTTAAGTATCAAATGAAAGCTGAAATACAGGGCTATCTTTTGATACGAAGCGTCTTTTGATAATACACAGTCACAAAAAAAAATCTTTACTCATTTTTTTTCTAAGCGCTCATAATTTCTAAAAATACATTTTTGGTATCAAAAAATAGCCCTGAATTTCAGCTTTCATTTGATACTTAAGCGTAGACTATAGCATAAACAGGTGCTGAGAAAAACGCGTTTAAAGTTAGACTACGCGAGAGCTCCGACCGTCATTATGGGGGGATGCTACTATTAGAGTTATTACGGTAGTTAATTGTAAGCTTCAGCTTTATGAATTGCTTTGTTGTGGATTGTTTTTTTTGAGAAAAATTCTATGATTTTAAGTAAAAATCTCGGTGAAACAAAGGTTCAAATCTGTGGTTGGGCTTTCTTTTTTCAAATTTCAATTCAAAGACGGATCGATTGGTAAAACCGTTCAACTCAATAGCTATTCAACTGTACATTTAACTGAATTAAGTGCTTTTTTTTAAACCCAAAGCATTCATTATCACCATGGGCTGGCTGGCTAAGAGCTTTGTATCTTTTTACAAACAGTTTTCCTAGCTTCGAACAGTCTCCAGAAGATGAGGAAATCATCAAAAATCAAAATCTTTGTTCAGATTAACACAGAAATCTATGCTGTAACTGTTCAACCTTCATTTGAATCCTAATTTCTTTCTAAAATTATTATAGGAAGCTTAGTACTTGTTAAACCTTGTCAAATTGATATTTTATCTCATTAGCTATCATTAATAATTATTTAAATAGCATTTATTAGACGAATTGATCTCCCGCGTTGTGTGCACAATTTTCGTTTCTTCGCCACAGCGATTCTTCATCACACAGCACCGTGAGATTTGCTTTTTCAAGATCTTAAAATCAATTCTTATCAAAGTTTCAAAGCAAATAGATACTCTAAATTCTTGAATTCTTGAATACTTTTGATCTTTCAGCTCCTCTCATCAAGATGTCCCAATCCGAGCACTCAACTATGTCAAACACGATCCGATTGGAGTAGCTGGCCTGATTAGTCCATGGAATTTACCTCTGTATTTGGTATTATCAATTTAAATCTTTTTAAAAAACAAAATCTTTAGTTATCTTTCAAATTGGCTCCTGCATTGGCCACTGGGAATACAGTGGTTTTCAAGCCGAGTGAGCTGACGAGTGTCACCGCTTGGGTGTTGATGCACGCTTTTGATGAAGCTGGTCGGTTAAATTGATAAAGAACTTTAACAAAACAAACGAAACAAAACAAAACCTTAAAAGTGTTTTTTTTTCTTTCAATAGAATGTAGGATTTCCACCGGGAGTCGTGAATATGGTGATTGGAACAGGTGCCGAGGCTGGAGAACCTCTCGTCATTCACCCCGACGTACCGCTTGTTTCGTTTACTGGAAGTAAAGATTTAAGTAAAAATTTCTAATGCATTCATTTTAGGTACAATAGTTGGGAAAAGAATAGGAGCCCTTTGCGCGGCACAGAATAAAAAGGTAAAAAGAAATGAGAGGTGAAAATTTTTCAAAAGCTTTTACACAACAGTGAAAGAGATCTAGGGTTAATTGGGGATGTTTAAGTTACCGTAAATACTATAATAGTACCCCACCGTCCTCGTACAGTCGTGTAGTCGTTTTTTAGTATTTCATTTTTTTCAAAACCCGTACTTTCAAAAAATGCGTCTTTGGTATCAAAAAATAGCTGAAATTCAGGGCTATTTTTTGATATCTAAGGGAGCATTGTAGCATAAACCAGTGTCAAGAAAAACTCGTTCAAAGCTAGACTACGCAACGCTCCGCACCGTCATTATGCGGGTAGGGTACTATTACAGTATTTACGGTAGGTTTTGAAGATTAAAAGAAAGGGTAAACTTTCGAATTCTTAAAGTTTATATGTTTATTGAAATATTGAGGCTAAATTTAGACAGATTTTTTAAAAACTCTGAGCCACATCTGACAAATGATTTCTTTTTAGAATTTGCTCTTGAATGAATCTCGAATACTCAAAATGAACTGAAAAATCAAGCATTATAGTACTCTGTTATTAAATAAGTATCCTTTTTTATAAGCTTACCGTAAATACTGTATAGTACGCAAATAGTACCTCACCGCCCTCGTACAGTCGCGTAGTCGCAAAAGTTTTTTAGTATTTCATTTTTTTCAAAGCGCTCGTACTTTCAAAAATGTGTCTTTGGTATCAAAAAATAGCCCTGAATTTCAGCTATTTTTGATACCTAAGCACGCATTTGTAGCATAAACCAGTGTCGAGCAAAACTCGTTCAAAACTAGACTACGCAACACTCCGCACCCTCATTATGAAGGTGGGGCACTATTACAGTATTTACGGTAATTTAATTCCTTGAAATCTCTTAAGATGAATTATCTATTTATAATCGATGTATAAATCTAGAAAATTGACTTCTTTAATCTATTAGAATTTCATCAATTCTTTAATCTTTAACCTAGAAAATATGTCTAGGTGAGTCTCGAGATGGGTGGGAAAAACGCTTGCATCGTTTACCCAAGTACCGATTTAGAGAAAGCTGTTCCAATGATTACAACGTAAGTTTAATAATACAATAAAATTATAAAACAGTATCATTATAAAAGCGATTATTAAAATATAAGAAGAAATAGTATCAAAAAAAAACCCTTCAGCTCCTCGTTCATAAATCAAGGAGAGATTTGTCTGTGCTCGAGTCGAGTGTACGTTCATGAGACAATTTTCGACAACTTTTTAGAGAAATATGTAGCCAATGCAAAGAAGGTAATGATTTACTAAACTTGTACAAAACGATACTAAATTCGGTTTAGATTTTTAGTCTTTAAAATTCTAGTTTACTGTCGGAGATCCACGAGGCGATTTCACATTGGGCGCAATCAATTCAGAGCTTCATTATAACAAAGTAAAGATGGTTTGAAGTTAAATATTTAAGTCAAAACTTTGGATCTAAAGTTTGCATATGTAAATTTGATCATTTTAGGTAATGAGCTATATTGATTTGGCTGTGAAAGAAGGTGGAACGATTCATTGTGGAGGGAAAGTGAATGTTGATGGTGATTGTCATGATGTAGGCTTTTGAATTGATTTTTAAATTTGGAATTGGGGAACCAATTAGGGAACCAAATTTAGAGAGATAGGGAAACCAAATTTAGAGAGATAGGGAGCCAAATATTAGGTGTGTGAAAAAGTAATCCACGTTTTTAACGTTTAAATATAATAGACCATAAGTTTCGTTAAATAAAATTCATGGCATTCAAGCGTTTCCTTACGGTTGATCCATCAAAATTTAATGTAAGACCTATTTCTGAAGAGGTTGAACGAGGGTTTTCGAGAAGACAGAGTCTTATTTGGTCATCAGAACAGGTCTCAGGGCGACCGCCACGTGGTTCATCTTCTAGGCTTTCATTATCACCTTTCGTCGGAAAGAATCATCGGAACCAAAACCTAGCGGTATCATCAATAACGGTGTCTTCGCCAAACGCATTCCGAATTCGACGTGCAGCCTCCGCAGCTTTCAACCGATTTTTGAACTCATAAAGCAAATTTGACCGAATAACAATACTTGTGTATACCATTTTCAAACTAAAATTAAAGTAGTTTATTGTCGTCCTTTTAAGCCAAATTTTAAGAGATAGGGAACCAAATTTAATTTAAAGATCTTGAATTGTATTGTTTTGTAAAGTCGCCTATTTTTAGGGTTATTTCATCGCGCCGACGATCATCACCGGTTTAGATGAGAAGAGTAAATGTGTTCAAGATGAGATTTTTGGGCCTGTCGTTTGTGTGATGTCGTTTAAAACAAAAGAGGTTTCGTTGAAAGAAGATTTTGAAAGTAATTATGGCAATTTAATGTTTTCATTTCAAATATCATGTTGATATTATGGTCAAATCGTTGTTTAACAATGTTCAAATTGGTGATCAAATTGGTGATCAAATTGCTTTTTCAAATGACAAATTTCAAGTTAGACTTACGCAAAAAAAAAGTCTTCTATTGAGGTAGTAATTGATTTACATTTTGTGGGTTTTCGTTTCCGTAGTTGTACGTTTTGACGAGCGAGAGCCGTCCCCTGCGCAAGCTCCTTGTGATTCATTGTACCATCCTAAATTTTTATTTAAAATTCATTTATCAATAATATACAGGGTGCGGCAAAAGTTCTGACACTTTTTTTTCAAACGACTATATAAAATTTCAAAAAACATTATTTGGCTCACTTTTTGTTTTTTAACATTTGTTAAACTGTTTTTTCTTATTTTTAACAGGAAACAACGTTTTTGTTTAGGTTCGCTTTCAATATGGATGCTAAAAAGAGGCGCACTGTGATACTTGAGTTGCACAAAGCCGGAAAGATACCGATGGAGATTGTTCGATTCACCGGATATCCAAAAAAAAGTCTGTCTATCGAACCATTGAACGATTCAAGGAGCGGGGCAACGATCAGGACCGTCCAAGGAAGCGGCCGACCAACCACAGCCGTCACTCTAGAGAACACAAACAAAGTCAGATGCCGAATCCGTCGAAATCCTACTCTTTCAATGAGAAAGCTGTTTCCTGGCTACTGGGGTAAGGACATTTGGCCGTCGAATACCCCCGATTTGAACCCCCTGAACTTCTCCGTTCGGTCGATCTTGGAAGACAAGATCTCTGGCAAGAGATTTCACTCCGTGGATTCTTTGAAAGCCACTTTGAAGAGGGTCTGGGCTGAAATCACTGTTCAGCAATGCGCGACCAGCGTCGGCAACTTCCGCAAGCGATTGAGGAAGTGCATCGAGGCCAAGGGTGGAAGTTTTTAACATTTGTTATGATTTTTTGTCAGTTTTGTCTTCAATCAACAATTTGTTATCGTTTTTTTTGATTAAGATTGCCAAAATTTGCAACTTTTATTTCTCTTAGAAAAAGTGTCAGAACTTTTGCCGCACTCTGTAGTTTTGAGCACAATTAGCCAATTATAAGTGAAATCTTTTACACTTTACTTTAAAATCGAATTTAAAGTGTTCATTGTCGATTTTAGGAAGTGATTGATCGAGCAAACGCCACTCCGTACGGTCTCTCGGCTTGTGTCTTCTCAGCGCTCAGCGATGAACTCCACAACACGGCTAGTCAGCTGAGAGTAGGCACTGTTTGGTGCAATACCTGGCTTGTAAGTGATCACTGAGATTTTAAACTTTAACCTTTTAAAAAATCATTAAATTGATTCAAATCTTAACTAACTTTCAGACCCGTGACCTAAACATGCCTTTTGGTGGCACAAAGCAATCGGGAATGGGCCGCGAAGGAGCGACTGATTCTTTTCATTTCTTTACGGAACAAAAAACGATTTGTATCGCGCTTCAATAGTTAAATTAGATAAAGATTTATTGAAAGTGCACAAATGATTGAGCGGATTCTACATTCTACAAACCCGAGTAATCTATTGCTCTTCATTCTCTTTGTTTTCCTCGTCTTGTGATTGTTGATTTGAGTTGATCGCTTGAAAGATCAAAGGCGGGAATTCTTTTTGTTTTGAGTGTAATTCGTAGCGGTTGATCTAAAAGGCAAAAGTTTGCCTTTATTTTCATTGAAAAGAATGGAATTTAATTCTAAAGGTTCATTGTGAAAAGGCTATACAAAATCTAATCATTTTCTCAAACAGTTCACTTACTTCCATATCCGAAACAGTCTTCGTTCCATCCAACATCTCCACCTCAACATGAAATCTCACCCAAAGAAGTTTACTCTTCGGTGCACCGAATAGTCGAAAAGTTAATCGATGCGTCTGTTTGTGAACAACATGAGGCATAGCGTTCACAATTTCTCGACGATTTCGTCGTCGAGCGATTTTCGATTGTTCCACTTCGATTTGATTGACCCGGTACAACTGAAATGATGAATTATCACTGCACGTCATTTCTCTGATCAGCGACGGTAGCTCTTATCGCTCATACAGTACCGGACAATGAAATATGATATTTGAAAAACGATCGTCCCTTTCGCGCGTCTGTAACTCCCTTGTCTTTGAGTTTAAACTATTGGTGTTCTACATTTTCTGAAAGCTCTTTTCCAGGGCTACACAATGGTAATATTAATATTTAGAAATACGGTAAAGACAAGGGAGTTATAGACGCGCGAAAGTGACGATCTTTTTTCAAATATCATATTTCATTGTCCAGTAGTGTAAATCTCATAAATCGCTCAGTACACAAGGGGATCAAATTTTCAATTCGTTTACAGAAATCTATAGTGTTTAGGCAAAAGCTAAAAACTCCATCGTATCCGATTTGCGTAATTCATAAAGCTTTGATTCAGATTCGCATTTAGCAAAATCTGGTCGTTCCCCCAGTAAGCTTAAACAGCTTTTTAAACTTTTAAACCTGGCTATAGAAATTTGAGTATCGAAATTGTATTGTTTCAAATCTTTACATGTATTTGTGGTTAGATTAAACAAAACCTAACCTCAACTTGTAGAAATTTCCCCTCTAACCACCATTTTCCTTTCATAGATTCACTTCTTGATGTCTTCGTCATCAAATGAACGATATTATCTGGTGGATCGGCTGAGCTTTTCATCATCAATGTACCTAAACGTGATTGTGGTTTAATTTTAAATTCAAAAGTTAATTCCCAAATGTTAAAAAATGAACCATCTGGAAAAAGTCGGAGATATCGATAGTAGCAAACGGTATGGTAGGGACGATAGGAGGAATCCTGAGGCCAAATAAATTCATTTACCCATTTGAATCGTGATTTCTTATGAAAATTGAATTCTATTATATTGGGTTGGTGACTTGAAAACTGCCGGACTTTGGACTAAAATTTATTCAACATAAAAACCATCAATTAATTTCAAATAATTTCCATTATTATTGACGACTTCTGCCCATTTTACAGGCAATTTGCAGATTCCTCTTTCGTGCGTAGGATTTTGGTTTGTGTGTGAGACAAGTGTGAGCCTCAAAAATGGAGGACTGGAGATGTCCCAATGTCCCAGTTTGAGCACTTTCTTCAAAAGAAACCCATTTTGGTGTTAATAGAAAAGTTGTAGAGAATCAAAAATGAGGTTTATAGCCAAATTTCCAAAAAGAAACACTTAGTAGTTTCGCTTAAAATGCAAGTTTTGTGAAAATTCGTCAATTTCGCATTTCTTGAAAACCAGTTTTTGAATCGTTCTGAAAATTTGGATATAAGCTTGATTTTTGATTCACTACAACTTTTCCATTGACACCAAAATGGGTTTCTTTTGAAGAAAGTGTTCAAACTGTCACAGATGACAACAACATGTGTCCCAATGACCGAAATTTTCAGCAGTTTTCAATTCACCAACCCAATAGTTTTTACTTTGATAAATTGATCTTTATCTCTTATGAAAATGAAATTCTGTTAGTTTTTACTTGATATCCAGTCTCTCCATGTCGCACATACGTCGTTCGTCCCACGTAAACCCCATTGAAGAGTGGTCGTGGTGTTCGATTGCACAAATTGTACCTGAAATTTAGATGAAGATGATTTTAAGCTAATTAGAGTAGTTTCTTCTAGTCTTTTTTACTAAGTACTTTTACTAGTTTACTAGTACGTTTGTTTACCAAGAATCCGGTCGAAGTTCGATGGCAGCTTTTCCAATCTGTGGACTAGTTGTCTTCAAGAAAATCATTCGCCATATCGAATTTGATCTAAATTTTGATTTAATAATCTAGTTAGAAGTTAAAAGTTAAAAAATTAAGATACCTAGTGGTCAAGAAAAAGCTCATTGAGACTTTCGATAGAGTAAAGAGACAATCGAGTGAGATCTCTTTTCCTACAACTTCACAAACAATTCTCATCAAGATTTCCCCGGGAAGACAATTGAAATAACAAGGTGAAGCTAGAAAACAAAGAAACTTATGAATCTTAATCTTTTAACTTACCATTTGTTGCCTCAAAAGCGCTGTTTCTTTTCTGAAGTCTATCCCTCAATATCATCAGAAACTCGTTTTGTGCCTCGAAATCCTTCCCATTAGAGTCCATAATTGGAAGCTAAAGTAAAGAATTTTAAAGTTTCAAAAGCTTTGAAACCTTTAAAAACTTTGGATCAATCATTTCAGCAACTTTTGGGGATTTGTCGAGAGATTTAGCGAAATGGTGGAGTGCTCGGAAGATGTCAGCTGGACGATGGGATTGCTCTAAACGGCAACCCTCAAGAAATGATTCAACGGCAGCCTGGAAAGGGTTGTAGATTATATAAAATAAAAACTATTGTCTATTCAATAAACCAGCGGAAAGAGCTCACTAACGTTCGCGTTTCTCGCGCAATCTAAGCCCCGCCCCTTTTTGCCAATGGTTGTGCAAAGGCGGACAGACGAACAGACGGACAGATGGACAGATGGACAGATGGGCAAACGGACAGACGAACAGACGGACAGACGGACAGATGGACAGACGGACAGACGAACAGATGGACAGACGGACAGATGGACAGACGAACAGACGGACAGACGAACAGACGGACAGACGGACAGATGGACAGATGGACAGATGGACAGATGGGCAAACGGACAGACGGACAGACGGACAGATGGACAAACGGACAGACGAACAGATGGACAGACGGACAGATGGACAGACGAACAGATAGACAGACGCACAGACGAACAGACGGACAGATCGACAGATGGACAAACGAACAGACAGACAGACGAACAGACGGACAGATGGACAAACGGACAGACGGACAGACGTCTCTTCTGCTTTATATATAGTAGATTATCCCATGCTAAGTCATTTTTAAAGTTCACCCTTCTACTCTTCGTAAAAACTGATCAAAGTTACTTATTTTCTGAACAATAGACTGAAAAATCTTAAAGTAAGCTCAATTCATAAGGCCAAAAGAAATTCAATTCAAATATCTTCTATAATTTTTACAGAAACTTCCATAATCCGACCTTTTCCCTCTTGATTGCCTCTTTCTTTTCCCGACCCATCGCTTTACTCTCATCGTTTCTTGACGCTAACTCGTTTCGCCACTCATTTCTGAAATGAAATTCATAGCTAAACTTACAGTCTTTTAGATGAGTAAATGTAAAATTTCGCAAAAAAAAAACTACCACTCACCGGAATCTCTCTAACTCGTCGATCTCCTCCACTTCTTCACGCACTTCAATCACCTCTCCTCCTCCTATTCTTGGTTTCATTTCTAAATGTTTACAATATTTTACAAGTTATATACGTTGTAGTTTTGCCACAGATTGCACAAATTTCATGTGCTTATCGGGTAGAGTTGTTGGGATTTTGGGGAAAGGGAAATCGTGGTAAGACTCAATGCACTTTGCACTCTTGAGAGGGATTTCTAAAACGATCAGTAATCAAAAAAGGTTTTTCAAGTATTTCTAGTTCAAAAAAGTTCAAGTTTTTCATCTTTTACAGATCAAAAAACGAGAATTTCCGTTTAAGTCAAAGTTAAAGTTTGAAAAAGGATTTGTGCCTAAATTTGAAACTCAATTGTTTCAGGAATTGAAAATTAAAATTAAAATCAAAAGCATTTAACATTCAAAATTTAGATATGAGTTAGGTTTTTGAGAAAATGAAATTCTAATTTACGATTTGATTTCAATAGAGAAAGAAACTTTTAACACTTACAAGTCAGGTATTGCACCAAACAGTGCCTACTCCTAGAAATGAAAAGAATCAGTCGCTCCTTCGCGGCCCATTCCCGATTGCTTTGCTCCCGAAAACAAAGAGAATGAAGAGCAATAGATTACTCGGGTTTGTAGAATGTAGAATCCGCTCAATCACTGTGCACTTTCAATAAAACTTTATCTAATTTAACTATTGAGGCGCAATACAAATCGTTTTTTGTTCCGTAAAGAAATGAAAAGAATCAGTCGCTCCTTCGCGGCCCATTCCCGATTGCTTTGTGCCACCAAAAGGCATGTTTAGGTCACGTGTCTAAAAGTTAGTTAAGATTTGAATTAATTTAAGTGTTTTTTAAAGGTTAAAGTTTAAAATCTCAGTGATCACTTACAAGCCAGGTATTGCACCAAACAGTGCCTACTCTCAGCTGACTAGCCGTGTTGTGGAGTTCATCGCTGAGCGCTGAGAAGACACAAGCCGAGAGACCGTACGGAGTGGCGTTTGCTCGATCGATCACTTCCTAAAATCGACAATGAACACTTTGAATTCGATTTTAAAGTAAAGTGTAAAAGATTTCACTTATACTTGGCTAATTGTGCTCAAAACTACAGGGTGCGGCAAAAGTTCTGACACTTTTTCTAAGAGAAATAAAAGTTGCAAATTTTGGCAATATTAATCAAAAAAAAATGATAACAAATTGTTGATTGAAGACAAAACTAACAAAAAAAATCATAACAAATGTTCAAAATTTCCACCCTTGGCCTCGATGCACTTCCTCAATCGCTTGCGGAAGTTGCCGACGCTGGTCGCGCATTGCTGAACAGTGATTTCAGCCCAGACCCTCTTCAAAGTGGCTTTCAAAGAATCCACGGAGTGAAATCTCTTGCCAGAGATCTTGTCTTCCAAGATCGACCAAACGGAGAAGTCCAGGGGGTTCAAATCGGGGCTATTCGACGGCCAAATGTCCTTACCCCAGTAGCCAGGAAACAGGTGATTGGCAGAGAGCGAGAGTCGAGCGGGCTCCATGGGCCGGCGCCCAGCCCAGTCCTGCTGAAGGATAAATCCAGTTTGTCGTAGTGGCGTTTGCTCGATCAATCACTTCCTAAAATCGACAATGAACACTTTGAATTCGATTTTAAAGTAAAGTGTAAAAGATTTCACTTATACTTGGCTAATTGTGCTCAAAATTATAGGTCTAACATGGAATTTGTAATTTGAAAAAGCAATTTGAACATTTTAAACAACGATTTGACCATAATATCAACATGATATTTGAACTGAAAACATTAAATTGCCATTAAATTGTCATCAAATTGTCATCAAATTGTCATTAAATTGCCACTTATACTTGGCTAATTGAGAAAGTTTCTTTTAAGAACATTAAAAACATTTTGCAAGTGTCCCAACGACTGAAACTATTTTTCTTTTTACAAATCCCCGTGTTTGTCGATGAAGAACTTAGCCATAACTCAGAGAAATCATTTCTTTTCGAAATCACAAATGTGAAAATACTGAAAAAAAGAGACAAAGCTTTCACCCGTTCCACTTGATTTCATTTCTTTATTTCACCCTCTAGCTATCACCGAGAGATTTCCTCGAAAATTTGATAGCAACAATGGAAAATGAGGGATTTTCGGGGGGAATTTTTGTATGAGATGATGATGTCCATTGTTCACTTTCACTCACTAACTATATAAGATAAACAATTGAGAAATGAGAAATGATTGTTGATTGCTTTTCTGGAAATTTATTTGACTTGATTGTTGTGGGTTGATTAGAAGGCGAAACAAATGCGGGTTTGTTGGTTTTTATCGTCATTTTCAGTCTAAAACTTTATGTTTACATTGTCCAAATTGTATGAAAAGCTTTAGTTTTACGAATTCTGCAAAAATTTAGTGAAGATTTTATGAGTAAAACATATAAACTTGTTGATCATTGCACTTCCAGGCGAGATGGGCTCAAATCGCGGGAATTGCTTCAATTCTCTTCTCCGCTCTCACCGTTTCTATCCTCGTTTTTACAATTCCACATCTGATTTTGAGAGTGTCCTTAATTCAAGCGAATGTCGACTTCGAAATCAACCATTTCAAGCAAGCTGAATATGATTTTGAGTTAGTTCTTATTTTTGGTTAGCAATCTATTGTTTAAATGACTTACTCTAAGTCTTGGACAAAACTTGATTCGCTTAGAAGAGTTTGTACAGTTGTACAGTACAATTGTACAGTTCTATACAGCTTGTACAGCTCTATACAGCTTGTACAGTTCTATACAGCTTGTACAGTTCTATACAGTTTGTACAGCTTAGAAGAGTTTGTACAGTTCTATGCAGTTTGTACAGTACCGTTGTACAGCTTAGAAGAGTTTGTACAGTCAAATTTCAGTATCGAGTACAAGCGGAAGTTCCCAACCCCGTTCGCTCTCCAAAAACGCATCAAAAAAGATGAACCCGGTGTGTGCAATTGTAATCCGAATGCGCCTTGTCCTGCCGGTCCACAAGGTCCACCAGGAATTGCCGGAAAAGATGGATACAATGGAGAAGATGGTTTGCCTGGAATGGCTGGCCTACCTGGTCAATATCACTCTGAGATCTCCATCGACTTCGCTAACAATTGTCGATTGTGTCCACATGGTCCGCCTGGAGAAAGAGGTCATTCTGGAAATCCTGGACCACAAGGACCACCTGGAACAAATGGAGAGCCTGGAGCTGACGGAGAAATTGGACCAGTTGGCCAGCCTGGAGCTCCTGGAGCTCCTGGATTAAAGGGAGACGGTGGAAAGCCGGGAGCAGCTGGTGAGGCTGGGAAGAATGGTAGTGATGGTGGAAAAGGAAAGCCTGGACCAAAGGGACCACCTGGAGAAGCTGGGCCAAGAGGACTGTCTGGAGTTGATGGATATGATGCATTCCCGGGAGTTGATGGGAAAACAGGAGAACCGGGAAAAGATGGAGAAGCAGGGGAGAAAGGACCTCCTGGACCTGATGGAGTGGAAGGACCGATTGGGGAACCTGGAAAAGATTCTGAGTATTGCCCATGTCCGATGAATTCGTGTCGAGGAAGGGGATTCGAGGAGAACACAAAATTGGTGAAATTGCCCAATGGACAGTGGACATTTGAGGAATGAAATCGAGAAGGATCATCTCTTTTCTGTAGTCTTTGTCTGTACATACTGTAGGGTGGATATGAATAAATTTGTTTTGTGAATTGACAAATGGAAAAAGTGCACAATAAAATGGGAAATCATAAACGAGTTAAATAGCAAGAGAAACGATTTAAATAAAGCCAAGATAAAGCTCAAATCTATTATTAAAAAGAGTTTCTCTGTTTGGCACTTTTTAAGCTTTTTTTAACCAATAAAGCTAAAATTTCTTTAGAAAACCTTAGAATCAATTGTAGTTGTGTCATTTAAAAATAAAAACTAAAAATTCAAGCTTGAGTGCCATTACGGGGATGGAACCTGGATGGAACCTGTGGGCTAGCAAGCTCCCGACTAAGCCACGATGACGGCAAAGTCACCCACCAAAAAGCCAGATCAAAAACCTGCCGTTAGACGAGTTTATGGTGCAGAATAAATTGTTTATAGAGTGAGTTCCTCTTGAGAAATCTTCCTTTGTCAACCCTACGGTTTGATCAAGCTAGTTTTTAAAATAAGTTTGTTTTAAAACCAAACAGGAGCACTCTCTGGCTAATATGTTTTGACAGTAGCTACAATAATGTGCAAAAGAGATACAATCATATCCCCTTATCGTGTTTTCAGTAAAGTGACGGTTTTAATGCTTTTCTTACTTCACTACTAGTAAAAAGTTTTCAATAACAATTCACACGCAGTTGAGATCCATCAAGTTTTCCTATTCAAACACTTTTCAATATCAGAAGAACAAAGAACTAGCAGCAACTTCAAAGAAATCTAAAAACTACCGCCAAACTATCGATTGCAGCCCTCAAAGTATCGTTGTCTACCGCTTGAGGTCGACGAGAGTGTTCGACGAGAGTGTTCATCATCCTCGAGACTTTCAAAGCATAGCCCTGAATTTCAGCTATTTTTTGACACCTAAGCGCGCATTGTAGCATAAACCAGTGTCGAGAAAAACTCGTTCAAAGCTAGACTACGCAACAGCGTCATTTAGCTAGACTCCGCAGCGTCATTATGCGGGTGGGGTACTATTACAGTATTTACGGTAGGTATAACCCGATATTTTCTAAAATTAATAAACTATAAACTAATCAAATATTTTCTATAAATTAATAAACAAAAACCTCAATGACCTGCTTTTTTTTCGTTTCTCTTCTTTTCCCCAAATCTGTTTTAACCGTTCTCATTTCACACTTGAAAAAATTGGCAAAATCCCATAGTGAAACTTATCGCCAAATCAGAAAAAGAGAAGTTTCAATGAAGATTTTCGAGGGCAACCTTTTCTCATTTAAAGTGAGAAGAAGCCTCGTTCCACCTCACTATACAGTCATATAAAAATGGAAATGAGTTACGATGGAGAGAAATTTTTACTGCATAACATTATTATTACTTTTGCCATGCACATTTCCTTAACGATCATTCTTGTTACAATTTTCCCTTAAATCTTAGAAAGCTTCTCCTTTAAGCTCTACTAAACATTGCAGGTTCTGGCATGCTTTTAGAAAATCCTCTAGCTAACTTGGTTTTAAATTTGAAAGTCTGAAAGTCGACCAGTGTGCGAACAACTCTAGCTTCAGCCTATTTGATAGCTTCAGCTTACTTCCAACTATCAAATAGAGTTCTGTATTTCAGGATGACTGGTGGCGGACAAGTTGCCGCCTATTCAGCAATCGCTCTCTCGACATTCTCTGTTGTTGTCCTTTTATTCTCTCTTCCACAACTCATCTCACGAATCTCCCATATTCAAGCGGTTGTCGACGATGAAATGAACGATTTCAAAAAGGCTGAGTATGGAATTGGGTAAGTGAATCGGCTTTTGAATGAAATGTAATGTAAAAATTGTTAGTTTGTGGATTGCCAGCTTTGAAACAACCCTTTTTTCAGAATCCAACTCAAACGCATCAACCCAATCATCCGTCGTGCTCGTCGTGACAGCGAAGTTGGGCAATGCAATTGCCGAGCCCACAGCGGTTGCCCTGTCGGAGTGCCTGGACCACCAGGAGTCCCTGGAAGAAATGGAGATGATGGATATCCCGGCTTAGACGGAGCTCCCGGTCTCGCCGGTCATCATCATCCTGAAGTGACTCTCGATCGAGATCAACAATGTCGTGTCTGTCCCCGAGGATCTCAAGGACCACCTGGACCTCCTGGATATCCTGGAAATGCTGGAGAAAATGGAATCGAGGGAATTCCTGGGAATTCTGGAGAGAGAGGAGCTCCCGGTCAACCTGGAGAGCCTGGACATCCGGGAGAGAATGGAAGGGATGGACAACCTGGCCCACAAGGACCACCTGGACAAAATGGGACAAAAGGTGAGAAACTATTCTTCAAGAGCTAACACTTGTAGGTAAAGGATGAGCTAGTTTCTAGTAAAATGTAACAACTCTGAATTTTCAGGTGGAAGCAGTAGAGGAGCTCCAGGACCTCGTGGAGAGAATGGACTTCCTGGAGGACAAGGAGCTCCCGGGCAGCCAGGAAAGAGTGGAGAGCCAGGAAGACAGGGGGCACCTGGACATCCGGGAGAGCAAGGATCACCGGGTCAACCCGGAATCCCGGCAGGAGATGGACAGCCAGGAGGACCTGGAGAGGATGCCGGATATTGTCCTTGCCCAAGGAGACGAAGAGCTTGATTTTCATTTCCGTGTTGATAAAAGTCTTTTAAATGCATTGCAAAGAGTTAATACGTTGTTGGTTCCACTCGGGTGACCTTTTTCCTCAAAAAAAGAAAGAGAAAGAGCCTGTCAAAGGAAGAAAAAGTGTTCTTGATCGGTGAAAACAGAGGAAAAGAGGTAAATGGTAGTAGAAATTGTATCAAGTACTGAATTGAGCTTGCTAGAGAACTATTTCAACATAGCGATTTTCAAAACCGGATTTAGCTACAAAATGTCTCTGTAGAACTCTAAGAAATATGTGTTTTTTTTACATAGGCCCTAGTTTTCGAGAAAAACGTGTCCAAAGTTTCGCAATTTTTAGCAAACCGCGATCTATAAGAGGACGCCTCACCGAAATGGAGTAAAAGCAGCTTTAGCTACAAAATGCGGCCTAGGGGATAGTGTGCTAGACTCCGAAACCTACACCGCTTTTGCTACACCAAACAGTGCCTACTCTCAGCTGCCTAGCCGTGTTGTGGAGTTCATCGCTGAGCGCTGAGAAGACACAAGCCGAGAGATCGTACGGAGTGGCGTAAAAGATTTCACTTCTACTTGGCTAATTGTGCTCAAAACTACAGACTGCGGCAAAAGCTCTGACACCTTTTCTAAGAGAAGACAGAAAAACTGCGGCCTAGGGGGGTAGTGTGCTAGACTCCGAAACCTACACCACTTTTGCTCGCGGGTTCAATTCCGCTTGCCGCTCTAGTTAATAAAATTTTAGCAAAAGATAAGCCTAAGCTTAAAGCTTAAACCAGTAGTAGAGACGAAACTCATTCTTGATCTCATTGTTGGACTCATTAACAGTTTAAAAACTATTGAACTGACTCATGATGAAATTTCATTTTGATTTCTATTCTGATCTTAATTTGAGCTAGATTAAAATTTCAAAAACCCCAAGTTAAGTTCTTTTTTGTCGAATGGCAATGGGTGGAGGCAATGGCCACAAGAGTGGAACTCGTGGAGATTGGGGGAATTTTAGGCGGAGAAAACAGGTAATGCCGGGGTGAAACAAGCACTTGATCACTCCCAATTCCTCCTTTCTCTCAATTTCTTTGCTCTTTAGAAAGTTTTCGGCTCTCGGCAAATTCCCCGAGAGCCGAATTTTTCCTTGGAGCGTTCCACTTGGCTTTACCTGGATCTCGTATAAATACCTGGGGTCAAATGGAGAGATATCGAAAATTTCAAATTTCTTTTTGTATCTTTAGGTTTTCTTTTAGCTGAAAAGACTCTATTCTCTTTTTTGAATGTCAAAAAAACTTGGAGAAATCTAGCAGTTACCTTTTCAGAATGTCATCGGGTCATATTGCGGCCTACACGGCCATTGGCCTCTCGGCTTTCACCGTTGGACTTCTCTTCTTGAATGTTCCGCATATCATCTCGAAGATCACCGATCTTCACGCGCTCGTTGACAACGAGATGCATGAGTTCCACGGAGCTGACTACAAGATCAAGTAAAGAACAGTTAGAATCAATATCAATCAATATCAATCAATTCGTTTCAGTGCCGAGTACAAGAGAATCTTCCCCGTTCCAATCGTTCGTGAGCGTCGTCAGGCTTATGGACAGTGCTCTTGTGATGAGTACAATCGATGCCCAGCTGGACAACCCGGACTACCTGGAGCACCTGGATACCCTGGAGATGATGGATATCCAGGAAGCGCTGGAGCACCTGGACGCCCTGGAAACTACCCTGACATTGCCTATGATTCAAATGGTGGATGCAGAATCTGCCCCAATGGACCTCCCGGATCACCAGGATCTATTGGACAACCCGGAGCGCCTGGACAAAACGGAAACGCTGGATCCCCTGGACGTGCTGGAGATCGCGGAGCTGCTGGAAGCCAAGGATTCCCTGGAGGACCTGGACAACCTGGAGGAAACGGACGACCTGGAAATGCTGGAGCGCCTGGACGAAGTGGAACTGCTGGAGGACGGGGAGCGCCAGGACAACGTGGAAACAATGGAGCGCCCGGAAACTCTGGAGCCCCTGGAAACGATGGAGCTCCTGGAAACGCAGGAAGACCTGGAGGACAAGGAGGACCTGGACGCCCTGGAGAGCAAGGAAGTCAAGGAGCCCCTGGTTTCCCCGGTGGTTCTGGATCCCCAGGAGGACCCGGAGTCGATGGAGGATATTGTCCCTGTCCACGCAGAAAAATGCTCTAAATGTGAAGATCTGTTTGGGAATAAACCATTCATTCAGCAAAAAGAAAGTCTGATAAAGTAAATACAGTGCATCAAAATGGAAATCAATATGGAAAACCCGTTGTGATTGAAAAAAATGATAATTGTAATGAAATTTGAGAACAGAAATCTTGCTGGATTCAAGCATCAGTGGAGGTTTGCATAGCGGTGTTGAATCTTTCGATGAAAGCCGCACTCATTCCAATGCAACGAACTTGAAACTGATTGTTGGCCGTTTTCGGTTTTGGACTGAAAATTTTGTTTTGAAAATTAAACCTAGCACTTCTCGGGGTAAAATCTTCCAGTATTTAGCTAGTTCTTGAAAAAATTGATCAACTTTTAACGATTTCTCGATCGCTAGTGTTCTCACTGATCTAATATTTATTTATTGGTTAGTCAAAGATTTTTCGTTTCTTCTTTTTCTTTTTCTTCTTCTTCTTCTATTTTTCTCAAACCCGTGATTTCGTCGAATGCTTTCAATCCGAGAAAAGTCGTGCTCAATCGGTGGCTCAATAGAGTTTCTCTGGGGACTCGCCTCACACAATGGGAACACCTGAGCTATTGGTTTTAGATTTGTTGAGTCAGCATATAGAAATCTTGTATATCTTGTACAGTTGAACTTCTCTATAACGACTTTCTATACAAAGATTTTGAAATTCTAAAACATGCTCCTTAATTTCTTTGTATTAGGTTGGTGAATTGAAAACTGCCGGACTTTGAATTAAAATTTATTGAACATAAAACCATGAATTCACTCCAAATAATTTCCATTATTATTGACGACTTCTGCCCATTTTACATGCAATTTGCGGATTCCTCTTTCGTGATAGGATTTTGGTTTGTGTGTGAGACAAGTGTGAGACTCAAAAATGGAGGACTGGAGATGTTCCAGTTTGAGCACGTTCTTCAAAAGAAACCCATTTTGGTGTCAATGGAAAAGTTGTAGAGAATCAAAAATTAGACTTATAGCCAAATTTCCAAAAAGATACACTTAGTAGTTTCGCTTAAAATGCAAGTTTTGTGAAAATTCGTAAATTTCGCATTTCTTGAAAACCAGTTTTTGAATCGTTCTTAAAATTTGGATATAAGCTTGATTTTTGATTCTCTACAACTTTTCCATTGACACCAAAATGGGTTTCTTTTGAAGAAAGTGCTCAGACTGTCACATATGACAATAGCCGGCAGTTTTCAATTCACCAACCACAATAGCTACCCAATTAGTTGCAATCGTTGCCCGCAAAGGGCTACGCACAAAACGTAGGGCATTTTTTAGAATCTTTATATAGAAATTTTCAATATCGTTATAGCAAAGTTCAACTGTATATAGAAAAGTTTCTAAAACTATGGCCACTTCTGATTTCTGGCCTAATCCCTATCCATTACCCACAATAATATTCGACGATGATTGTTGCAGACTCAATCTCAGCTGTTCATTCCTCCAATTGTTCTCTCCATTCTCCAGCCATTGCTCTTCAGCTGAGTGCCTAAACAGAAACCTAAACAAATTTTGTCGTATTCCCCAAGTACCTGTGATTTTGTAGTGAGCTTCTTGGTGTCACTGTATTCCTTGTTGTACTCCCTGAATCCAGCATACTTGTGCAAGCGGGTGCTGTGTGAATCACCGAGGTTTGAACGATACCCTAAAATTCTCTTAGATTTTATTGATTATCTAATACCCTAAAGTCGCGAGTATAAGTTCTGTTTGGTTTTTCGCATGCAAATTGACGGCTGTCGCCGGTGCGGTGTGTCGAGGGTTCGAACCCCGCTGCAGCATAACTTTTTTGGCTTTTTAAGAACAATAATAGAAGTAAATTTATTGAGGGTTATAGCAATTTTATGCTGTTATTTGTTGCTCCGGGCGTGGCTTGGCGCGTCCGCCCTGCTCCTCTCCGGTGCTCATTCTTATGGATCCCTGGCCTCTTCATCCGTCCCTGGCCTCTTCATCCGTCCCTGGCCTCTTCATCCGGCCAAAGTCCACGTCGACGGTCGAAAGAGATGCTTTCCAGCGTCTTCTTCAACACTATCGTCTGGATGTATCCATGCATATAACAAATAGCAATGATGATAGGCTGTCCCCCTGTAGTATCCCGCGCTCCAAAAACAATAATAAAAGTTGATATAACAATAAAAACCCAACAAAAAGAAATTCAAAGCAATTAAAGCGAATGTAAATTAAGGCAGAACTTATACTCGAGACTTTAGGGTAACTATAAGTTTATCGTAGTTTTAGTAAACTCTTGAGTGTTAAAAGCAGTCAACTGACCTCTCCAATCTCACCCATCATGTCACGGAAATACGACGTTTCCATTGAGTATTGAATTGCCTGTAATTTGAAAAAAATTAAGATTTTATTTGAATAATCAAACCTGAATTAGAAAAGGAATCCCACGAATATTTCTCATCAAATCCTCTGTCACTTCTTGATCGATTTTTGACTCAATACAGAAACTTTCTTCTTTTTGTTTTTCTTTAAGTAAAAGTCGGCCAACAAAGAACTGAAAGGGCTTATTCAATTCTATAAATCCTGTAACGAATTCTTTATTTACCTTTGGTTTGATAAACCAGCAAACAGACAACAAAATCATCCCAAGGAGACCAAATGATGTCAAGAAAAGTGAAAGTAAAAGAAGTTCGGAGAAGAAAATTCCAAGAAAAAGGCCTAAATTTTATTGAGAATTCAAAACCAATTGATCAAACCCGTCAAAAAGATGATCAAGTTGATGACAGTCGCTCCGAGAAGGACGTAACGATAGAAATACATCTGAAAAAATAAAGCAATAAAGCAAGTGACTTTAAACGGAATACGAATTAGTACATCGGATGTGTAAATGGAGAATGGACATATTGAAGTGTGGGAGGGGAATCCGGCGTGGATTGGATCAGGAATAAGGGAAGCGGAAGTCTAATTAGCCGTCGGGATTGGGGAAGGGACACAACGGATTTCTTTCTTCACAACGGAGAATGGGAGATCCCTTTAGGAACTTCTAGAGAGTTTCCCCAAAAGCTCTCAAATCTCCCCTCAAAAGCCATCTATTTATAGTCCCTTTTTGCAAGATATCAATGGTAAAGACAATAATCGATACTTGTGACAGAAAGGCTCCAATTCGGTTCTATTGTTTGTAAGTTTTTCAGAAGTCTGGTTCAGTTTAGCCCTTGATCAGAAGCCTCTAGTAAAGCCAGGCTAGATTAGGCCAATCAGAAGCCAGGTCAGGCTAGGCTAGGTCAGCCAGAAGCCAGGCCAGGCTAGATTAGGCTAACCAGAAGCCAGGTCAAGCTAGGCTAGACCAACCAGAAGCCAGGTCAGGCTAGGCTAGACCAACCAGAAACCAGGTCAGGCTAGATTAGGCCAACCAGAGGCCAGATCAGGCTAGGCTAGACCAACCAGAAACCAGGTCAAAAGCTAAAAGCTAAAAGTTTGTACAACAGTTTGAGGAATCAATCTATTACTTTTTAAGTGCTCAAAGCCAAACAACTTCAATTAACATGAAGGGTAAAAAGGTAAACAAGGCAAGATCTATAAGATTCAGTTTACTTATAAATATCTAGCACAAATTTTAACAAGCTGAAGTCATATCGACTAAAACTTTTGCAAAATCCAAATCTCTGTTAAAATCGGTCTGAAAATCTGGAGAGAAAAAGAGAGAAGAGAGATTGAAAATAGACGCTCATTAAAGGGACTGAGGCCAATTTGCAACCACAGACAACCCAGTCTCTTTCATGACAAAATCTCACTTTTAAGTTTCAATGAAATGAGTTCAGAAAAGGATTTAATAAAACAGAAATGATCGTTGAACAGTGATGATCAGACAATGAGCAAAATGGAAAGAATGCAGGAGCTGATTTAAATCTACTTACGAGATGCAAAAGTATAGGATAAAGTGATTTTAATGTGTATATTCAAAATCTAGTCGTCTTAAGGAATCAATTTGTTAACTAATTTGTTAACTAATTTCTTTAAATGATCAAATTGTTTGAATTGATTCTAAGCTAATGCTAATTGCAGTGATTGTTGCTTTGCAATTTTTGCAATGATTTCAAATCTCAATTTCGAAATCAAGCATTTATATTGTAATTTTTAAAAATTCTCTGTTAATTTGTGTGTTTGTGTGTCAGTTATCACGTTTCTGCTTTACGAATTGCATTTTGTAGAGGGTAAAGCATTGAACTAAAGGTAACGGAGACAGGGAATGATCAGTTTTTTCTTAAATTCTTACGTTTTTTATATCAAATATCGAAATTTCTTTAAATCGAGAGATTTTTTGTGTCAGTTACCACGTTTCTGCTTTACCAATTACATTTTGTAGAGGGTAAAGCATTGAACTAAGGGTAATGGAGACAGGGAATGATCAGTTTTTTTTAAAACTCTCACGTTTTTTATATCAAACATGGAAATTTCTGTAAATCAAGAGATCTACCGAGAGATTTTGTGTGTCAGTTACCACGTTTCTGCTTTACCAATTGCATTTTATTGAGGGTAAAGCATTGAACTAAGGGTAATGGAGACAGGGAATGATCAGTTTTTTTAAAAACTCTCACGTTTTTTATATCAAATATGGAAATTTCTTTAAATCGAGAGAGTTTTGGAAAAAACGAAAAGCTTTCGAATGCAAATTTACAAATACTTTTCAAGGTTAATGCTAATTTTTAGCAAAGCAAACCAGCCAAAGCAGCTGGCTTTGCAATATTTTCAGATTTCAAAAAGACATTGATTTGAAAATAAGTTTAAAATGTTAATTACGGAAAAATTATGGGAAAACGAACTGCTTCAGATCAAAAATCCCATGCATTTTTTAAAAGAAAGAACAGAAAAACGATTAATATTAGTACGGTACTGGACAACGAAATATGATATTTGAAAAAACGATCGTCACTTTCGCGCCTCTGTAACTCCTTTGTCTTTGAGTTTAAACTATTAGTGTTATGCATTTTCTGAAAGCTCTTTTCAACGGCTACACAATGGTAATATTAATATTTAGAAATACGGTAAAGACAAGGGAGTTATAGACGCGCGAAAGTGACGACCGTCTCTTCAATTATGATATTTCATTGTCCAGTAGTGTAGGTAAGTTTAGTAATATAGTTTTTGTACAAATTCATAGCTCAATATCTTTCTCTACAATGCAAAAGAACTATATTAGAAGAAGTATATCAACGTAAAAGCGAACAGCAATCCAGTACTGTACGTCCTTCTTTGTCAATCGTCACTTTCGCGCCTCTGTAACTCCTTTGTCTTTGAGTTTAAACTATTAGTGTTATACCATTTCTGAAAGCTCTTTTCAACGGCTACACAATGGTAATATTAATATTTAGAAATACGGTAAAGACAAGGGAGTTATAGACGCGCGAAAGTGACGATCGATCTTTTTTCAAATATCATATTTCATTGTCCAGTAGTGTACCTTAAAACGTTAAAACGTTAAAACAAAATTTTCCTTACTGAACTCATTCGAAATTAACTTATTTTCAAATGAATGTCTCTTTTTTTGACTTCTGAACATATTACAAAGCCAGCAAATGTTTCTTTGCTAAAAAATTTGCATTAACCTTGAAAATCATTTGTAAATTTTCATCCAAAAGCTTTACTTTATTCTTGTCAAAACTCCCGTCATTTGTTCAATGTTCAATCTTAATCCAGCAAATGATAAAGTTTATCTAGCTCTGGCTTATCAACTTCTTGTCAAAACTCCCGTTATTTCCTCGATTTTCAGAAATTTGCATATTTGATTTGAAAAAAACTGACCATTCCACCGTCTTTCTCACTCCCGAAACTCAAGAATGAAGTGCGGGAAAAACATTTGAATTCAATTTCAGCGATCTTAGAGTTATAAAGCAAAAAGATGCAGTTAACAATACAATTTTTAGTCATAAATGACTGATAGAAAAAGTTCAGCATCCAGGAAAACCCGTGGCTTTAATTACCTAGGTCATAGATGAGGTTGTTTATCTAAAAAGATTCAGAATTTCACTCGAGTCAAAAAAAAAGATGAAAGGTTGGGTGTGAGTGGATGAGATGAAAGAATAAAAAAAGGGTAAAAAAGGGTTTTTTTTTTCTTTGTGGTGGGAGTGTTGTCGTTGGCTGAGCAATTAATGGAAAAGCCTCTCAAAAGAAAAAAAGAGAAGGACCAATGCCGAGAAAAGAAAGACATAAGTCAAGCAATCGGAAATCTATCTTAAAGACAGCTTACAGGGAGATCGGATATCGAGATCTGTGCTGTGAAGCGATTTTGATGAATCTAGGCATTATTTTAGTGTTGTGAGCCTTTAGAACAACCTTGGAGTCAATAAAGTCAAAGAGATCTGTGTTGTGAAGAGATTTTGATGAACCTAGTCATTATTTTAGTGTTGTGAGTCTTTAGAACAACCTTGGAGTCAAGCTAATGTTCAATCTTAATCCAGCAAATGATAAGCTTTCGATAAGTTTATCTATTATGAAAGCTCTGGCTTATCAACTACAGTGGAACCTCTCTATAACGTAACTCACGGGACGGCTATAGCTTACGTTATATAGAGGTTTACGTTATATAGAGTGCCGTTTTATATAGCTTAACGTCGGCCGGGACCGGTCACGCCTTACGTTATAGAGAGGTTTACGTTATATCGAGGTTCGTTATAGAGAGGTTCGACTGTACTTTGCAAACTGACTAATCTGTTAAAGATAAAGATAATAATGAAAATTCAAGATGTGAAAACTTTTGAGCGGTTAGAGAAGTTGAAAAACAAATCACCCGATAAAATAATGACTAGGTTCATCAAAATCTCTTCAGTCATGAGGCTAAATTATAAGCTTTATTGAAAATGCCAACGAAAATCTCAAATATAAGCTATGATTTAAAACTTAAAGAATTAAAAAAAGAAAAACTTTGAGGAATAGAGTTGAAGGAGAGAAGAATAAAATAGGGAATCGGCATTCGAAAATTGGTGTTCGGGGAATTCTCTTCGAGTTTTCAAGGCAAGATTTTGAATCAAAAACTTTTAAAGCCAATTTCTGTAGTAAGACTGAAAAGAAGATTTCTCTGATAATTCAAAGCCTGTAAAAATCTCTAGTAAACTTAAATATGAATGATTTACAATGGAAACGTTGTCAGGGTAAAGTTGAAGAGCTGAATGCAAAAAAAGATTTTAGCTAATGAGTTTAAAAATCACAAAGAATAATTTGTTATACAAGTAACATTTCAAAAGAGATATTTGTTTAAAAGTTAAATTTCAAAGCTTTAAAGGTCGATGACATTCAATTAGTGCTGGAATAATAGCAAACAGAAAAAGAAGCACTTTTCATCCATCCATTTCATCCATTCCAAAAAAACCAATAGATTAACTGTATCGCCAAGTTTATCCACTCAAAAATCAATCAATAAAAGAATAATAGCCAAGAGCTTTCTCAATCCTTAAAAATCTTTCTCTTTCCCATTGACGAGAGAATTTTCTCACACCATCAAGAAAAAGGCTCAATTGGGCTCTATTTCGATATAAGAAGCTGAGAAATGAAAAAAAAAAGATTGGAGGAACGTTAAAGTTTTAGATTTTTGACTTAAAAAAGTAAAAAACAAAGTAAATTCTTAAAAACCTTAAAAATTTATGTTATTTTTAACTGAATTCTCGTGACAGATATTTCTTTAGACAAAAGATAAAGAAGAAAAGAAAAGAAACAGATCAAAAACTGGGGTAAATCTATGTGTGAATGAAATCGGATAGCATTGCACATTTTATGTTATGAATTCTTTAGATATCATGCTTTCTGAAGAAATCGAACAATGCACACCCTCACTTGATGAGAATTTTGGAAAAGAGGAGGAGAAGGGAGAGAAGGGGGAGAAGGGACAGATCTTTGCCTTTGGAAATCGGTCTATGACTAAATTTAGAATAAAAACTTGAATTTAACGTAAGTTTTCATGTCAAAAATCGTTTTCTTATGTTCAAAATCTAGACTAAAAGGGGGGTAGACTACTTTGCGCCAAGTTTTTTGCGCAACTCGCCATAAATTATCTTCTAAGTCAGCCAATCTTTATCATTTTGCTTTCATTTTGTAGATCTCAATAAGTGCAATAAAATGAAAATAAAATCATAAAGATTGGTTCACTTAGAAGAAAGTTATGGCGAGTTGCGCAAAAGATCCAGTTGAGAATTTTTGTGCGGGGTACGGTAGCGCATCCACGCTTTAGAAAGCGCACCGCTCTGTTGCGCTCAACGTCAAAAAAAAGTTGCGCAAACGACCCAGTTGCGCAAATGATCCTGTTGTGCAAAAAAAAATTGCGGAAATTAACCTACCCCACTAAAAGTGAATACAATGAATGTAATGAACGGATTAATCTAAACTTTTACTTTAAATCTTATCAAATTTCAGCTTTTTATTTCACTTTCAAGTATTTGGCGTTAAAATTTATTGATTTCAAATGTTTAAAGCCTTCAAGTTGAAAGTAAATGATGAAAAAGTGCCGAAAAAAAGAAAATTTCTGGAGAAAAAGTAAGATGTCAAAGCAAAAATGAGATTAACTACGCAAAGCCACATGCTTCCAAGTGGGCAAGTCATCGACTCTTCCCTCGCAAACTCACTTAAAGGAAAAGCATATCCAGAAACGAACGCAAAGCACAGAATTCATGCAAAAACATGTGAAAACCTTTTTAGAATTCAAACTTTATTTATCATGGAGTTTTTTAGGAAAACAATGTGTCACAGGGTTTTCCATTCGGTATACACCATCCACTTGTGATCGTTTGATTATTCGAATCCTTCGGACAGCAAAAATATCCTGTTTTACATTTCTTCCCATTCAACTCACAAGCACCGGCTTTGTCTCCATTCTGAAAAATTCGAACTTGCAAAACTTTCTTTGACAGCAAGCTGTGAAGCTTAATGATCTTGATGATATGGATAAAATTTGATCCATATCATCAGATCATTCAGATCATCAGATCATAAGATTAAAATTTGATCCATATCATCAGATCATTAAGCTTCAGCTTTCTTATTCGATAAGATAATAAGATTCTTATTCGTTTACACAAAAAAAAACAAAAGTTTAACGCTTGCATTCTCTCTCAAATCTTTTGTATCAAAAATCTTAATTTTCAGATGACTTTGGTGACAAAATCTAATTTATTTTAAGTAAATCAAACTAATATTTGACAATCTATTTGTTGTTACTCATTTCTAATTCTTTTCATTGTCAAAATGATCATTTTTTGTGGTTTTTGTAAAATCTCAATGAAGAAAACTGTTGCATTTCGTTAGCATTTTTCAATTTTAAGCAGTAATATAAGAAAAAACTTATTTTAATCTTATTATAAGATTTTAATCTTATCATAAGATTAAAATTTTATCCATATCATCAGATCATTAAGCTTCAGCTTTCTTATTCGATAAGATAATAAGATTCTTATTCGTTTACACAAAACAAAAAAGTTTAACTGTTGCATTCTCTCTCAAATCTTTTGTATCAAAAAAAACTTAATTTTCAGATGACTTTGGTGATTTTAAATTCATCAATTATCAATATCAATCAAACTTACTGCCATGAAAAGTAAAACCACAAAAGTAAGCAGAATCTTGATCAACATTTGATAGAATATTTGTTCAAACCAACTACTAAACATTTTTTTTTTATATATTGCTGCTTAAAATTGAAAAATGCAAACGAAATGCAACAGTTTTCTTCATTGAGATTTTACAAAAACCAAAAAACAAAAAATGATCATTTTGACAATGAAAAGAATTCGAAATGAGTAACAACAAATAGATTTGTCAAATATTAGTTTGATTTACTTAAAATAGATTAGACTTTGTTTATTGGTCTCATAAATACAAAATTTTTAAGCAATTTCTTCATTTTCAACCATAAATTATAAAACTTTATTCCATACAAAAAAAACAAAAAATTTTTTGAAAGAATTACAAAAAGAAAGAGAAAAAAAAGCCACACAATCCATTAAACTTATATTTACAAGAGATAATAGCCAGGGAAAAAATTGTTTCGGAAACATCAGAGATCCGTGCCTATAAAGAAAGAGGGGTGAAATTAGGGTTAAGTTTGAACTTTTTGAACAACAAATTTCTCAACTCTTTTACACTTTTTCTAAGCAAATTTTTTTCAAAAAACATCTAGAATATCGAAAAACATAAAAAACATAAAAAAAATTAGTAAAAACCCGTGAAAATTGTAAGAGGAGAGTGCTTTTTGATACTTGAGTTCGGCGATTTGTTTGTGGGTAGGCAATTTTGTCAGAAAATTGGGTGTAAACATATGACAACTTAAAGAAATGCAAATTTTCCAGAAAACAAGTGAAGATCCTTTGGTGAGTGGTTTGGAGCAAAAAAAAAAGTGGGGTAATTTAGAGAATTTGGCAGTGATCGTGTTAAGAGAAATTCTATAATCAATAAAATTTTCAAAAAAAAAAAATGTGAATGACTGAGGCGGAGTAAAGACGAGATTTTTTGTGTGAAAAGATTAGGAAAATGAGGTGAAAAGGGAAAATTTCTAAAGTTTTGAGAGATTTTGAACTCCAGAAGTTGGTCGGGACGAGGATTTACGCAACCAAGTTCAGCTTTTTACTCTAAAATTTAAGAATTACAAAAGTTGACTTACAGAATTTCTGACTTTTATTTTGTTTTCGTTTACTTGTAGTACAAGAGACTAGATTTTTCGTGTAAAAGTTCAACAAGACTTCAGCTCTAATCCCGATCTTAACTTTAGCATAGATTTTAGAACACTTGCATTGTACGTGAGTTGGCACTTGTCGTAAATAGCAATCAGCTCATCGAAAGTGATTTGCTGAAGCACGTAGAAGCTCTCGTCTTTGTGGAATTTCTTTCTGAAAATTTGAATTTAAATTGCGCTAAAGTGAAAAACAGTAGGCCAGCTTAATTTAAGAATCGAAAAATGTAAAATGTTTGAAGAGTTGGTAATGGACACTAGCTTGTTCAATCACTAACATCCGACCATCTCCCCAATTTTCTCTTGGCGATTGTCAGCTCGACTGGAGAATTTATTCTCCACCGGTTCCTTTATCGCCTGTCGGGATCGATCCCCGGTTGTGTGACTAGGAGATAAGCCTTCTAGCCATTACACCAAACGGTAACAAGTAAGAAGAGCCATTTTAGCGATAAGAGCTTCTTTCTTTGTGAACCCACTTTCTTGCGCAATTCACACAATAGTTGAAGTAAACAGAATCGGATTTTTCGGGATTTTCCTGTTTGACGAAGAGAATATTGAAGACTTCGACTTCACAAATGACACAAGTTGGTTCACGGCCTTTCGGATCGGATTGACGGGGTTGATATTTGATCACCTAAAGGTTTTGAATGACAGTTTCTTGCTTTTAACAACTTAAAAGCTATTTGAAAGTTTCAGCTATAATGTCCTTTCAAAATTCAATGAATTACTTACAATTAGCTTCTCAAATTTTCTATATTTTCTTGTACAAACCTTTCCACACGATTCCACATATTTTGCAATCATTTTGCAGTAAGCAAGTGATCGAATGAGTACCCCGCGAACCATTTGCCAGACTGATGGAACAGTGAATTGAATGTTCTTTGCGAGTTGCCAACAAAGGAGTTGCATTGGGACAAGTGAGTTGTAAAGCTGAAATTTAATTGTTAAAGCCAGCTACGACAGAACTGATTATGTAAATCTCACCTGTTTCTTATTCCATTCATAGCTGATAAGCGAGACCTCTAATTGAAAAGAAGTTAACGGTCCGACATTCCACGCAATATTATTGCACCATCCAGTCGCTTGCACCCAGTGCACACAACCCGGCCCAACCCAGACAACGTCACCAGCTTTTTGAGTAAATCTGAAAAGTTTCCATAACCTAGATCTAGATTTACAAGTCCCACCTGTAAACGGGTATCCCTTCTCTCAACAATTGATCCAAATCTGGCCACCAGGATCCTCTCAAGAAATCGATCTTGTGCTCATCGCATAATCTCTTCATATCAGCCCAATTCTCGTACGGGACGGCAAACCATTCACAGTCACCAGGTCCGATATTGATGTTGACTGAAGCAAAGCAATTGTTCTCGATGTGAGCTGGGGTGCGGGCTTGAGGCACCTGGAAATGGGATTGAGTTGACAGGTTTAATAGGTTTGCCAGTTGCCAACAACTCCTTTGTTGGCAACTCGCAAAGAACATCCAATAGCTGTCATGAATAACTGTAACAGAATCAAATACCAGTTGCGGCATATATAGTGTTGCGCTTAATGGATCTTTTTGGCTTTCTAAGACAATATATTAAGCTGAAAACAACAATTAATCAAAAAAATCTACGCGTCATTTTACATAGAATAGAAGAACCGTAACATTTTTTTAATGACTTTGACAACCCTAGCCGAGCAGTACAAAAAATTCTGCTAAATGCTGCTGGAAAATTTTGACAAATTTCATTTTCTCGAGAGCAGCAATCATGCTTAAAGTTATATGAAATGAATATAGTTTAAAATTTTTACCTAAACTTATGAATTTAGTCAAAAAAAATGTAGATTTTAAATATCTAAACGAAAAAAGTGTCAACTCTTTTGGTTTTTGAGAAAATCCTTCTTTTGTTGAGCGCAACACTATATCACCCTGTATATCAATACCGGAAAACATTTTTTAAAAATCATTAATACCTCAAAAATGTCAGAAAACCAACCTTCATGTACATTTGCACAGTATTCATCCCCAGAATCGTGTACCCGAGATGCGATAACATATCCGATGCACCGCCCGGTCGACAGAAACCCGGCAACTTTTGAAGTTCCTAAAAATCTCTAGTTAATCAACTTTTCTTTTCACAAACCTTGAGCTGTTTCGGGAATTTGTTACTATCCGACACATCAATATTTGTTCCAAATTTGATTTGTCTTAATGGTTCCGATGCGTAGACACCTTTTTTCCCCGATTCTTGAACAATTTGCCCATACTTGGCTCCATTTTTGCGAAGTTTCTCCTCTTCTTCTAAATGAGAAATAGCAATATTGAGCTTTTTACAAACCTTTAAGACAATATTTGAATGTTTGTGCTTGGTATTGAGCATAGTCGATCACTTTAGCGCTGCCGGGAGCGGAAAAGAATTCCCAAGTCGCCTCACCGGCGTGGTTCACGTTTTGATCGCCACGCATTCGGTATTGTGTTCGAACCTGAAAATCACCAAAATTTTCGTGTTAAAGATTTGATTTAAAATTTGCTTACCTCAATAGTTTGATCCGGAATCAATTCCATTAAAGTCTTCGTCGAGAACAATGAGAGATCCATTTTCAGAGCTGAAGTCAATCCTCGAACTGATGCAATTGAGCAATTTGATGATTGAAGGAATTGTTGTAGTGAGGTCAATTGAGCTTCAGCACGAGACTCAACAGTGATCAATGGAGTTTGTCGATAGCCGGCTTCGGGGTATTTCGTTAGCTGGAAATTAAAGGTTTAATTAGTTTTCAAATAGAAAATCAAGAAAATTGTGTGAATTTCAAAAGCTCTGATTGTTAAGTCGAAGTTAAGTCACTCATTCTTTAAAACCTTACCTTATTCTTCTCATCAATCGTTATTTGTGGTGCTCTCGGTGGCTCAGGTGGTGGCACTTCTTCTTCAAATATCGGCACATATTTCTCAGCGCAATCTATTCTTTTCGAGGCCATTGACAATATTTCCTCAGCCGACGTTTCTAATTTGACTCGTAGCTGAAAAAAAAAAGTTGAATAAGTTCTTAGAAAAACAATCATACCGGTGCCATGAGACTGAATTTATGGGGCAATCGGTGTAATCTCGGTTTCTCCTCATTCTCCACTTCTTCATCTTTTTCAGCCTCCAAGTCCAACTTGTGTTTCAAGTGGGAATAGGCGTCGCTTGTGCTCGCCAAGTGCATCGGATCTAAAAAGTTTAGTTGAAAAAAGATAAACCAGTGTCACTTTTCAATGGAAGTTAGCAATTAGCTTGGATTTTAGTGGCTTTAACACTTATTTTCTGATATATTTAGCACCAAATGAGATAAGCTAACAAAATGTAGAGTGACCTCGGAAGATCTCCTTTTAAACCTCTAAAAAGATCATTCAATACTAAAAGCTGGTATTATCTTACGATAAGAGTTTGAAATTTTCTAATTTTGAATACTGTCTAATGTCTAGTTTTCTTTAACTCACAATATTCCTCTTCTCCTGTCGGCAAGTCGTCCATTGTCATCGGGGAAACCGTCGTCCGTTCCAAGTTCGGCTTTTTGAGCTAAAAATTTCTTATGATTGTAGATAAAATAGAATAATTTGTTGCAAATAATTCAAAATTCTTACCTTCAACAGCTGATGGTGGATATTCTTGGAGTTCTCATCGAGATGCTGCTTGTTCATGTCGAGAATCCCGCAAAGGGCCGCTTGTTCGGCGTTCATTTCATCGCCCTGAAAATGGGGTTTTTCATTAAAACTTAAAAATACTTAAAATGTTATAGATTTTATAAGATTTTATCTAGGTATTGTTTGAAAAAGCACCTCATCCTGTTCCAATTTTGGCCTTTTCCTCGTGACGCCCAACTCGGCCATCTTCCAGAGAGGGGATCCCTCACGGTAACGGAATTGTTTCAACTGAAATTTGCAAAATTTATATGACAATGGATTTTCATTTAAGAACTAGCAAAAAAAAAACGAATTTCAAACTGTTTCTCACCAAATTCGCCTCGTTTTGTCGTTGTCGCAGCTCACTGGGGATCGGTTGTTTCCAAGCTTCTTGAAGAATGGGAAGTCTGAAATATAAAGAATTCGATTGGAAAAGTGAAAAGCTTTAAGATTATCAAAAATTTGGTTATAAAACAGTGAAATACTATTTGAAATCTATCAAAACGTCTAAAAATCTGAATCTAAATCTGAACGAAATGGTAGTTTTATGAAGATCTTTTACTTGGCTCTTTCTCCGGTACTCAAAGTTCTAATTCAAGTTTGGTATTCTTATAAATATTATCAAGAATAGTACATTTTTATAAAATTATAGAAATCTTATCATTTAACTATTCTAAATCTATCATCTAAATATCTAGATCTAAAGCTAACTATACAAAATCTATTATCTAAATATCTATATCTAAAGCTAACTATTCTAGATCTATTATCTAAATCTAACAATTCAAAATCTCTCACTTGACTCCCGGTGCGACACTCCGATTTCCCGCTTGTGAATGAGCCGAAGAAATATTGAGTTCCCGTTCGAGGATCGCGATGTGTTGCTTCAATGGAGCCGGGCAAACTGTAAATAAAATAATTTATAAAAATATTCTATCAATTATCAATATTTTTAAATCATTCTCACAATTCATCAATTTTGGTAATGATTAGTAGCTTAATTTGCCAACGACGTACAGAAGCGAACATATTCTTGGCAACTTTTATTTTTATCGGTAAAAATTGACTGCTTTTGTCCAATTATCCTTACAATTAACAAAGATTTGTGAGAACTTACTAGAAAAATGGTCTATATGCAAAAACCGTCAAACTGGTGCTCAAAAAGAGTCAATTTCTAAAGAAAAACGAGGTTTTTCAGTTTGTCGCCCAATTTTGATGAAATACTTTTTAATAATTTTGATGAAATAAAAATTCAAGCTTGAAGTTTGACCGTTTTTGAATATAAACACATTTTTCTGGTAAGTTTTCATAAATTTTTGCTAATTGTAACGTTAATTGGATAAAAGAAGTCAATTTTTACCGATAAAAACAAAATTTGCAAAGAAAATGCAGCTTTTTCTTCATTGTTATGGGAATTTTTTTGAGGAAATCAAAGAATAATTTATTTTGGAAAAGTGGAAAAGTCTGAAGAAAGACTTGGTTTTGGAAAAAAAACGTCAAAATAGTTAAAATGGTTCAGACGCGAAAAGAATACGTATCTTTTGGCAGTCTAGGTGATAAGAATTCTTGAAAATCACTCAAAAAAAGGCCAAAGAATGGGAATTTTTAATCACAGTGTAACTTGTAAAACTCTTTGATCAAAAATTTAAGAGTGAACTTAATTTTTAAAGTTTAGCATTTATTTTAAGGCAAAGCGCTATCATCAGAGCGCTTAAAAACCCACCAGCTACTTTCATTTTGGAATAGAGTCAGTTAGAAATAGTTGTAGAGGTATAGAATTTGAAAAAAATAGAGGTAAATGAAGTGAATAAAGAGTTTTCTGACTTTTGCGGTGAGTCAGTGAGGGGTGGAGAGATTCTGGTCATATAGAAATGGAAGGGGAAAGGAGGAGATGGCTGAAAGGGGGCGGGACTTCACCCAGGTCCAGCCTCGTTGTCTCTCATTCACTCCCAATTACAAAATTCGGATTAAGACAGGTGTGAAATCTTTGTTTTGACTAGCTTTTAACTTGATCGTTGTTTCACTTTGGCTACATTTGTTTTCATGAGAAAGTGCAAAGTTTTCTGGAAGAGATCAAAGTCTATAATCTCTTGAAAGAAGGGATCACTATATGACTTGGAGAAGCGCCAATAATCGGTTCAAAAATCGGGGAAATCATTTAGAAATCAAAATTTTAAGTATTACGTAATTTCTGGAAGAGTTTGGCTGTGAATTTCATGAAATTGTTTGAAAAATTTAGAGTTTTTTAGGGCAATTTAGGCAATTTAGAGCATCAAAAAAGGAATTTAAGGGTTTTCTTACATGAAATTCTTACCGATTCACCGAATTACCAAAGATTCGACGAGTCATGAAGCTGGATAGAGTTTATTGACGGATTACAGAAAAAAAAAGAACTGATAAGGAAGGGAATTTCGGGAAATCTGAAGAGAAACTAGAGAAAAATAGCGAGGAATTTTAGTTCAAGGCCATCGTGACGACACTCTTTTTACTAAATAGAAAAAGGGGGAAATTGACGTGTTTGGCCATTGATCTGGTCAACGATTACGAGTAAAGATAAGGAGTTAAATAGAGAGTTAAATAAAGAGTTAAATAGAGAGCTAAATAAAGTGTGTGGGTGGAGGTGACGTAGTGAAATTGTTCTAGCGCTTTTTTTAACAATCAGCAATCACTTTATAGCCTTTTTTTCCAAATTTTTAAAATTGATTTGTTATAAGCAATCAAATAATTAGTAACTTTTATACTTTCTTAAATAATAATATCCGATTGCTCACTTATCCAATTAAACAATCATGGTGATTGATGTACTCGCACAATTTCCGGTAAAAACAATAGATTACAAATTTCCGCTATTTTCTTGTTTTTTTACTTGTTAACTAGATTGTATTCTTTGAATGAATCAAATAAAAAATTTAGAAATTGGCTGGTTTCCATTTTCAATTTTTAATTCTCCAAGCTTCTGGATCAAACTGCACGCGAGGCACGGTAGATCTTTTCTATTAGTATTATATAGCGCATAAGACTTCCCCCCAAGATGACAACAGGTTTTTTTGCAACCTGTAAAGGGGAAAACCTTGTTGTCATCTTGGGGGGAGGTCTTATTTTTAATAAAAAAAGCTTTGTTTTTAGTTTCTAGTTGAAATTCTGTTAACTTTTTGTCAAAGAAGTGGTGCTTTTTAACGAAAGCTAGTGTTTTTTTGAATATTCTCTAATCCGTCTTATGATCTAAATTGTTTAACGAAAAGCCCTTTTTTTTAGGTTGTTGTTTTTTTTTTTTTTTTTTTTTTTTTTTTTTTTTTTCCCCCCCCCCCCCCCCCTTCATCATATGTAGATTTCTCTGGAAAATGAGGGGGAGATCTATTGTACATGTTTTAAGCTTTTTAATCCCATTTTCTCAGATTATTGAGGAGGTGGGTTAGATTAGAAAAACGCTTAAAAATCACTAAAAAACGTCTGTCTGAAAAGAAAAAAAAGAGAATAACCCCATGGCAACCAACAATAATTTGCACTCATTTTTTTTTCTTCATTCATACATTTTCTTGGAATTTAATTTGTGCGAAAATTTTGCGTAATAGAGTAATTGGAGAAAAGTGAATGACGGGCGAATGGGCAGAATTTGGTCAAAACTTTTTGAAAATTAAGACAAAAAGTGATGGTTTCAGTGAGTGGCTAATGTTAAAATGGCTTTCTAAACGCTGCATGCACTGCTCGATGCACTGCTCGATGCACTGCTCGATGCACTGCTCGATGCACTGCTCGATGCACTGCTTGAGTTATTGTTTTGTTTTTTCCGGTTCATATAAACTTATCGCTTAAAAGCATCTCAAGTTTTGTTTTGTTTTGCTTTCTCTGCACTCTCCTTTAGTCTTAAACTCAAAAAAACCCTAATGAACTTATATTTGCTGTCATTTACCCGCTTCATTTATCAAATAAGGTGACTTTTGTGTCACCAATTTATATACTTTCTCAATTTTTGAATCTGGAATTTTTGAATCCAATTTTTCAACGGATTACAAAAGAAATCCTATAGTTTTCGCATTATAAATCGTTTCGATTTCGTTACAAAGCTTGGCAATTCATTTAATTTAATTCCGCTTTAATTCATTTAATTCATTCATTCATAGATTAAACCTGTGATTAGCCAAATTGAAAACACTTTTCTTTTCTCGATTATTCACTGAAAATTGTGGGGTTTGTTTAGGAGGAAAATCCTAAAATGTTGCAGAAAACAAATGCAAAAAAAATGAAATTAAGTAGGCATTTTTTTTTGTAAAAATTGGTTTTTTTGGGTCATTTAGTCAAAAGTTTAATTTAAAATCTAGATTTTTTTTTCGCATTATATCAAGCTTTCCAATCGTTTTTGCTCGGAAACAAGGGGGGAAATTGATGAAAACTTGCGATAGAACAACTTTTTGTTGAGAAGAAGATGTGCGGGGGTGTGAAAAGTGAAAGTGGGAAATAAATAAGCAATCAATCAAGGAAAAATGATTGATTTTCTTTTAAAAGCTCTAGAAAAATGAAAGCTAGGAAGCAGGAAAGGAAAGATCGATCGATTGATTGAGTTTGGTCAGGGAAAAACTAGCCAAAGTACTTATTTTTAGAATCTCAATGTTGCTAAAGATGCTATCTAAGTGAAGATTCAAAAATGCGACAAGAATGACTCCACTTCAAGCTTCTTTTTATAACTATAATAGATAAGTTTTACAGAAGAGCTTACAAATCCTATATGTGAAGAGCTAGGGGGGAGGCGAGAAGTTTTGATTTAAAGTAGGTAAACTAAAGCTAATAAATGCAAGGAACACTTGCATAATAAAATAGAGGTTATAGATAAAGCAGAGCAGAGTTTATAGATATAATTAACTATTTAAATAATCAATAGTTAACCTTCAACGTCGAAACCTTCATCATAAAATGTGGAAGTTTAAAGTAGAGTCTATAGATATAGTTAACTATTTGAATAATCAATAGTTAACTATTTAAATAATCAATAGTTAACCTTCAATGTCGAAACCTTCATCATAAGATGTAGAAGTGTAAAACAGTTCTTTTTGGTGAAAAGAAGCGCCCGGCGGGTGCCGGTTATAAAGGAGAAAAGGGAAATGAAAGAATGGAGAAATGAAATGGAAAAGAAAAGAAAGGAAAAGAAAAGACTGCGCGGAGGAAGTCGAGATTTTTCTTTCTTTTCGATCATACTAGCAAATCGATTCACCCACATTGCTTTTTCCCAGTTCGTTTTTTTTCTCGATCAGATAGCAAAAATTGAGAGAATGGATCGGAAACCGAAAAAATTGATCTTGTTTACTTGTTTTGATTCGATTTTTTTGAATCGTGTAAAGGGAAAGATTTTTTAGATTTTGAGTGGTCATTTGGGGAACAGAATAGGAACTAGATTATTTTAAAAATTAAAAAAATGGTTCTAGGAATTTTGGGAAAAACGATTTTTTGACATTTCTTAATTCAGTTCATTAAATTCAGTCGCTTTTCATATTCAAGAAACGTATCGATGCTTTAGATCTAGTGGCTCTTTGCCGTAAGTAATTAGCTTATTGATTTCAGTATGTATTGTATGATTAAGTATCACTGTGCATTTCTCTATGATTTCTTTCACTTTATCGTTTGAATAAAGTATTATTATTATTTCTGAAAGTCGATATTGGGTAAATAGAAGAATGATTTTAAAACTAATTATCCCTGCAGCAGAAAGCTCGCGTTTACAAGAGGAACCAGAAAGAGCACATAAAGTCTTGCTATGTTTTTTAATGAACTACTCTAAATCCAATCAAAATCTTATCCCTAAGCTCAAAAAAATCGACCGGAAAGCAGCGTGAAACAAAAGGAAATGGCAAAAAACTGTGAATTTCTACGTTATTCAAGAAAAAGCTTTCAAAAAACAGTCATTAGTTTAATATTTGTTTGAAAAAGTCTAAAATTCTTTCAAGTTAGTGAAAAAATAGTGAAAAGAAAGGGGAAAATGGATTTTTTTGCGCGTTGACGTTGACCAAAGAGTGCCCACAAAAGCAAATACGCGAGAAAATATTTGAAAATTGAAATTTTTTTTTTCGGCAACATAAAGCAATTTCCCAAAATTCACTTATTGAGCTCAGCTTTTGTGTTAGAATTTTTAAAGTTTAAGTTCAAATAAACATTCGGAAGCGAATGAAGTACGGGCAAATTTTCTAGAGTTGAAAAAGAAGAAATTTTGGGGGTGGGACAAATGCGACCTTTTTTTTTGCGCACCTGAACATTTGCGCACCTTTTTTTTGCTGGAAAAGGCCTTAGGAAAGGTCGTAGGGCTTCAAAAATGTTTTCATAGAAGGGAATCGTATGCGTAGATTCAGAATTCTGACAAATCAGACCTCGCTGACAAGTCAAATTTGGGCTAAAAGGCAAAAACTACGCAACTTAACGCTTTTCCGCAGTTTTTGCCTTTTAGGCCAAATTTGACGTGTCAGCGAGGTCTGATTTGTCGAAATTCGGAATCTACGCATAAGATTCCCTTATATGGAAATATTTTCGAAGCTCTACGGCCTTGCCTAAGGCCTTTTCCAGCAAAAAAAAGGTTGCATTTGTCCCATCCCCGAAATTTTGGCTCATTTGCATACGTAAAATTTGACTATTTTACAAAATTAACTAGTTTTTCGCTAAAAATTATAGATAGAAAATGCGTAAAATCTTAAAGATTATTAATTGATGACTCAATAGAGCTTTTCTGGAAGAAAAGTCTTGACAAATTGTTCTCATGAATAAATTCGGCTTATCAATTGATCGATGAGTGGACAGGAAAGGCTAAAAAGAAGGAAATAAGAGTTTCCGCTAAGAAATTGTGAGGGAAATAAATGAGATAAAACACAAAGAAAAGAAGAAGAAAGGAAAATGGAGGAGAATCGTTCGGAATTTTAGAAGAAAAGCTACTAAAATTGTAGCAATGTGGATAAGGAAAAATGATTGAACTATTAAGATGCTTTTCTGGGAAGGAAACAATTCTATTCAAAGTTTCACAACAAAACAATGATTAAGTCTACGGTTCTTCAACAGTTTGTGCCAGATTTGGAAACTCAAAATCTGACCTGGGAATACTGGTTTTGATTTTAAGCGTAGTAAGAAATTGACCAATTTCTCTAGATGAAAGGAATTTGAACTTTTTTTTTACGATTTTACAAGATTAAGCTCATTTATTATTAATTCAATAAGATCTTGTCGGCAAAATTTCAAGTAGAATCAATTTGACAACACTTTTGCCTAAATTTGCCTTTAGGTCAAGGACAACACATTTTTACAAAAATCGACTTGAACAAATGGAAATTCTAGAATAACTGTCTCGAATTGTTATGATAAAGTGATGAGTTGATGAGATGAAAAAAGAAATGAAGGTAGATATAAAAGGGATTTAATGGAAATGAAAAGAGGGGAAGAGAGAGAGCTTCCAAAGTCGGATTGAGATAACTGATAAGTGGAAAAGGATAACCCGGAGAGGGGGAAAGAATTAAAAAAGGACAAAGAGACAAGGTGAGAAAAGAATGGCGAGGAAAGGATCGCATCAACATCAACGGATCTCAATTTTTGGATGTCTGATTGGTTTGGGGTTGATTGATGTTTGCAAAATGACAAAGGTTCATTCAAAGTTTCAAATGTAAAACCCGAGCAGTGACTTTGGAGCAAACCAGCTAACCAGCCCGAGCAGCTAACCAGCTAACCAGCTAACCAGCTAACCAGCTAACCTTTTAGCTTTGATTAGCTTTGATTTTATTTTAAAATCAGAGCTACATAATGATACTAGGAGTCCGATAGGGATGATGGTATGAACTTTGTTTTCTAATATATAGCTTACCTATGCTCCTACTATATTTCATAAGTAATTTTATGAATTTATCGTCAATAAATCAATAAAACAAAAGAAAACCTACAATTACTAGAAAGATTTCAACGATGATATCAAATATCAAATGATTCCCCTCAAAAAGCTTGTTTACACCAAAAGTTATCCAAGTCGAGAAAATGAAAAAAAAGATGATAACTAATAAATCTATTCTAACTAATTTTTGAGAGCGAAGAAGTTAAAAGAAGAAAAAAATGATTTTAGATAATTGAAACTTGAATGGGAAATGGAAATGGAAAAGCTTGAGGAGATGAAACGATGATCTAGTGAATAGTACAGGGATTATGAATGGAAAGAAAGGTAATCCGCCTAATTTTCATATCAAACTAACTCATTTTTTACAATTATTTCTTTTCAAATCTACTAAAAGTGATATTCTGGAAAAATGGAACTTGTTTGTTGTAAATTTGTAAACCAGAATGGTTTATCTTTTCCAGTTTTAGACTGCACTTTAAGCTCACAGCCTACTCTTTGGCGCATTGTTCGTTTGCTGGATTGTTTTGTTATCAATAAAGATACAAGATCATATTCAAAGCAAAACATTTGTTCTTTGGGCTAGATACTCTTGAGTACAGATTGTCAGTATTCCAAAGAAGCTGGGTTTACAAGAGAACAAAGTACAAGCTGGCTTGCTGGATTGTTTTGTTTTCGATACAGATACAAGATCATATTCAAAGCAAAACATTTGTTCTTTGTGCTAGATACTCAAAGGTTGTCAGTATGCCAAAGAAGCTGGGTTTAGAACAAAGTACAAGACTTTGTGTTCTTGTAAACACGCAATCTCTCGCGTCTGTTTTCTCTCAATCTGTTTTCTTCTACTAGTTCTACTTCTACTTTCTTCTACTTCTACTAAGAGCACTTTTTTTAATCTCAATAACCAACCGGGATTGTGTTGTAAAGCGTTCTTGAAGCACTGAAGAGCGTCTTGAAATTGGTGTTGTTGTAGATAGAGTTGACCGAGATTCGTCCACGCGGGGCTGTGCTCAGGGTTCAACTCAACGGCGCAAATGAATGCCTAAGCAATAAATTTAGTTAGTTTTATACATCTAAAATCTAAAACAATCCAGTTTTTGTTTTTTTAAAATTTTATTTTAGCTTAAAAAAAGGTTTCATTGTTTCAATGCTCTCAATGAATAATTTCAGTAAAATCTAGTTGTTCTTTGATCAATTTGTTACTCATTTTCCTATTAAATTATCGAAAATCAGGACAGGAAATGGGCAGATGGGAATTCCCCGAAAAGAAAAATGTTTTCTTCCAAAATTTCCACGTGATCTTTCCTCAAATCTTTCTGATTACGTCAATGAAAAGATGCAACGGATTAGCTGTGAAAGAATCGGGAAATGGAGATGTTTAGCTTTGGTCTTTGTTAGCTGGTTAGATGTTTAGCTTTGGTCTTTGTTAGCTGGTTAGATGTTTAGCTAAAACATTGGTCTTGGGATGGGCAATTGAACCGGAGAGAGAAACAAGAAGAATTTTTGGTTTAAAGTGAAGCTCGAAAGCTCAAGAATTCTACAACCTTTAGCTCTAAACGGTCAATATTTAAAGTACTGTTGCTCTATTTAAAGCATTATGTCCTTTATAGCTAAAACTCACTTGCAAAGCATCCATAGGCTGATTCTGATCCTGGTAGAGCAATCCGATGGAGCACCACGTGTCGGCGTCACCCTCGGATTTGTCGATCGCTTGTCGGTAGTGGAGAAAGGCGTCGTGAGCCTGGAAATGGAAATGAATAAGCAGCATAAGACTTCAGCATAAGACAGCTACTTCAGCATAAGACTAAGTCTTAGATCTAAAACTCACTCTCTGTTTATTCTCCCCGTAACAACGTCCCAGATAATAGTAGGTTTTCCCGTGATTCGGCTCGAGATCCCGGCTTTGAATTAAATATCGTTCCGCTTCCTAGAAAAATTGAATAAAAACAATATACTTTATCTCGGCTTCTTCTATTTTCAAGAAATTTTCCAATCCACAAAACTAGAGTCATCATAAAAATTTGATGGAAAAGTTCAACTTGATTAGGATAATCTGCAAATTACTCATTGATCAGGTGCTTGTCTACCTCTAATTTCTGATGCCGAGTCTCTTGGGGATTGTCGAATTGATAGCAGACCCAGCCGAGTTCACGGAGAACGGTTGCACGATCAGAGAAAAGTGGAGAACCGGGGATGGGTGGGCCGGAAAGGGATTGCAGTTGATTGGCTAGTTCGACCTCAAGCCGTCTGAAAGTGATTCCAATTACAATCAAAGCTCAAAATATTCATCAGCTGACTAGGTTGACCTTTGTAAGCCCAAGATCTGTAGGCCCAAGATCTGTAGGCCCAAGATCTGTAGGCCCAAGATCTGTAGGCCCAAGATCTGTAGGCCCAAGATCTGTAAGCCCAAGATCTGTAGGCCCAAGATCTGTAGGCCCAAGATCTGTAGGCCCAAGGTCAATTTCCACTTTGAAATCTAGATCTTCAAATCCGATTGTAACTCACTTCAGATCGTCGTACGCTTTCTGTAGATCTCCACTCAATGAATGACACAGTGCAATACAAATCCTTAATTGTGTCTTCGAGTGAAACCACGCCTCGCGTTGATCGGCGAACGCCGCTGTGTAGTGCTGAAATGAATTTTGGTTAAGAATTGTTTTCAAATCTTTAAAACAACAGAAATTCTCTAAAATTAGTCACCAAATTGTTCTCTGAAAGCTTTGATTAAAAAAATATTTCCTTGTCTTTTCATCTAATCACAAGTTGCAACAATCGCTAATTCTGCAGGTGTTTTTTTTCAACAAATCTTCACGAAAAAATCCAATTATCCGCCTTCTGTGCCAGCAAAATTCAAGTCTTTTTGTTGATGTTTTACGCGATTACAGTTGGCTAATTTGCGTCAAAAAAAAATTGACTCATGAGTGATGTCAATGAAAAAGTTTATCCGATTTGAGATTTGAGATTTGAAGAGATTTGTGCGGGGAAAACTTTTCAAAAGCTCCAGGGACCAATAAGCAAATGAATGAGGTAAACGGGGTGTTTTGAGAATTTGGAAGAAAATCTTTGATTGTGGTCATGTAAAGAATCAAAGTTTAGCCATGAAATGGATAGATTTGATGAAAAAGAATTTGAAATTTAGTTACTAGGCTAAAACTGAATAAGGATATGCTTGTTGAATTAGATATACAGAATTTCCAATGCAGAAATTCCCAAATTTCTGTAATACATGATTAAAATTAACTATTATAACTACTAAAGATGATTTATGAAAGAAATTGAAACAAAAAGCTAAGTCATAGCTTGTCTTTCTTTCTTGTCGAAAGATTTAATGACGTGATATGCCAAAAGATGTGAATGAATTTGGTGAAAGAGAGGAAGAACTAGCCAAAGCTAGAGACAGAGCAAAACCCAAAAATGGAAAAGTGTAAAAGAGTGAAAGAAAAGGTCACTCAATGTGATGTGTTCAAAAATCGGAGAGTTAGAAAGGGAAAGATTTGAGAGAAAAAGGAGGAAATTTGAATTTAGTGTATTGGTGATTGTTACAGCAAAAGTAAATGGCTTTAAACCGTAGCTTTAGTAAAATTAAAGTCATTGTGTATTCTACACTTATTGTATTAAATTCTAAGCCTAAAATCTGTTCTGATCGAGTCAAAGCCAACTTTTCCAAGTCCAGTCAAATCTAAGTCAAATTCTCTAGGTTGTTACGCTAAAAAAAATGTGAAAAAGGGTAACCGCAGAGAGTAAATTTTCAAAGAAAGAAGGGGAAATAGTGCAAAGATTGAGAATAGAAGAGAATGAGGAAGATTGGGAGAAATGGAGGGTAGTGAAGGACAAAAAAAAGATCCCTGGCACGGGGTGACCTAAAGAGAATGAAAGAATAGGAAAGGGTTAAAAGAATGAAAGAATAGGAAAAGAAGGGGGAAAGGGAATCGAACGCCATTCGTTTTAAAGCTTTTTTTTCTTACTCGGCCAAAAAAAACTCTACACAATACCACAAAAAGGCCACCCAGCTTCTCTCCTTGGTGAAGGTTGTACGGAATTGTCCCGTGTTTACGAGAAGTTTTTTGTGAGAGAAAGATCTTGAGATTGAAATAGAAAAATACATGATTTTAGTTAGAAATTGATATTGATTTAGTTTCTCAAGACTGAAAAACAAATGTAAAGACCAAATATGAAGTAAAATTAAGGAAAAAAGGACAATTGACTCGTTTTCTAAAGCCTAGATTACTGTAACCAAGCCAGTTTTCATTCTATCAGTAAAACTTTCTACACAATACCACAAAAAGGCCACCCAGCTTCTCTCCTTGGTGAAGGTTGTACGGAATTGTCCCGTGTTTACGAGAAGTTTTTTGTGAGAGAAAGATCTTGAGATTGAAATAGGAAAATATATGATTTTAGTTGGAAACTGATATTGATTTAGTTTCTCAAGACTGAAAAACAAATGTAAAGACCAAATATGAAGTAAAATTAAATACAAAAGCACAATTGATTCGTTTTCTAAAGCCTTGATTACTGTAACCAAGCCATTTTTCATTCTATCAGTAAAACTTTGGTATTATTTAATAAAGAATCACAAGATCAAGTCAATACTAAAATTGGATTGCTCGGAATTGCTTGCAACTAACAACTTTTGATTTTGATTTTGAAAACTATCACTTTTTTATATAAAGAAAACAATTCACTAAAGAAAGAAAGCTTTTTAAATAAAAATATTATTTTTCTTATCTTTCTTATCTTTTAAAAAAATCTATCGAAAAAGCTAATAATCCATTTTCATTTCATTTTTCTTTTCCTTTAAATGTTTCCATTTTTATCAAATGCTTTTATAAAACGAAATGTGAAGAAAATATGAATATGAATTGCTTTTTTTTGTCGTACTATTTTCAGCCAAACAATGGCAGAAAAAGGGGGAATGTTCAAAGAGGCGTGGGAAAGAAATCCGAGTGAAAAGGCGAAGGACACGGTTTGAATGGGAACTTAATTGAGGAATTTGAATTGATGATCTAGAATTGATGATTCTTTAAACCAAGAGACTACGATTACATCGAATGTACAAGACTGATAGATCAATGTTAATATAGGCCAAAACCAAAGCAGTATTGGCATTTCAGCAAACATTCATAGACCAATACTTCTAGCTCTATTGTTCTACAGCAATCGATCCAGTTATATCAATACTTACCGTAAATCCGGTAATAGTACCCCACCACCCTCGTACAGTCGCGTAGTTGCAGAAGTTTTTTAGTATTTCATTTTTTGCAAAGCATCCGTACTTTTAAAAAATGCGTCTTTGGTATCAAAAAATAGCCCTGAATTTCAGCTATTTTTTGATACCTAAGCGCGCATTGTAGCATAAACCAGTGTCGAGAAACACTCGTTCAAAGCTAGACGACGCAACACTCCGCACCGTCATTATGGGGGGTGGGGTACTATTACAGGATTTACGGTAGGTTTAAATTATAGTTCTAAATTGAATTATAGTAGATAAAGGTTAAGCTAAACTAAGAAAAGCATATCGTAATACCTTTAATAGTAGCCCCTCCCCCCGATAATGCCGGTCGGAGCATCGCGTAGTCGAACTTTAAATGCATTTTTCTCGCCACCCATTTATGCTACAGTGTTCGTTTAAGTATTAAATGAAAGCTGAAATTCAGAGCTATTTTTTGATACCTAAGCGCGCATTGTAGCATAAACCAATGTCGAGAAAAACTCGTTCAAAGCTAGACTACGCAACACTCCGCACCGTCATTATGGGAGTGGGGTACTATTACAGGATTTACGGTAGGCTAAAAACTATCAATAGATAATCTAACAAACAAGTGGCTGTCTAATTTCAGAATCTTTTTGAATGAAATCAAATACTAGCCCATGAAAAACAAATAAAACGGAAAAATGTGTAAGCTAATTGAAAATTCGATTGCCAAAGGGGATTTGTTGGGTTAACATTTGGTGTTTGGTGGGTAAATGGATGGGAGAAAGGAGAGTAGAGCGCGCCTCTCTACCCACAAGAGAGAGAGAGACTGTCCAGCTGGCACCATTGTGAAAATATCAAGAGACATTGCTAGAGTGCAGAGAAACGAGCCGAATAAGACGTGGTGAAGGCCATCAATGAGAGGCACCCCTTCCCCTCCTTTCCTTTCTCTCAGGGTACCCCTTTTGCCTTTTGGCGTTATGCCAACCATTGACCATAGAGAATTAGATTTTATAAATGAAAAAACTGGAAAGAAGGGGAAATAACGGCTCCTATTTTGATTGAGAACAAGATTTGAAAAGACGTTCGAATAGTGGTGACTAAGAATTCTAGATTTTCTATGATTTTCTTAAAACGTTGACTTGAATTCTAGATTTTCTATGATTTTCTTCAAAACGATGACTTGAATTCTATATTTCTGCTTTTTTTTCTTATACAATTCAAACTTGTACTGTAAACTTACGAGAATTAGCTAATCTTTAAAGTAAGCAAGTAGATATAATATCAATTTCTAATAGTTTCTTGATCTTTAATTACTTAAAATTAATTCAAAATCACCTTTAAAGCAAGTGCGTACTGTTCTCGATGTTTGTATGAAGATCCGAGTCGACAATGGATATCAGGAACAAGATCCGAATCGGGAAATAGGTAGAGTTGAGTGGTGAACGCCTCAACGGCTCTGAAATTTCAAGAATCGAGTTGAGAATTGTTGAGAAGCTTTAAATATAAAAATATTTAGCTTATTGTTAGTTTCTACAAGAAGAAAATAAACTTAAAACGAAGTGAATTCACTAAAAAGTGAATCGAAAAAGGTTTCTGGTATTGGACAAAACAAGAAATGATTTTTAATATGTAAGATTTGAATGAGGCAAAGATTGTGGTGGTTGAATGAGTGAAAAGAAGGGTCATCTCTTTGTACAAGAAAAGGGTTCCTTTCTCAATCAATCACCTCTCCATTTCCCCCAATTTCTCTTCTCAATACCAATCCTCTTTTTCCCTAGCGGTCAATACCCTTCTTGTACCCAGTTACGAAAAGAGAAAATGGTATAAGAAAAGAAAAGAAAAGAAAGGGGTAAAGAAGGGTGTATCGAACAAGGAAAAGAATCAAAACATGAGAGCACACAAGGTATTTGAATGTCTTTGGAGTGAAGAGTGAGTGACGAAAGCTTTTCAATGGTACACTGCTTTCTTCAATAGAACAAAAGTTTTATGGAAAGTCGATTAGAAACTAGAATTTAGGAAAGATTGAGTCAAAATCGGAAAAATCTGGACTTAATAGGAAGTTTCAAGTCAAAGATTCCCAGTTTACTGGAATAAAAAGATTTAACCATTTGAATGGTTAAATCGTTATGACCAATTTGAATGTCTTTGGACACTTGAATGGCATATACGCTGTACACTTGAATCAAATGTACGCTGTACAATTGAATCAAATGTACGCTGTACAATTGAATCAAATGTACGCTGTACACTTGAATCAAATGTACGCTGTACAATTGAATCAAATGTACGCTGTACAATTGAATCAAATGTACGCTGTACACTTGAATCAAATGTACGCTGTACAATTGAATCAAATGTACGCTGTACAATTGAATCAAATGTACGCTGTACACTTGAATCAAATGTGCGCTGTACACTTGAATCAAATGTACGCTGTACACTCGAGTCAAATGTCTGGAGTGAAGAGTGAGTGACGAAAGCTTTTCAATGGTACATTGCTTTCTCCAATAGAACAAAAGTTTTATGGAAAGTCGATTAGAAACTAGAATATAGAAAAGACTCAATTAAAGTTCCAAAAATCTGGATTTAACAGTAAATTTCGAGTCAAAGACAACCAGTTTCTTGCCCCGTACTGGAATAAAAAGATTTAGCCATTTGAATGGTTAAATCGGTTATTAAACAATGACCAATTTGATATCTAATGTTAAATTGATATCTAATGATATCTAGTGTTAAATTGATATCTATTGTTTAAAACTTACAGCTTGAACTTCTTGAAATGATAATAGACGAGACCAAATCCATAGTATGCACCGGGATCTTTCCCGAAAGCCTCTTGATCCAAACGGAAACACAATTTGAAAGCAGCGTGCGCTAAATTTTCTCCCCATAAACGTTTACTAGAATAGAAAAAAAGCGACTTTTCTTGAAAACATTTCTGAAATTCACTACTCACCTCTGCCCCAATCTTGTCCCAACAATGTCACATGAGCCATTGAGATCATCGACTTGAAAAGCAAATGATTCCACTTTTTCAGCTTTATTGGATCTTTTTTCACTTCATCTGTGCCGAGTTTCTCTTGAATGTACGACACTTCAGCTTCTCGAATTTTAAAGGTCTAAAATTGAAGATATCTAATAAATTAATTCAATTTAATATTAAAGTGAGCAATCGTTATATTCCTGAAAGGCTTTTGACTTTAAAAATACAAAAAAAATTGTTCTACAATGTATTAGTTAGAATAATATTTACAAAAACGAACTGTTTGACAAGAAAATTGCAAGAAAATTGTCTTATTTCATTGTCAATAAAGCTGTAGTATGTGAAATTGAGCTGAACAAATTGCTATAAACTTACTCGATACAGAATCTCTCTTTCAGGATGAGTTGTCGGATCACCGTTGTTGTAGAATTCCTGCCAAAGGAGTCTAAAATTATTGTATTTGATTTTCATTATCAATTCTATTCCCTTTTAACTCTCAATATCTTCTCAATACTCACGATGATAGTTCCTCTGATCGTTTCTTTTGCTTTGCATTCAAATCAGGAATTCTTATTGTGTCCGTTTTTTGCATCCATTCACTCCAAACAATCTCCGGCAAATCTTCATCATCTTCGTATTTGATTCCCGGGACTTTAAAACCTTCTTCTTTTGGTAGAGGCTGAAAATTGTTAAGCTTTAGAACTTTTCTAATTTAAGAACAGCTTTTTCGCCTTTTCATTTAGCTTTTTGGTAGAAATTGATGTTGTAACTTTTGACGAACTCAATCCTAACCTGATATGATTGCATATAGTCTGGTTCTTGTGTTTCTTCTTTCTTCACAACGACTCCTTCCCTTTCGCCCGAAGCATTGCTCTTAAATAATCAATTTAATATAATAAATGGAAAACTTGTTTTTATTAAGAACCTTTGGGGTCAAAGCAGTGGTATCTTGTGCTTGATTTGATTGATTCGGACTTTTCTCATTGACTCCATCTTCATTTTCTTGTTTTATCATCCTCGAATCGATGAGTTCTCGATTCCCGTCACCCGAGCCATTGAGACTCATCTGAAATTTGAATTTAAGAGAATTATTTTGTATTTTGAAGTTTAAGCAAAAGAAATTTGAGAATTTATGTTTAAAAATCGAAAATTTGCATATCACCAGTGAAAAAGTTTGATTTGTTTTAAATGAAAAGAAGAGATTTTAAAAAGAAACAAGACTTTAAGCTGAGTAATGATTAACTTTTAACTATTTAATTATAAGATGCAAAAAAAAAGGTGAAGCTTAATTTGAGAACATGCATCGATTCAGCTGTAAAACGGACGCTGCATGCTTATCGACACGGATTGGGGGAAACGATTGTAAAGTGGTTTTTGCTTGGAGTTTAATGGATTAGAATTTTAAAGACATATAGTTAGCGAGATAAATGAAAAACGATACTTTAATGCAATTTTAAACTACAAAAAGGTCAAAAATTTTATAAACGAAAAAAAGCTAAAGGTTGATGGAGGCAATTAATGATCTCACACAAGGCAATTTGTGCAATTTGTTTATTCAAATTGTCAACTTGATTGAAAATTATTCAAATTGAGTAGAAATTAATATAAAAAATTAGCTGTAATTGGCTTTGAGAGAATAGCTGTAATTGGTGAAGGATTTCTCTGCCTGCGAAAACGCGTCACTCCAATCGACACCAACGGGGCGTCAATTCGGCGTTGATTTCCAAAGTAAAAGCGATTTTCCCGCTAATCTTTCGATTTCTTGAACTCATTGCTTTTCTTGGATTAAAAACGACAAAATGCGAAGCTCATCTAAAGGTTTGTTAATAAAAATAAAAGCTTATAAATCTTCTAAAAACGATTTGGCTAAGAAATTCGATCTTTTATGGCTAACTTGTTGAGTATCTTAAAGCTTTTTTTCTCAGGAAATAAGCAACTTGATCATTCAAATGCTTTCAACTTGTTCATTTTCAGTTTGGCAGTATTTTGAGCCAAATGGAGAGCAAGTTGTGTGCTTAAAATGTCGAGAGATGAATCAGCAACGAGGAATTTATAAAAAGGATCCAACAGGAGGAACGGGACATCTCAAGAGACACATCAGAATTGAACATCCAGAGATCTTTGTGGAATTGGTAGGAATAAAGAATTGGCAAGAAAAGGTCGATTTCCGGAGAGGGGATTGAACTCTCGACTAGACTTGTGTTTCGGTTGGCTCTTTTCGGTTCAGTTTCGGTTTCGGTTCAACCGAAGTCAACCGAAATCTTTCGGTTCGGTTCGGTTCGGTTGAACCGAAAAGATGAGTCTTTCGATTCGGTTCAGTTTCGGTTCAACCGAAACACAAGTCTACTCTCGACCTCTTTTCAGGCAATTGTTCTAACCACTGAGCTATTCGGTACCTTAACTTGCCAAGAGAAAGAAGGAAAGGCAAGGGGGAGAAAAATAAGGATTTGAAAGTAACCTAGTACCAGAGTTTGCATTGAAAACTTTAAAACTTTGAATGCTCCATCGTTAAACTCAATTTGCAGACTGGCGAGAATCCCTCATTTTCCGGATCAACCACTCCATACCCTCAACGACCAAAGAGATTGACAGCCGGCCGCAAGAAACATATCATTTTATTTGGAGATGAAAGGGTAGCTTGAAAAATCTCGATCAAAATCCAAATCCATTTCAGCAAACAGTGACTGAAACACTGAAATTTCGCTTGGATTTGATTAAACTCGTTGAAAAGCATCCCGAATTATGGAATAGAGACTCGTTCGGTTATCAAAAAGCTGATTTAATGTATCAAGGATGGGAAGATGTCGGAAAAACGTTGTCCGAAAGATTCTCAATCGAAATTACAGGTAAAAATTCAAGAAAAATAAGCACCGATGCAAATCTAGAAGTCTAGGAGTTGATTGCAAGAAGCTCTTTGACTCTCAACGTTGCTATTATCGAGTTCATCGAAAGCGCCTTCGTACTCAAACAATCGTCAAATGGCCTTATTGGGAAGCGCTTCAATTTTTGTCACCAATGTATGAGAAAATGGAAAAGTTTGTGAGAGAATTCTATTGGTTTTATCAAATTCTTTTCAGTGAATCAGTTTCAAATCTCGGATTGCCATCTTCATTCCCAAAAATTTATGAAGATCTTCAATCTACTTCATCCTTTGATTACAATAAACTGAAAGATGAGATTATTGGTATGAGAAACAATGAATTTAACCTCAAAAAACAACTTTAGATGTGCCCACATCAAACGATTATTCAAATTTCCCCAATGATTTCATGGATGTGAAAGTTGGAAAGCCGCTAGACTTGGAACAATTGCTGAGTTTTCCATCAGAGACAAGTGCTGGAGGTAATCTTTGATGAAAATTTAATAAACAAGCTTTACAGTACTCTAATGATTAAGCTGAAAATAACTTAACTTAGAAATGAATTCAGAAATTTACGAAGAGACCAGCCAAGCGAATGAACATTCTCAGCCAACAGGTCAGCAAACATACAAATCTTTGAATAAAAGAAATTTAGCCAATCATTACTGGATTAAAAGCTCAATGAGAAGAAATCGTCGACAGAAACGAACAAATTTTGGAATGATTAAGAAAAAGTTGTTATTAGAGGAGTTGAAAAGATCAAAGCTGCAAACGAAATTGGTTCGAGTGCGATTAGAGAGAGCGATGCTGTTAAAAGAGATCACTTGCAGAGAGCTAGAGAAGTCCGGGTGAGTAAAATAAAAGATAAAATAAAAGTTGAACTTGAGAAAATTGTAAATAGACTTTGTTTTCTAAAAGATGCGCTTTAAAAAAGCTATCATACTAGGATTGTTCAATTTACATCATCTAATTTGCTGTAGGTGCTCTGAATTTGCTTGATTTCCTTTAGATTCGCACGATTTAGAGTCCAATAAATGGCTAAAGAGTTATGGTAAACTTTTCAAGAGCACTTTTTAGAAAACTAAATTATCCGATTTCAGGTTGAATGATGGTGGAAATGAATGATCGTCGCTTCTGCAAATACAACTCCAATATAAGCTGTTATTTCAAATAAACTTTTCACTTTAACTTTTTACGTTAATTTTACTCACATCAGACTATCCAAAAACCTTAAAAATAAATGGACAAAACAAAGGAAGATTTTTGGCAAGATCAAGTTAAAAAGCAACTTTTTGATACTTTTTGAGACGGTGGAAATGAATGATCGTCGTTTCTGCAACTACAACTCCAATATAAGCTGCTACAGTCGAACCTCTCTATAACGAACCTCGATATAACGTAAACCTCTCTATAACGTAAGGCGTGACCGGTCCCGGCCGACGTTAAGCTATATAAAACGGCACTCTATATAACGTAAACCTCTATATAACGTAAGCTATAGCCGTCCCGTGAGTTACTTTATAGAGAGGCTCGACTGTATTTCAAATAAGTTTGATCAAGATACTGTTTTTAATTTTTGCTTAAATTTCAAATTAGCTGAGAAACAAGCGTTTAAAAATAAGACGGTGGAAATGAATGATCGTCGTTTCTGCAACTACAACTCCAATATAAGCTGTTATTTCAAATAAACTTTTCACTTTAACTTTTTACGTTAATTTTACTCACATCAGACTATCCAAAAACTTAAAAATAAATGACAAAACAAATGAAGATTTTTGGAAAGGTCAGGTTAAAAAACAAATTTTTGATATGTAGATCACAATGCTGTTTTATTTTTTGCTTAAATTTCAAATTAGCTGAGAAACAAGCGTTTAAAGTTGGCATTTTGGAAATCTAAGAAAGATTCGTACTTATGAGTCCGTCTCGCCGATTACCGTTTAGCGAGCAGTCCGCTTGGCTTTGAAACTTTTCATCCCGGATCTCTTTTCACCAAACTCTTTGTTTTTTGAAGTCTTTTGTTAATTGAGTGTTTTAAATGTCAAAAAAAAGAAAAACTACATATCAGCATTGTTACTGAAAATAAAAAACAATAATATGCCAATAATTACATTTAAAATATCAATTTTCATGTGAAAATATGTGTTAGAAAGTTTTCTCGACATTTAAAACACTCAAAAAAGTAACAAAAAAACTCCTGTGTAAAAAGCAAACACCTTTCATGCATGTATTGTATGTTTTGCATGTATTGAATAGCTAAAAAAGTTGATCATTACTCAGCTTAAATTCTTGTGGGGGTGGGACAAATGCGACCTTTTTTTTGCGCACCTGGACATTTGCGCACCTTTTTTTTGCTGGAAAAGGCCTTAGGAAAGGTCGTAGTCCGTTTTACAGCTGAATCGATGCATGTTCTCAAATTAAGCTTCACCTTTTTTTTGCATGTTATAATTAAATAGTTAAAAGTTAATCATTACTCAGCTTAAAGTCTTGTTTCTTTTTAAAATCTCTTCTTTTTATTTAAAACAAATCAAACTTTTTCACTGGTGATATGCAAATTTTCGATTTTTAAACATAAATTCTCAAATTTCTTTTGCTTAAACTTCAAAATACAAAATAATTCTCTTAAATTCAAATTTCAGATGAGTCTCAATGGCTCGGGTGACGGGAATCGAGAACTCATCGATTCGAGGATGATAAAACAAGAAAATGAAGATGGAGTCAATGAGAAAAGTCCGAATCAATCAAATCAAGCACAAGATACCACTGCTTTGACCCCAAAGGTTCTTAATAAATACAAGTTTTCCATCTATTATATTAAATTGATCATTTAAGAGCAATGCTTCGGGCGAAAGGGAAGGAGTCGTTGTGAAGAAAGAAGAAACACAAGAACCAGACTACATTCAATCATATCAGGTTAGGATTGAGTTCGTCAAAAGTTACAACATCAATTTCTACCAAAAAGCTAAAGGAAAAGGCGAAAAAGCTGTTCTTAAATTAGAAAAGTTCTAAAGCTTCACAATTTTCAGCCTCTACCAAAAGAAGAAGGTTTTAAAGTCCCGGGAATTAAATACGAAGATGATGAAGGTTTGCCGGAGATTGGGTCTAAAAATCTGGATCTAAATCTGGTCGAAATGGGTAGATTTGTAAAGATTTTCATTTAGGCTTCTCTCCGGTACCTAAAGTTCTAATTCAAGTTTGGTATTCTTATAAATATTATCAAGAATAGTACATTTTTATAAAATTATAGAAATCTTATCATTTAACTATTCTAAATCTATTATCTAAATATCTATATCTAAAGCTAACTATTCTAGATCTATTATCTAAATCTAACAATTCAAAATCTCTCACTTGACTCCCGGTGCGACACTTCGATTTCCCGCTTGTGAATGAGCCGAAGAAATATTGAGTTCCCGTTCGAGGATCGCGATGTGTTGGAGCCGGGCCTCGTTTTGTCGCTCTCGCAGCTCATTGGGGATCGGTTGTTTCCAAGCTTCTTGAAGAATGGGAAGTCTGAAATATAAAGAATTGGATTG